ATTGCAGAAAAAATTGTGTCAACCAGAATTCTGTACTATCGTTAGACAAGTTCGAAGCAGCATTTTGCAATTGAGTCTTTCTAAACTAAATCATATTTGAGTATGCAGAAGCCTTTATACATTTATCTTTATACAGAAAAGTGATATCATAAATGATCGGACTAATCTAATAGAAGTGGTGATATGAATCGCGGCAGAATAAAAAATTTAACATTGATATGTTGGAATTTTCTCTGAATGCCCCATCTCCGTTTTTAATCATTTAATTACAGAAGGAGCATTGCAAGATAAACAAAATGAACTTACACAAGAACAGAAAAAGATTCGGAACAAAAAGTAAATATTAATTATCAGTTAGGATTATTACTTATTATTATCATGGACTTGTTCTAAATACAAATAAATGCTTCCATTCTGATCCTTAAATTTCAACTTATAATCATTGATTTCTAGTTATAGCAAGTGATTTAAAAATTGCCTTAATTCATAGCAGTCAAGATTTGAGAATTTCTTATAAATCTAAACTTTTCCTTTAAATGAAATAATAATAAATTTCAAAGAACTGCTAGGTTCTTTTTAATATCATGTATTAACTTTCATTTGTTTTTATATTGCAATTTTCTCAAGTTTAAATTTCAGTCAGCTACTGTAGTTATTTCAAGTTATTTCAACCACAGAAGAACTGAACAAAAAGTAATGGCTTGAGAAGCATTACTGGTCCTTTCTTGTGTCACGTCTTTTAAGGCCTATTCCACTGAACCATTATTGCATTATAGAAGCTAATTATTTCAAATTGAATTTATTTTTAGAAAATTGGGTTTTAAGCATCGCTACTTTCTTTCATAACAAATAGTGAAAGATTTTTTTATTTCTGGCTATCTCTTTGATGCCTTACCGGATGTGATTTATGAAATTGAGAAATAGAGAATTACATGGAAATCTTTTAAAATTAATTACATCTTCGAAATAATTCGTATTTATTTAATTTTTCCGAACATATTTTGGGACTGATCAATAACACGATATTTGGAAAGTACCAAAATTTGGAAGATGGTAAAGTCAGGAAAACATTATAACAATAAATTTGTCGTTTGTCACAGAGTTCCGCTATATAGCTTTTGGACTTTTGGATTTGAAAGCATGAAACACATAATACAGTGAAGAACGTTTTAGTTCGGCATTTTTAGAAAACATCTTGCAGCGTTAGTATCACTTCATAACTTGAAACGATAGCTAAAGTATGCAGTATAATAATACAAAACGCCAATAAACATATTTCAGTGAATGTTGGAGCAATTGACCATTGATCAACGTTAGATTTCCTCTTCAACGGCGAAAATGACTCAACCATTTCCACATCCATTCCATATTTTTTAGCGAACGATAAGTCTCAGCCAATTGGTAGCCTAACTACGCTTTTTATACTGCATAAAATGTCAACAAATATAACATTTATTTGGATTAAATGCCGTGAATTTATTTACTCGTTAAACGTCTCATTTTCCTTTTGTCAGTGTGCTGCAACTTTTTCAACAGTGCAAATTGTAATAAGTTCTCAAGATACTTTTATGAATTTGTTTTAATTATAATGAGATTAAGACTCTATCCTTATACTTTTGCAGTAAGTGACAATAAATAATTCATTATGTATATTTAAAGAAAGACTGTAGTGAAAATATTGGTACAACCACCTGATAAGTCTGATCTCTCAGTCTTTCTTAACATTAAATAAGCTATTCTAGTCTTCGTACAAAATTCGAAATGACAGAACATTTAATGCCGAGACAACATCACGAGTGAATGTGAATACCGCTAACATGAAAATAGTACTAGCAGATGATTGGAAATTAAAAAGTCTTATCATAGCTAAAAAGTAGATGCATGAAAAAAAAAGTTGTCGATGATCTAAAGGTTAATTTCACAATCAAGGATCTCATGGAATAGCAAGCATTAAGAAATCTGAGACTCCATCTTTTCCAACAAAATTAAATTCAGCCTCAGGACTGAATGGAAACGAGGTTCAGTAGGTAGAAGTTCAATTCCAAAACTTCTCAGGAATCAATGATGGCCTCCAGTTTGCTTCCTGCTTTCTCGAACTTTTGCTCTAGAAATGATGGGTTCTTCTCATGGCAGTGTTAAGAAGACAGGCAAGAGATATGATATGTGTCGCAAACAGTCTTTGCTCTCTTCTGACTGCACTTTCCAAGCAACTAAATTGATCATCATTACTTCCTCCTTCCCTTCTGCCTCTCTAAGAGTACACACTCGACAAAGCAGCCCATCAATCGATTGCTGCCATTGTCACACATGATTCTTAGGAAGTGCATAGAATGCAAACATCTATTTCACGTAATTTATATTATTGTTGACGTGTTGCGTGTGTGTTAGTAACAGTGGGATGCCTTGTCCCGTCCTTCCGGATTTCTCAATGCTCTTACTACAATCAATATAATACCGCCTCTTCCTTCATCTCTCGGTTTACATCTGTCTACACGCGCAAACACATGCCTGACTGCAGTCTGATGAATGCACTTTTGCAGGGGGTGGAGTGAAGAGTAATCAGAAGTTCAGAATATCGTCCATCTCTCAGGGGAAATAGGCTGCAGTGAGAGGTAGGTTGCAGGGTGCGTGTAGACATTTAATATATATGCACATCCAAAGTACAGCAAAACTTCCACTTCTCCCGGTGACGTCAGCTGCATCTCAAACTTTCTGCTCTGTCTTTCTGTTTTCTTTCCTGGCAGGAAGGGAAGAAACATCTTTCCCATTTATTCCCGAACTTCCTCCATTCGGCAGTTAGTTAGTGACTATATTTTCTCCTGTCCTTCAGCATTCGAGACTGTCGGAGAATCAATCATAAACGAACGTATACAGATTACTTCGAGGAAGGACACGGCACAGTCGGATGCTTTTAACAATGCACTTTGTTTTTCAAAGGGAAGGCAACTGCGTTTTCATGTAGGTGTCACCCTTCTCAATGTTCATTGTCCTCCAGGGAGGAAGGCATACTGGTCTATTTATCTATTTGTCCCGCTCTCTCTCTCTCTGCTTGATGATTCACTTCCCTTCTGCAAGTTCAGTGTCAATTGCTGAGTCTACGTTGATAGTCACTCGATTTCCACCTCTTATTTTATCATTCTCATCTGAACCATTCGGTATTATACTATCTGGTAACCTTCTACTCTTCTGCACCCGATTTATCAGTAACAATATTTAGAAGATAACTCATTTCTCATTTATTTGGACACAGTGTCCCATCACTGCAGCGTTGCGGCCAAATATTTCACGCTCTTTTGAGTGAAAGCGTCAGTTCTATAGATCAAAAGCAAGCTGCTACAGCAACAGAGTCTTCACCGAAATATTTCCACCGTCCTCAGCGGAACAGACAAGTTCAGTTAATTTTCCGGATGAGAAATCAGGCGAAAGAGATGGAGCAAAAATATGTTAGGGCACCATGCTCTGTTCCACAACATCTCACTGATGCACATCTTCAGTGAGATGCTTTGATGTAAAAAATGCATATTCCATTTCCGAACTGTAAAAGTTAATATAATGGCTCAAGGGATCAGACTAAATTTTCGGCAGGGTTCTTTTTCGTCCGGCAATGAAAGCTATCACGGACATCTTCCAGTTAGAATTGTGCTAATCGAACAGAAATTAAGTTTGCGAATCATTGCTTTATCCCTGCATTACTTTGACGGTTTTGTTGAAATGGCTGAAACGTTACCGTTGTTATGTGAAAGTAAGAGTTTGGAAGATTTAGAGTGAAGTAGTCGTTAGGATTTGTTAGGAATTCTGATGTTTATGACCATCAATAATATTACCTTGCTTAGACAACTGTATTCATTCCGTGAAAAGATTTAGAAAGATTTAATAATCACTGCAAGAAATCATCCAAATTTTTTTCCACTCTTTTCATTATTTGCATAATAATTTTTTAATTTCTTTGCATAATTTTTTGCATGCATAATAGTTTTAACTTTTTTTTTTTAATTTTTTGCATAATAATTTTTTAATCCTGACTTGTTTATCATAAGTTACAAGATACGTCGTACTTTTATTTCTTCTCTCTGCTAATCTTTTGAAATATGTCTGATATATGTATGTAAATACAGGTAATGTTTTCATCTGTCCACAATTCAAAGTAAGAACTAATAACGCTTGAGGCATATTTTGACGACATTTCAGCCAGTGTCGTCAGTATGCCATGTGAGAACTCCAAGTTTACTTTATTTAATATCAGATGACCTTCAAATTCATCAACAGATCAAATCCGGTCACATTCTTTTGTTTGATACCAAAAGTCATTCGCTAGAATGACTGCATTGATTAGTGCAATTCGAAAGTAATTATTAAGTGGTGGACTTTCTGAATCACAATTTGGTTAACAAATCCCATACATATATATACTGAAAGGTGTTCCAGTGAACTCATCTTCTAATATTTAGTTGGTGACACGTTTGGAATTTAAGCTGTGATTCTGCATTCATAAACTTCCTGCAATATCTCACCTAACTTTTTGCAGTCTTACGGAACTCTCGGATGACAACAATGGGTTACAGTAAGTTCTCCAGTATTTTTATACAGGATAGATCACTTAAAATCAAAAAGTCAATTCTGCAATTTCAGACCGGAAATTGGTACTAAATGATATATAAAGTTTTGGGGAATGCCTAGAAGAGTTTTTCTTGAGTTTTAAATAATCTTTTTGGAAGTTCAGGTTTGTTCTGCACCACCTTGTTGCTGATACGATTTGATCGTGTTCTTCAGCTAGAAATTTAACTTCAGTGTCCAATGTCTACTATTTATCAATAGCATATAATATTACCTTGTTTTCAGCGATGTTGTGTCACGTCCGGATTCCTACTGTCGTTCATTCTTGGTTGTTAAGAATTTTGGCCAGATGCTCAGCTTCACTTTTCGGTAATATTCGTTGCTCTTACTTCGCTTATTTCAGAGACCAGAAAAGCAAAAATTATCCTTCACCTAACTATTTTGATTTCTTCTTTCCATTCTTTTCCTTTCATCGTCAATTGTAGCACGGTTAAGCAATTCAGCTAATAAACACTACTTCTGCTTGATGCGTACAGGTGCCGAGGTATTGTTTATTGGCTGAGTGCTATACCTCCAGTATTCATCGCCTTTTTGCGAAAAGGTTGTTTTAAATTTCTTTCTACTTTTTTATAGATGTTGTGACATATTTTTCATACTTCTTCGTGGATGTTGTAACAAAGTAACTAGTGTTCTATGTCATAATTTAACAACCAGCAAGACATTTTATTGTCTCGATTTTTTCTCCACTTTTTGGACATCATTTGGGATTTATGCGTTAAAAAAAGAAATATTTTGAGATTCGTATGATTTTTCCTTTTTATTAATTCATTTAATTTGATCATACCGACGTGCAATAACAAAGGAGATTAAGAATCTCAAAGGTCAAAACAATACTGTGGATCGATTGTCCGCGTTGATCACAGGTTAATTTGCAGGTTTTTCTTTTTTAGTATTAATCAACTACGTCGTCAATGTCTTATTGGTAGCTATGAGTAAAACTCATTTTTTCAGTGATACAGTTCTGTTTTAGTGATATAACATCGCTGTTGGATCCATGATAGTATGTGGAAAATGTAGTTCCGCTTTTCATATGTTTCGAAGTCGTATATTTCCGCTGCATTGCATCGAGTCAAGAATTTACTTTCCTTTTTAAAAAGAATGTTGATCATATCTATATATCTCTTGTAATAGCGAAACTGTAGTTATAACACGTATGCCTTATTTCTATGTAATTTGCCAGCTTCAGTAATTCGAATTACCTGTGTTTATTCAGCAAGTTATAGTGTTCCCAGGAAACTAGATCGCATTTTATGATTTCTAAAATATCTTTAATTATCTTCAGATTTTTAGATCAACGTAACTTTTTTGATAGATTTAAAAGAAATGAAAGCTACTGCTTTATTTATAACATTTGCAAAAGGTTACAGATGAAATAGTAAGTTTTCATTTTTTTAAACCCATCAAAAAATAGAAATAGAACTCACAATGCAGGAAACAAAATAAGGAACGAATTAGAAGATAATTTTTGAGAAATAAAAGAGTAAAACTGATTTTTAGTCAAAAAATTGACTTCCGTATTTAAAGTGCAATACTTCAAGCACTGCACTTCAAACACGGAAATAGTAATTTTTGCTCAATACTTTCAATTTTCTAGTTGGATTCACTCTTTTTCCTCAAACATTTAAAGAGAGAAAGGGATGTACTATGCGGATACGAGAAAGACAACATGATTTTATTGGAAAATATGGATTCCGCGTTGGTTAGTACTTGCAGTTATCCTTAATGTTATGTCAACATGTATCCATATTTATTTATTTGCTCATTACTTTTCTTGGAACTTTTTTGTTGGAAGAAAAAAAAAAGTGTGCTAAGTGAAAATAAAGTTAATCATTAAAGTAGAAAAGCAACGTCCTATCATCCGAGATTATTGCCATCTCACCATTTCTGAATATTTATGGTAGTCTTGAAGTTTAATTAAATAAATATCATCATTATTTCAATTTAAAAATAATGCCGAGTAAAGATTTTTCAAAAATCGAACTCTATGAACTTATCCGTATCTAAAAGAACAACAAATATATGAACTGTAAATGTGAGTTCCAACGATTCAACTGGCGTTCATGAAATTTACTGCTTTATAAAAATTAATTTGTCGATAGAGGAAAATAATTTTAAAAAAAAGTTGGTATTTTGTTAGCCGCCAACTTCACAGCACTCAGTGAGAATGATTTTTTAATTTTAAAATTCTGATGAATGCATAGTTCAGTCCTGTTATGTTCTTTGAAAAGATAACAGAAAGAAAGCAGGAAATAAATGAGAATGAACAGGCATTAGATTTCTGTTTCATTTTTTCGTTCGTCACATTTTTCAATTTTCATATTACAAGGTTAAATCATATATGATCAGTTTTCTAATATTGTTAATTTAGAAAGAAAACGAAGATTTTAAAATTTCTAAGCCTATGGGCTCCATGATTCCCCAATGGAACAGTTGTTTGTCATTTATAGCCATTTATTAAAGTTCCAAGTTTTCATAGACACTCCGCAAAAATTTAGCAATTATTTGACTCTCAATTTCCGGATGCTCTCGGAATTGAATATTTAGGAGAGCCAAAGAGAAATTAGGAAGAATTGGATCATAATAGAGAGAGAACTGCGTATATCAGAATATAAAATTAATGAGCTACTAGCATCTTGTGAAAAATGTCACTTTTAGGACAGTCATAGCTGTTAGTGTTACTGAAGAATACATGTTTTGAATACAGCCTATTTCATAATTTTCCTGCAAAGTCATGTTTTGCTGAAATGAATAAATTTAGTTTTGCAATTAGTCGAGATGTACAACGAAGGATATCAAATAAAACTCGTATATATCGAATAAATGTTATATATTCGACATATAATAAGATATATCGAATAAAATTTGTAGATTAACAGCTATTTTTCTCGTTTAATGCTAATCACCTAGCATCCGTATCCACTCCTTCCATTTATTTATATCATTTGTTAATGACAGTGCTGTATTTTAAAATGGACTAAATAATCAACTAAGTGATAGCTAATTTAAAAGTTTAAATACGTCTTCAAGTAAATAACAAATGAAAATCTTGGAGGTACAAACTAGACTAACGAGAGCAATAACACAAAGCAATGCTAGATGAAAGAGCTAGATGAAAAGACTCGTTCTTATGGTCACTTATGCAGCCGGTATTCAGATCGATCTTATCTGAACTATAAGTTTGCTGAAACGGGAAATGACCCAGTAAATAATGAATGACATTGCAGTTACCCTTTACAGAATTTCTATTAATTTTTTTTCTTGTTATTTTTGCTCGAGAAAATGCAAATTTATGTCATCAAAAGTGACTACTGGCTGCAAACATGGAAGAACAGTTGTTTTTAAACAGTTAATTCAAAGGAAAATACGATATAATACAAATAAAATGTACTTTAAATAAGAGTCAACCTCAGAAGCTTTTGAAAGTTTCTTGATAATCTTCTGTCTCTATCGAATAGCAAAGTTCGTATGCACCACTTCAAATCTTCCTACACAACCAATTTGAGTGTTATATCAACATATTACAGAAAATGATTTTAATTTTGTTTTACTTACCGATTTCTGCCAGGATGTTTTTTGCTCGGATTTCTTCATATCATTATTAGGAAAAATAGAATTTTACAATATTATTTATGAAATGATTATCTACTTCAAAATAAACTTATTTAAATAGTTATTTGTTTTCTGTCCAGAGACTTCTACAAAAACTTTTGTCCTTTCTATACAACTTTTAACAAAGGCTTGTTGACAGATTTTTAGAATCTTAGGTCTATTTTGAACTAAGCAAGGTGGTGATATATTTTCGTTGGTTTTTCGCTGAATACTGAGAACAAAAAGCAAATCATACAGACGATTACCGAATGTTCTGCACATGAACTTTAAATATATTCTAATGTTTCTAACACAATATAGAAGGATATCTTTAACTGGGATAAGGAAGAAGGAAGGAAGAAATATCTGGTAGTTGTGAAATATGATAATAATCAGAAACATCTCAATGATTGCATTTTGTTTTCTTATTTTGTATTGAAATTTGAAATGTGATATGTTTCTCATACATATTATTGAAAATAATTTCTATAAATATACGAAGGAGTGCCAAGATCCTTTGTAAATAGTTTAATAAAAGAGAATAATTGGTCCTAGGAAAACAATTACTCAAAAAAACTGTCATTAATTTTGATCACAATTTCTTAAAGCTCATGAGGCTATATCAAATTGAAATTCTTAAGTTCAAAAATCAGCAATTATTATTTAACGATAATAAGCTATTATTTTAGTATTAATTCGCTCAAAAATAACTTAATCCTCTAATGCACACTAAAGATCAAAGAGATAACATTTCAAGTAAACAACATTTTTTTCGTTATTTGAGTTTTTTTGTCGATTGTTTGATGTGATTTTTATGAGACACTCCATTTTAAATGAAATTGGATAAATCTGTCATCAAAGTCTTCGGTGAAAATTAGTGCATAGTTTGTTGCAAGCTATTATGCTAGAATGAATAATACTTGCTATTAACTGTTTATTAGCTATAAATTTCGATTGTAATTCAACTTTTGAATCGCAACAAACATATAATTTGATTATGTAAGAATACACAACCAATGATTTCCTTATAATAAATTGCAATTTTCTGGATTTCTCTTGTGCATATGTTAGTAGTAGGAAACTAGTAGTAATAATTCTGATAAAATATGCATACCTAAAAAAGTGTCATTTGAACGAATTGGAATGAATAGCACTTTTAAAAAGTACAACAGATATTTTTTAAAGCTCATTACCGTTTCTAAATTGGATATTGAACCACTAGCTTTATCTACTAAATAATTTTCATTCAAAGAGAGAAATTATTGGGGCATAAAATATTGCCATATGTACTAACCTATTATTTTTCATTCTTTCTTTTAAAATATCTTTTCCAGCATTAAATCTAAAAGTTGCACCACATACATAAGTTATTTCTCTCTTTCTTTGCACCAGTTTTGGGTTAGGCCAACGAGAAAGGTATGGGTAGGATAAAAAGTAAAAAGAAAAAAGCGCGTATTTTATTTGATAGGAAGCATTTGTTTTCCATCAAACATGCAAAAAGGAGACATTTTCTGAAAAAAATTTTCTACGACATATATATTCTCATGTCCTTGACATTAATTTTCAAACCTATAAACACCTTTTTGTTTCATGGAACAACCCGAAAATTGTCCGAATAAACGTAAAGTTACGTAGTGCAATCAGAAGAGAAGAGAGATAAATATCAGCGCTTGCATCTATTTTTTCTGCTCCTACTTTGAAAATATGGACAGCTTTCAACATGAAAGAAAAATTCTTGTCCTGAGATATACAAGCTTATGATGTTCCTTTCCACTCACCAGACTTCTTAGTTTATGTTGCTAATTTAAACTGGAGTGATTTCTTATTTCAAAAGGGATGATCATAATATGGCACTTTACATCAACCTGATATGCTTTTAGATAGTTGATTTTAAATGTCCTTCTTTGATGCAATTCTCAAAAATTAAAGTACATTTATCAAGATTTTACCACTTCTAGATGAAAACATCATGAATTTTTGGGCGATACTGTAATAAGAAAGCAGATTTTTGTGAATTGTAATTATTATATGTTATATTGAACGGAATTACTGATTTGATTTTTTGTTTCAGATCTTGAAATGAGAAAAGAATGATGAATTAAATGGATTTGTTGGGAAGGGTCAACACTTTAACAGATAGACTTTCATTAGTATAGATAGATTAAGACAAGAAAGAAAGGAGAAAGAAATTGTTTGAAAACAAATAATTTCTGGATAATGCCATGATTTCCCGTGGGTATTTGCTTAGATCATCATAAGGAAGGACCCAATCATCTCAAAACAGGCATTTGAATATTTGAAATGAGTATGTACCTTCGATTCTATCTAATATTCCGTCTTTTCAGGATGATAACATTCAAATTAGCAAGCATTCTCGTATGATCCTTTGTCCATTTCATTGCTCTTTCATAAATATTTTAAGAAGAATTAATGTCTTAGTGAAATTCCACCAAGTAATTGCATTCTTATTTTTCTCACCATCGGCTGTGTTCTTTTGAATGCATTATCTTTGAAATTGAGTTTTATCTCAAATCGCATTTTCCTTATGGTTCAACAAAAATCCAATCAAAAAATTCAATTATTGGCAACTCGTTTGCACTTGCTTTATAAGTAAGGAGATTTTACGAAAGATAATTTATTGTGGATCATAGCCGCTTGATAATATTTAATTTGAGTTGTAATTATGTGAGATTATGGCGTCTTTAGCGCGAAATAAATCCATTGGATGAGTGATAGAATCATCAATGGAATAGCCAATTAACAAAAATAATAAAACATCAGAAGTGGTAGTATGATTTTTAATGGTAATGGCAATAGTAGAAACAAGGATGTTTGATCGTAGTGACAATTGTTGTCTTTTGTTTCACTGTTACATCTCTAAAAATCACACAAATAACTGTTTGAATGCGGAAATTTCGAAGATATCCTTGTTAATGGTTATGGTAATGATGACAGTTATAATAATAGTAATCCTTTGTAATTATCATCATTTACCATAACTATCGTCATAAAATATGCATGCCGAAACAAATATTCTCCTTGAAAAATTCTAAGCAAGTGGAAATAAAATATTGAACGAATTTAATTTCATGAAATGGACCATTCTAAGTGCTTACATTATTCAAAGTATGAAGTTCTAGAAACCACGAAGTTTACTAATAAATCTGAGGAAGAAGTTTATCAAAGTTATGGCATTCTTCAATGTATGATGCAGACGTTTCGTACTCAGTCACTTAATTAACAAAAACAGCTATGACCCTTTACTATTGCAAATAAATTTGACAATCATTCCCAAAGGAGTAGCATAAAGAAGAAATGATAGGAAAGGAAAGGATAAGAACACACTGAAACATCTGTTGCATTATAATAAGCAATACTGCCAACTGTAGTAAATGAAGCAATGTCATCTGCCAGAAGATCACAGATCAAATTCAGTTTATTCATCCATTATAATGAATTATAATAATAATACAATACAATATCACACATATACATCAATCTAATCAATATTAACAGGTACAATTCTTATAACGAAATCTTTCATGGAATAAAAGGCAGAGATTTGTGACGATTGAAATAGGGTGAAATTAAAATATCTGCAAAATTCAAATAACCATGATATTGCAAGATTATAATATTTTGTTAGAAAATGTGATTTTTATGTTGTTCTTTTTGGTATGTTTAAGCTTCAGAATTTTAATGCTTTAGACTTATCTTTGTTGTTAATCAAAAAAAAAAAAAAAATACCTTGAAAAAGTTATGTGAATTTCTTTTACATCTTCAGTATTATAGAATAGGACAAGAATAAATAACATTTTAATACATTTTAATTCATAATTACGGCTTACGAGTTTTTGTCTTAGTTGGATAAAATTTGAAATCTAAAAGGCAGTATCTTTGATTTACATTTTTTTTTTCTGGTTATAACTAAATGGATTTTTAACAGAAATCTAAATTTAGAGAACAATTGAGATAATAATTTATTCAAATACTTGCCGCGCTTCTAATAAATTCTCAGAAATCATTTGCTTATTTATTTGAAACCAAAATTTAGATTTGAATTAAGCTTGTCATTAAATGAAGTCTTTTATACTCATGATCAAATTAATTGCAAAACAAGTAATAATTATAACAATCAAAAGCAGACACCGTAACTGTAATAGATGGATGATGAACACGCGGGCAATTTGGTAAGAATAAAGGATACTGTAAAGTACTAGGTTACCATAATTGCGGATGGATACTGTAAAGTACTATGTTACCATAATTGCGGTGAAAGTTATTTTATAAATGGACGCTTAAAGATAGCTTGTCGTGCATGTGTTGATAAGAATAAAGACTGCGATAATTTTAAAATAGAGTGAAATGAAATTTAAGTTCATAAAAGTTCTTGAAATGGTAAGTGCCATTTCAAAGTCCTACGACGCAAATTTGCAAAAGATGTTCCCATTTGCTGGAATTATAAAATTTGCTAGAAGAAGCGAAAAAATTTTTCAATGATTTTGCTGAAGCTCTGATAAGTGATATCAGTCAAGCTGGTGATGATAATATTGAGTCAATAGTAAAAGAAGAATTACACATTGATTTTGGTGTTATAATGGTTGAAAAATGAGCTGATTGCTGAGTTAAAGAAGGAAACAAAAGAAGACTATGAGTTGTAAGGAAGAATTGTTGTGGATCCATGAAAGTTCCAGATGTCACTGATGATGGCAGATGAGTGGGAAATAACCATTGGAATGAAGAACATGGAGGTTGGTGATAGGTTATCTTCGGCAATTGATGTTGCGAATCTTCGCTGGTATCATATCTTTGAACCTGCCCAATAAATAGCATTAGGGCAAATACATTTTAGAAGCAAAAGATACACTGTAATTATTTCCCAAGTTGTTGTATTAAGTTTTGCAGAAAAAGTTATATATTTCAAAACCAATTCCGGTGGTTTTCCTGAATTCATCGGGCACAAAACTTTTGCAGTAACATGAAATTTAGCGAAAATGAGGAAAAATACCTTGAACCTCTTCCTTCGTCGCAAGCAGCTACCATTTTCAAACATTCCTAGTGCATGTGGATGAACCGCCCAATAAGATCCCTTTCCAGGTCTATCTGGTCGTCGTGGTATCTGAAACAGAAATGATTAGATATCGATTGAAATTCATTTTCTTCTTTTCTTTCAATTTAAGTTATTTACAAATCTGCTTCTTTAGTAGCTTTTGTTAGTAACTTCAATAAATTTGTAATGACAGCAAAGGATTGTTGAATACTGCTTTTAAACATTAAAAGTTAATATTGTATATTACCAATTTTTACAAAAAATTATCGAGTTGCAATTAAATAAAAGATGGCAAGTTTGTTTATGGTAAAAAAGACATAGATTTAGGTATCGATTTTATTTGTTTTAAGAAATTGGATTGAATTGAGGATTAAGATTTCAATTTAAGTTTATGTTGAGTTGTCACTATTATTGCTAATAATTTTAACTTTAGTGAACAGTAAAAGAATTAGAAAAAAAGTAAAAGAATGGAGGGGTTTTTAAAGATTAGAATTTTGAAATATACTGATAAGTAAAATTGCTATCTCAGCATTACCGAAAAGAATGAAGTTTCAGTTGCATTATGTTTGCAGTTTTACATTGTACGGTAGCTCGGTACGCTCTTTTCATTCTCGTTACTGTTGTGATTGCTGTTATTAAAAGTACCAGTTAACTCTATATTTTGCAAATGGAAAGTCAAATTAAATAATTAAGTAACAGAGCAGAAGTTAATTATTTAGTATTATTCATTGTTATGTAAAAGTTGAATTGTTCTCAAAGCGAAAAAAAGCATGAAGCTCGAAGATAAATTATAATAAAACCTTGTTTTGGACCGAAGTTGCTAAATATGCAATAAAAATTACAAAATGGGGACTGAAATTAGAAACGGAAGATTCTGTCAACTTGATTAGCAGCAAAATGCTGTAGTGTTAAAAAAAAATTAGTTATTAGTGTTTGAACCAGTTTTTTCTTTGATTAAAATAACTGACCGACGGAGTAAAGCTGCCCAGGACGGAATGGTAACACTTAGTGCACAGCGGGTGGTTATAGTTTATTTACGATCCCATCCAATATTATATATTTTTGTAGAGAAAAAAGTGAATGCAAAATAAATCTTCCAAATCGTCCTTCAAAACATTTTTTTTCTTTTTTGTAATTAGTAATTTGGCTGAATGAAAAAGTTCACTTAAAACTTGCAAATTCGCTATTGTTGAGAGAATATTTGAAGCGAAGTAACAGTGGTAATTAGGATATGCGAATAATTTTTTCTATAAATATTGAAATTCAAAACTAACTAATTAGCATAAAACTATAAACGAAAGAGGAAGGAGTTTTATTCAATTAAGGAATATTATGAAATTTTATTAAAAGTAAATTAGGAGAAGATAGCGAGTTTAACAACTCTTATGGTTTTTTATTTTCTTACTTTTTGATTTGATTTTTGAAGAAAAGGAATAAGTTTTGAAATTTTGAGAGAAACAATTCAATATTATATATGCTTAAAAAGTATAAAAAAGTATATTACGTCGATTACTGAGGTCGTTTCATTTCAAACGCATGCACTGTTCTCGCTGATTTAAAAGTAAATTTAAAAGTACGGGACTCTTGTTCCTTCATTTCACCAGTCCTCCTAACTTTTAATTTATTGAATATTGAAGCAAAAATGACTAATCAATCCGTTTCTATTTTAAAATCTTTAAAACGTAGGCCTATTTTTTGATAATTTTATTTGAGTTAGAAAAGAATAAAGAAATCATTCGAATACCTTAACGAAGCAATCATTGAATGATAAGTTATGTCTGAGGGAATTTTGCCACCGTTGTGTATTTTTACGATAAAACGGAAATTTATCCATAATGTATCTGTAAATTTCAGTCAACGGGAGCATCTTTTCTTCTGAATTCTGTATAGCCATATATGTCAACCAAATATACGAATAAGGAGGTTTCTGCAATGTATATGAAATAGTAAGTCAGATCAGAAGTACTTCGGACATTCTTCATGGCGAATGAGCATCTTAAACTTATCTAAACAAGATTGATTACCCAGCCAGTCTACACATCTGCTGGGCTAAGATATTGCATTTTGGTGGAAAGTTTGGAAGAATTGTCGTAGATCTGAAATTTATTCAAACTATTTTCTAAAGAATAAAAAATAAAATCTTATCTGATTAATTTTGATAAACTACTCCATAAAGCATTTTAAAACGATTTAATTAAATGGAGTAAACTGTTTGAACGTATATTTAAAAGTAATAGGTTTAGAAAAATGTGGACAAAGTGATAAAAACATCTGACCAAGAATATTGGATCTTGTACTGATTTCTGTTCTATTTGTCTACACAGGTAGAAGCAATAAAACAAAGAGTAAATTATAATATGCTTAAGTGTAAAGTGAATTCATCCTTCTAAACTTATCCACGATACAATGATCAAAGAAAAGTAAATAAGAATAAGCTATACTAAGCTTAATTTCATCATTTAAACATTAATTGTATGCATGACAAATTAGATGAGATAGATGCTTGCAACTATAAATGTTTACCTGATCATCGTAGGAATTTTTTCCAGGTCTTGGCATTAGAAAGTTTACAGCAGCAAACAGGTATTCAGCACTGCAGTTGTAGCTGTTTTCTTGTATTTGTTTCAGCTATTGTTAAAATTCAAAACAAAATCTATCCGAAATTCTTGAGAAAAGAGAAAGGCACTACAAGTTGAATTGAGCTAACTTAAGATGGTGTGATAAATATCGGTAGTAGCAGTTAAAGAAATGAACAAATAATCGTCAAGCAACTCATTTCTATCCAGTACAACATAAATATGAACACACATGTGTATGTGTCAACCAGCGAGGTAGGAGGCGAGGCAACCGTTTGATAACTGTCGCAAGTATTGTCGCGTCGCAACCAGTTTACTTGTGTGGGCGGAGATTGAATAAGCCATGTCAACCAATGACTAAGGCATTCATGGTAATACCATGGGAGGACATTCGGAGAGCAATACGCATGTCACTTTGTGTCATCATTTGGTTAACAACACTTTTTCTAGGACATCAGATTACGGTACTCATTTGTTCTTCGTCAAGTTAACTTCGTTACTATTCACCAAATAAATATTATCCTTCTTTTGCAAGCATACTTGTTCATTACTTAATGCAATGGTTATATTTTAATTATGTTAATGACTAATCAAAATCGTAACGAACATTTCGTGAAATTCATTGTCATTTCTGCATAAGCAATTGCGATTAAAGATTACTATTTTAAAATAAAAAAAAAAAAATGAAGTAAACTTGAATATATAAAAATATGTAGTATTGTAATTCAGAAGTGATAAATCTATTATAAAATTAATAAACTTCAAAATGATTTAGAGTACTACATCTAATCTATTAATTAAGTAATTAATAACTCACAGAATGATCAATAAAAATTAATTAACAAGTATATGAGTACGTAAATGAACAAGTTATCAGCTTTATACAACTTTCTGTTCTAAGAAATACATCAATTACAATCAGTTTGTTTCTGTAAAAAATGACTAATATAATTAAAACTAGCATAATTAAAGAAATAGTAAATGATGGGAAAAGATTTGATGCAGCATTTATTCTGCTTCAATAAATTTTTCACAAGAAATTCTAAATCAGATAGATGAGGAACATCATTTACTGCTCAATAATATTAATCAAAACTTTAGCTTGTCTATTCTCTTCAACATTTTTTTCTTTTCCCTCATATGTGAATTGAGGACACCACAGTATAATTAAATTTTTTACTTAATGAAATATAGAGATTGTTATTTTATAGTCCAACCACTACAATTGCACTTGAATTCATATTCTTCTGATTTACGACAACCAACTTTTGTTGTTTTCTGTTGATAGGTTAAAATGTTTTAATGTATTAGAAAGTATTAGAGTATTAGAACAATTTAATTAAAATTTGCTATATGATTTGCAGACATTTTAGTAATTTTAGCAAGTGATTTTAAAAGCATCTTTTATTTCTGAATATTTTATCATAATACTCAACATTTTTTTGTAAGAGATGGTTTGTTACACTGAGATTATTTTGTGATATTTATTTTTATAAGGACATGAGATTACAGACCGATACTTAATTCCATATCATTGGTATTATCAGATTTTTGATAATCATGATATCAGGATAAATCATATTCCACCTTATCAGTCATAACATCTCATAAGCATTAATAGCGTGATCAATTCAGCTTTCAGGACTAGCAAAAAAGAAAACAGCATATAATTCAAATGTGAGTTTGCTTCATTAATTTTGAAGGTCATTTCATACGTCAGTTCATAGGTATCACGTACATCTTCCATCTATCCTTTCCTTCTTCGCATGCAGGACTCTAGTTTAAAAGTAGCTCACCGCCTTATAGATTGAAACAATTATTTAGTCTATTGCGGTATCTTCAGGGTAAAAAGAATCTGTTCATGTTCCTTCACTCAACTTCAGTATTGTATCGGTCCAACTGTCAAAATGCAAATGATCCATCATCTATCACCACCGCATGAAACCCCGCGGAGCTATCAGTACTGAGACGTCCCTTCCATCTTCTCTATATTTCCCTTTGAACATACAATGAATTATCGTCATTTACGCAATCGCAACTATCAGATCACTATAATTAGCTAAGTATTCTTTACACTGTTTTTGCTTTTCATGTACATCGATTACACCAAATATGAAACTCATTCCATTTGCTCCATGAAATCATGACTCTGCCATTACCCTAATCTTATTACATTATAATACTAAATATGATTGTAGTCGACAATCATATTTAGTAATTATCTCTGTTTATCGTCATTGCTGATAACTTTGATAGGAAGTAACTAGTGCCAAATAAATATGCTAAAACGATAATGAAAATTAATGACAACATAAACATTTCAAGACAGAATCAGGTTTACAAATTTAACACAGCTGTAAATATTGAGAGGAAGTTGCTAAAAATTCAAAATTATGTATTATCAAATTCATAGTTAGAAAAAACCTAATTATAAATTAGTAATATTCTGTAAAGAATCCTTTTTTCTTTTGTTCTTAGTTTGATTATGGAGATAACATCGTTCCCAAAACTTCGATTATTCTTACTGTAAAACTTTTTTTTCCATTACAGACACGAATTTAATTCATTTTTACCTTTTCCGATAAATTTCTCTCTGCGTCATATTATATAAAGAATAAGATTATTAATTCGTGCTATAAATTTTAATTACCTTTGCTACAAAATTGATCCAAAGCGCATTTATGAGTTAAGACAAATGAATGTCGTCCAGTTATTCCTATCATTCATTTTCCTTTGCCATCTAATCTTTTTCAAACGTTCCATTCTTCCTCTCGATCGTTCAAGCCTTAATTGCTTCCTCAAATTATGGCATCTTCTTTCCCTTATTAATCTTTCGTTTAACAATAGTAACTGATGCAAAACATATCACAAAATTATTCCTTATTGAAATCGAACAGAAACAGTTATGTGCAAATTGTTGGCATTGAAATGATTACATATAACTCATATTTCTTCCTTATCCTTTATGAAACCACAAGAAAAACTTTACTTCATCACTTTCAAAAATTAATTCGAGTAATGCAAAAGTAAAGGATAAAAAGCAGCGGTTTCTCCATCATTTCCCCATCTGTTCTACAATGTATATTATTAATAACAAACCAATAACATATACTAAATTCTTCTAGAACATCACATTTATTTCTCGCCTAAAAAAACTGAAGCTGTGTTTTCATAATTCGAATTGAAACTTTGATAAAAATGGAACTACCTTTCATAATTTCGTAATTTTGTTATTCGAACAACAAACCCTTCACACAGTATAAATTCGCTCAATTCAGCAGTACTTTCAGCGGATAGCTCGCAACTATATGGATGAATATAATGATGGATTATTTATTGTCTAGCCTGGCTTAGAATTCTACACTACTAAATTTGAAATTAAATTAGAGCACTACAATTAATAGGCATTGATTATTTTTAGTTACATGATTATCGGCATTGCTGGCTGTGTTTCGATGAATTATAAAATTCAATTCGCGTTATAAAAAGAAAAAAATGCTATCAGGAAATTCAACATTTGAGAAGAGATACGAATCACTGCAAAACTGTTCAACGATGAACACCCTATGATGGTCAGAAACAGCTTGTTGAAAAGTATAAATGCATTTGTCAACATAAACAACGGTCAAAGACAAGACATTGTTACGGTGTCTTTTTTCAGAAATCTTCTTTATAGGGAAATGTTCAGTGAAAATCTATCGTTCCTTGATCGTCAAGGTTTATTGCACAATAAGCGCATCGAAGCAGACTAATAGACGCCAACAGCAACAAAAACAACACCAACAATACTTTCATTTGCCATATTTGCCATCAAAAATCTGCAAAACTTTTTGCCCTTACCACTGCTTATCGAGGACTTTATGGGTATATTTAAACGTCCGTTTTCTGAAAGGAATTTTTGGATGCCTCGTCGTGATGGAATAGAGAATTTTGAAATCAGATTCATAAAGTCAATTTCCAACTTCAAAAAAAAAAATTTCCAACAGCAAAATTTTTGGACTTTACTTAAACGTAATCATTTATGCATCTACCACTTGAAAAGTCACATTTAATGAATTTGGCATAAGATGGATTCCGTATGAATTATAAATTCCACTGGCTCTAACAGACAAAAAGTGATGGCTTGGATATTTTACCTGAAATTACTAGCACTAAAAATCATTAACAAATTTTTTCAGAGAACTAGCAGTTGATTCAGATCTTCTTCGTACAGTCTTACTACTGCTAGTATTTATACTTCTAGAAGAAGATATATACAGCCATGATACTGACTGGTTATATTGTATTTAATCTACTAGCTATCAGTGGCTGAAGTTTAACTATCGACTGATCATTACCTTTTGCCAATTTAGCAACCCAGTTCGTGGATCTTTGTAAAGAGTATATGATTCTGTGGTTTGTTAAATGTTCTGAAAATACCTCAAATCATATCGACTGAAAATATTATATATTAAAATATTAAAAGTTGAAATAAAGTCTGGCAATTATAAATTTTATAGATACTACAAAAAATTTGTGCAACTTATAGATTTGCATAGGAAATTAAAAGGTCGGTTGATTCAGTGACCACAATCAAAGGTTAGAGTTCTTTGTTATGGAACGAAAGATTTCACTCAAGAAAAAATTTTTTTTATAGATCGGATCTGTATAATCAGTTTTCAGCGAAGAAATCGAACGAATGTTTCAGTAAAATAAGTAATAAGTTTGAAATATATAATTAGTCCGAAAATATCTTTTACAACAGTATCACAGCAAAATACAAAAGAATAAAAAAATCGTTTTATGAAAGTTGAAGTTTAAATAGGATCATAAAAATTACCTATAAGATCAATTCTATAAAAAATTTCATTGCCGGCGGAGCATAATAGACAATGTATAGAAAATACGAATTTGCCAGTTACCTTTGTACTCTGCGTATCACCTGAAATGACCATTTACAAATTGTCAAATATTGTCTTTTTCCCTGATAAAAAATGAAAAATATTTTGACACCAATCCATATCGAGAATGTTGGCAATTTGCAAACGCTGTCAAGTGTACGTCAAGTCTACACAAACGTTTATTAATCCACTGTAGATGGATGCATTCGAATGATATCATGGTAAGACGTGTAAAGTTCGTTAAGGCTCCGTTCTGATCCTTGGGATGACATGGCCAACAGGTTTGTGGAAAAAAGATTTGCTTATAATTTTGTGGTTGGTTATAGTGTAATATATATTGTCCACTAACTGACAACAAATTATATCTCTCATCATTTGAACTACCACAAGTCGCATATATTCTGTATGCAAATAGTTGAACTTATTGTCATAGCAATGGGCAAAAGGTGAAAAGATCAATAATGCATCCCAGAAATGAGCACGAATGAAGCATAAAACTCTCCATTTAATAAAAGGCATATATATATATATACATATATATACAGTCGATGTGACATGTAATGTTCCGAACAGAGAATATAACCTGCAAATGATGCACACTTGTCGTGCTTCGACATATCTGTTGTTTGTAAAGTAGTACCTAAGTTTTGAATTCATTTCAGTAATGCATCCGCAGTTTAATAAAATTATACCTTATTATAGAGTATCTAAGTACAAAGCTTTAAAAGGAAATAGGAATGGAAAGTGGAAATCAAAAATGTCAAGAAAAAATTACAGTGAAAAATTATGTCCAAAGTTCCATATCGGTCCAAATTTTAGTCAAAATTCACTTGAGCATAAGAATGAACAATCATTTAATGTCATCGCACCTATAATGTGATAGAATTTAATTACATTGTCCTATGATGCGTCGTGGACCCAATTTTAATTCATTCTATCTCATACTGATTAAAAAAATTCTAAGTCACTTTAATAATACAAAAAAAAAAACAGTACAAAAACAAACCCATGAATTTATTTCAAAAATCGGAAGAAAACAGGGGGAATGAACAGAGTGAAATTGTTTAAGTAGTTTGGCAATGAAGAACTCTTGCAACGCAAGAAAAATCTCTTACTGCTTTGATATTATGCAGTTCCGATCAAAGTTTGTGATGCTAATTGAGGTAAGAATAGGGATAAGTAAAAAGTCAAATAAAGTTCAATTTGAAGCATAAGAATGTTATAAAGACATCGTGCTTTTCTAGGCCGATAGTTCTCCACTCTATGCAAACTGTATTTGCATCGAATTCAGCTTTGGCTTCTGCACCTTATTTTGGTGGGATTTTTATATTATGAATTTTACGGAATTTATTTCAACAAAAAATAGAAAATTCAACTAATATAATAAGACACTGCACAAAAAGTGATCGGACACACTTCACAACATTCTCTCATCAACGGACACTTCCGAACCACTCTCCTAGTAACCTTGTGCTGATTAGAAATGAGAGCAGAAGAGGAAACACAGAATAAAATTATCATTATGTTGTCCATCAGCACATTGGTCAAGTAGTACTTTTCATCTTTTAAAAGAAAATGAAAAAAAAAAAAAAAAAAAAAGAAAAAAATGTAATAACAGCTGCATACGAATGCTTCAATAACAATGAGATCAGCTAAGCAACTCCAAAAATTCATTCAGAATTTTTTTTCCAATCATTTTCAAGGGAATATATAGTTATTCCATAGGCCGTCATTTCTGAATAAACGATCTGTCCTTCAACCATAAAACAAAAATACTAAGAGAAATACCTTGCAAAATAAAAAACAAGAAACATGTTCATGTGAAACGAGAACTATACATAGTGTAGGCGAATCGATCTATTCACTATAAATATAACGATGCCGTGAAAACGATATCACGTTTCAAAAGTACTCGTGCTTGTTCAAAACGTGCTTCCAGATCTCCATTTCCAATTGCTTTTGAAGCACCCACCATCTCACGCAGCAATTCTTCCAAACGTCGCATGCAACGAATTATTGAACCTGCAATTTGATTAAAATAGAATGAGGATAATGAGGAAAGTAGTAACTGAATGTAACTATTCTCATCAGCTAGTCATAAAATAACCAATGGAAGAACGCATACATATGCATACAAACATAAACATATAGACAGATAGAACACATATACAAAACAAATAAGTATACTAGTACCTTCAAAAACATCTGTTTTTTTTAAAATTTCAGCGAAAGAAGCACCAGTGCACCATGCATGGACTACGTCCATTAAATGCGGCTTAAACGATTCAACATATTTGTCTTCATCAATCTCAAGTTTTGATTCCTTTGTCACTCTTGCAATACGTCTGGCGTATTCCTGGAGCAATGATTTGAAGGTGAAAAACAGCAATCAAAAAATTTTATTCCACATGGGCTACAGAAATTGAAAAAAGCAGGTCGTCCAAAATTTTACACTACTGATGGAAAAGAAACAAATATTGCTTGCTAAATCTATTCTTTCGATCTTATGGAGATCTACCGCAGGAGAAAATAAGTAGTCTACCAAATTTTTTCAAAATTAAGAGATAAGAACTGATGGAATAAACCAGACAGTGTATGAGTTTGCATTAATGTCAGTAAAAAATCAAAAATGGATCACTTAAATGAGAACAATTAATGTATTCATTAATCTTAACACAAAATAATAAATGGCTCACTTGCATTGCTCTTAAACATCCACTAAGATCATCTGCTAATTTTGTTCCTCCTGCTTTCTCTTCAAATACAAAACATGAGAGTAAAGCTGCTAATTGTGGAGTAGCGAGTTCGGTAAATATGCCACCAAACATCATCTCCGTTAACATCAACTCATCTGCAGCACTTACTTCACACGATACACGCCCCTGAAATGCAGAACTCTCACTCGACTTCCATGTCTATTCAGCTCACCCACTATGAGAAAAAACCGAGAATTAAAGCGTTCTAAATTAAATGATATAGTGAGATAACAGTATATATTAGGAAATATTTTAGTCGGCATTTTCCTAGAAATCCATATTACTTTTACAATTAATTGCATCTTTAACCTTTTGTGTAATCACATCATTCTCGTCACAATATTGCAACCTTCGAAGCACACGCTTGCGACATTTCAGCTCATCTAGCTGCAATAAACTTTGCGCTTTCTTTAGCTCAGTTTTTGCCACCTTCAGTTCCGCTTCCAATTCTAGTTTCTTTTCATACTGCTTGTAGATTTCGTCAAATTTACTGTTTTCCCTAAACTGCTTCCATTAGTCAGAAAACTGCAAACACCAATGCGATTTGAATATTAAACTGGAGGCAAACGTACTTTAAAGGATGACTATCCTTTCGTTTTTCCAGCGCTTGCAATTTAATAATATTTTCTTGTAGCACTGAATCATTTATTTTCATGTCGTTTAACGGGTCAAGCAAAGGCATTATTCCGTTGAACCTTTTCAAAACTTCCTGAAACGTCGTAAAGAGAATATGGAAAAACATTGATAAAATACAACAATAAGGGCTGGAATATGCTGCTAGATTATAAAGCTGTTACTTTTATAACGCGACCAGCACTTTGTTTCCCCTCGTATGCTTTCAGATTCTGTGGCAATTTTACGCGTGCTGCACTTATTTCAGATACGCAACTGATAGCAACAGATACAACCTAAATAGCATTTCAACTCATCATCAATATTATTTAGAAAGGAGATCCGGTATATTTTTCGTTAGCGACTAAAAAAAAAGATATATTTTAATAAAAAAAATTAAAAAATAATGGTATATTTTCGTTAATGATAAAAAAAAATATGATTTAATAATGACCTCTACCACCCCTTTCTCATTTGCATTAGGCGGCCGCAACTGTGTAATATCTGATAAATTTTTCGCACTTTCTGTAGACAGCAATATCAATACATCTAGTACATACATCACGTCCAAGCCAAGAGGATCAACCGGATTCGCTTTTTTGTGGAAGTCCAACAGAGCTGCCCACCCAAAATCTTTGCCGTTTGAAACAATCTGAGCGCATAGAGTTAATATTTCACGATATCGAAAAAAAATTGGGAGTAAAAAATATACAATAATATCTGGGACCAAATTCAAGCTGAAATTAAACAAAAAGATCATGATTTATACAAAATAAACAAACATGAAGCAAACGTCCAGCTTGCAGAAAGGGTACAAGATATTTTGGTTTCGTGACCACTTCTTTTACAGCTTCTTTCAATACATTAATCTGTTTTTCCATTTGATAATAACCTGATATTTCCGTTTCTTTGTCAATTTTATAAGCAGAAAGTTCTTCTTTCTTCCTTTCTACGTCTGCAAATTTAATTCCAAACTGAAGAAATTTATATGAAACTTTTATAAGACTATCAATAACTAATATATAACAAACTTCCATAGAGCTGCGGCAAGGCATCATAATTCTGGAACTGATAAAATGAATTCTCTAGCATAAATTCAGGATTTATCCCTTCAACTCGAAGGAGGTTCAAAACCATATTGTAAGTCAGGCGAAACTGCGAGTTAAGTGGATCTGGCGCACCTTAAAGGAAATCAATGAGAAAAATTTCTCCATAAATTCCAATAACAGATATGTAGACAAAATCCTTTCATAAAGAATCACCTTTAATAATTTGTTTTGCCACATCCTGTCCCATTTGCTGATCAACCATTAATATTACAAGACCACGGTCGTCCTTACCACGACGTCCAGCTCGCCCACTCATTTGAATATATTCACCTGATGTAATCCAACTGAAAACACCGATTTTTAACCAAAATGAATGGGAGAAAAAATATTAAAAACTCTAATCCTCATATATCTAGATGAATTGCGAGAGTATATTTGCACAAAAAAGTTCCTCAAGGTCCACAACTAACATGTACTTAAACTGTGATAGGTACCACACTGTTAACTCTTTTGATGATTGCAAAGGAGAAAACATAAAAAATTTGTAACCAAATAAAAATAATCCAAACCGATAATCTTTTCCATCGAATTTTCTTGCCGATGTGAACAGCACTGTCCGAGCAGGCATATTTAGACCCATAGCAAAAGTTTCGGTGGCAAACAAAGTCTACAAAATACTTTCACTGATATGGCATACGATTTTACGATATTTTCATTTGATGAAGTGCCTATGCATTTTTGCAATCGTATGCCTTTATTTCATCGTATGCTATTATTAACTTAATTTTGAAAACTTCAAATAATGCGTCCCTAGAAAAACTTTACCATTCATTAATAATTTTTCTTTTATCTCCTGCCAATATTGCAATAACTTTCATTCGTAATAAAATAGTTTCTGTCTTGTTTGTGCTACAAATTTCAATAAACTGAAAAGAGATAAATTACACATTGTTAGACTTACTTTGATTAAACCCTCTCCGAATAAAATTTCGATCACTTCCTTAACAATTGGCAATAAACCCGAATGATGCACACCAATACCACGCAACAACAATGGTAGCACTCGTCCAATTTCAGGCAATTTGCTGTCTTCATCGGATAACAAACTGATTGCATTAACAAATATTTCTTTTACCTTTGCTTTTTCATCTTCTAAAAAATTATGCAAATGCTACTGAAGTTCAAACCTCTTCGAAAATATATATATATATATATATATATATATATATATATTTTTTTTTTTTATATATATATATATATATATATATATATATATATATATAAAATACCTGTATTGAAGTCCAAACTCGTCATTTGTGTTGCATATGCTTCACACTCTTTTCGACTGAATGAGAAAATGATGACTGGAATCATGTCTCGTTCCTTAAGCGTACGGATTATATTCACCACATGAGGTGTACCTGGAGAGATGAAAATATAAATATATTTTCAAAACAAATAACTTTTTAATAACCTAAAATTAAGGAATTCAAAAATCCTACTTTTTAAAATTCATTTGGTAATGTAAAAGTCTGTCAGTAATACTTTTTCACAGATAATACTCAAAGCTCTTTGCACTCTTGCAAATTTATCAAAAATAATCGCTGTAGCAGATAAAAGAAATTTAGATAGATTACTTAAAATATAACAGTAAACAGTAAGACCAACTGTTCCTTCAAAACACAAAGATTTTTTAATTTGAAGACGGTATCGAAACAAATGAAAGGAAGATCACAATAAAACCAATCAAAAAAAAAAAAATAACAACAAAGTATCAATAGACAAAACTTTTAGAATAAACAATATAAAAATCAATCATAAGATTACCTGATGTTCCACCTTTCTTCCCTCTGTTGATTCCACCCTGTCCTGCATCTCCCACTTGTGACAGCACATTCATTGCTTCAGTAAATTTATCCTCTCGAAAAATTCCCTAAAATATCTTTTTTAGAGAATCAAATCATTATGTCGATACAAAAACAGGACTGTAATAAATCTTAGAACACAAACGAATAATAGTAGAGAATCGCTTCAAAAAAGGCAACAAGGCTAACCGGAAAACAAAACTTACCTGCATATTTACAACTTCATATAGGCCTGAACCACCAGCTGGGTATATGAAATGCTGCAAAGGCACTGGACGATAATCGGTATATATAACATGAACCGGTTGATCGTGAAGATAAACTACCCAATCTGCAAAATCATTTTTATGAAATTTCAATAAAACAATAGAAGAAAAGTCCACAAATATCATTAAAGCAATAACAGTTCATCTTTTTTTAGTATTTTATTTGTAAAAGTTTTTTTTTTTTTTTTCAATATTTTATTTGTACAAGTAAGACTGACCTGCAAACTGCCTTGCATTTGGAATTGTAGCAGAAAGAAAAACATAATGTACAGTGTCAGGTAGTAAAATAATTGTTTCTTCCCACACAACGCCACGCTCTAAAAAATAAATATCGCAAACACCTCATTAAAAAGCAATTTTTTAATGCTGGATTCATACATCACAGCTGCGAATACATCCATATAAGATCTCTTTTGGAGCATACTAAAGACAGTCGTCCGTACGAACCAGAAATTTATGAACGTTAGAATAATTTTCTGAAAATCACAAACCTTTATCGCGCATATAGTGAATTTCATCGAAAATTACCCAGCCAACTTCCCTCATAATCTCCGAACCACGGTATAACATTGATCGCAGAATTTCTGTCGTCATGACAATGCAAGAAGCATCCGGATTCAACGTATTGTCACCAGTCATCAAACCTACATCCTAAAATCATTTGACAAAAATCAATCTACAGAAATTTTTCACATTATTATGAAGTTACGAAAAAAACTTACACCAAATTCCTCTTCCAATTCTCGATATTTTTGATTAGATAAGGCTTTGATAGGCGAAGTATATATAACGCGCTGCTTATCACGTAAAGACATCGCTATCGCATATCTAAATTATAGAATTTAGTTGCACTTTATATGTTGCTTAATTGATAACTTAAAGCAATGTATCTTAACAATTTTTCTCAACAACCTTAGCATGCAGTAAAAGGAACTACATAGTCTTGCAAGTGCAAAAAACTTTGAAGGTAAAGTATGTTGCTATAAATTTCATTGTATGAAATTTACGAGAACTGACCAGCATGAATACGATTCCAAAAGACTTACAATGCAACAACAGTTTTTCCAGCAGAAGTATGGGCTGATACAAGAACGGAATGACTATTATCAATACAGGTGATTGCTTCTCTTTGAAAGGCATCTAACTGGAATTCATACATCTTGGCCGGAGCTGTTGTACGTGGCTTCAATGGTACATATTCCATATTTGGTGGCAAGACGATCTGGAAAAATGGTCGTGCAAAGGCAGGAAAACCAAAAAATTTTGTTTAATAATTTGAAAGGTCATGAAACTACTTCGTGTGAACAATTTCCTTCACTTTCGACAGTTTTGATATTGTTTCGTGGATGGGAAGCTAAACCAGGAAGCTCCTCCATAGTCTCATTTTTCGACCTTTTCGGTAATAATCCTAGAAAAAAAAAAAAAAAAAAAACCTTTGTTACTGGTGTAAAAGAAGCACTTTAGACATGAGGTAAAAGTTATTAAATTTACTGAATCAATAAATACAATCGAGTAAATCAATAAAGATACCTGTGTCGTTGTCATCTGCATTATCATCGCCATAACCATCGTCATCACTTGTTACCACTTTAATATCTTTATTTGCAGCATTGCCTGCCGCTAATTGTCCCAGCAATTGGTTGGCTCGTTCACGAGCTTCCTTTTGCTTTTTCTTACTCGTCTGAACATGATTTTTCAAAAATCAAAAAACCAAACATGTAACCAACAGCCATATATCAGTTAAAAAAATAAAACATTTAATAAAAGACTTAAAAGTCAAATTCTAAAGAAGAACTTAAAGGTTTTTAAAAAACATCGTAAAGAATGGAGAAAATACTAAAATCGGCAAAATATTGCAGTAAATATCTGGATAACTCAATCTGACAGTATTGACACCATAGATAAATCGAGATCAAATTAACTTTGCGAAGAAAACTTTTTGAACGAATTACCTCTGTCTTCTGGACGGACCTATTCGACACTTCCTTCCTACTCGTACTACTGGATGAACTACTACCTTCCGCAAAAACATTGAACATTTCCATATCTTCATCCATGAGATACACCACTCACGTCACCTATATAAAGTGAACAAATGAAGACATAAAATGCGGAATTAATAACAAACTGTGAGCACTCACTCTTTTCCACCAACGTTTTAGCCACAGGTCCCCCAAATTTATGACCAACAAGAAACACTGCATAGCTCTGTCAAACACCACAAATCACACCATGTACAATCCTAATCGAAGAAGAATAAATCCTTCAATACTGCTAATGTTGTAAAGATAATTTTGAATTCGGGAAGAGTAAATTGAAAGCAATGAAACACTAAAAAAAAGAAAAAGAAAAAAAAAAACGATTAGCTTCCTTTCGTCACCATACCATTAATCTATGAATATCGTAAGTAAACCAAGCGAATAACAGGACACACAACAAGTGCATTTCTTGAAGGAAATTTAGTTATGTTTGAAATGAAATGTTTTCTATTATCCTTGAAGCAAGCATGCTTCAGTGGTAGTAGAAAACGGTTGGGGAAGTATCTTCGTGTAACTACAGATTAAGACACTTCTCGCCATGTACAACGTGCACTTGCAAAGGTAGCGACGCCCATCCCATCAACACCACCCAGAATTCAAAAGAAGCGACAACACAGCCTGCAGGTGGTACTAGACAAATAAATATTTATATGCGACTTTGACGAGAACCAAATGAAACGAAGATATCATGTTGTATTATTATTGTTATTAATGGTCTTGATGTCGTGTTGTTACATTTAAATTTTTCGTCAATGTTTTGAGAAGAGTGATTCACTACATGAAGTTTACTGCTTCATTTAGGTCAAACCTGATCTCTCTTGGAAAGGATCTGTTGATTCAAATCTATTGTTACTTATTTTGCTGAGAGAAAATAAGCGGCTGTAACAATTGAAAAAAAAAAGAAATTTATATTGGATGAATATTTAATTAGCATAATAATGGAAATAGAATGAAGTCATCATTCTACTAAGGGGTAACAAGCACAGTAGCGACGATTTATCCATGTAAAGGATAGAGATGAACTGGTGAATAATTCGATAGGCTTCTTTAAACACTTGGTTTTCCTAATTTCAAATTTTTTCTCTTCTATAATCTTCACATATTTAAAATAATTGCACTCTCTCACGCTTGCCTTAGTTTTTCTCATCGGATTCTAGACGATATAGTCCTTCAATCATCCGAAATTTTTTCGTGGCAATCCTTTTGTCGAAACAGCTCACAAATCAATTCACATAATTTATCCGTAATTTTAATTAAAACATGAAGAACTTCAACAATTTTTGGGGTTGTGTTTTCTGGTTATATCCCAATATCATTACACTCGAACTCTTTGGGATCCGTGGTGGGTGGGAAATTGTACAGTTGTCTATTATTGATGGATTTTGTGTTCGATGATTCTTTCGTAATGAGTGTTGTTGTTGTTGTTGCTTCCGTTCTAATCGTAGTTGTGGTTGGAGACGACTGAAAAAAAAGACCGATTTTCTTTTCAAAAAGACATATTTCTGTCATTTGGGAAAGTTGAGATAAAATTCAATTTTCGAGTTTGAACTTCTACCTTGGAAGAGAAACTGATTTCCCAGTCATATGGATCGGAAAAGGAAACACTGAGTCGCTTCATGCAACTCATCATCAAATCATAAATTTTCTTATAGTCAGGTCTTGATTCATAAGTCAATGTCCGTATGTACTTCATTATGTGGATCCATTCCGGTGGACAGTCTGCCATCAATACTTCATCTGTTATTTTGTCCTTCATTATGCCCACTTCTTTTTCCTGGTAATGTAAGACACAACAAATTTCATGCAGATTTCATGTGGAAACATTCAACGAATTCTAAATCTTAGTAAAAATTCCAGATTTTATATTGATATTTAAATGACACAAAAACTCTTCGTAAAATACGTACAGTGATACCACGCCAAGGCAATCCGGCATGTAATTCGACAAGGACGTAAATTAACGACCACAAATCATCCTTTCTTCCCTGCTCCATTCGGGCATGAACTGTCGGAGAACAATACCTAATTAAGATCGCTGTACTGGACAACAAATCTTTAAAAAACAATGTTAAAGGGAATCACCAATGTCATAAAATCATGAAGGCTTTTGGAAAAATCAGCTACATATTTGCTGAAGTATTTGATTCAAGTGTACCTTGTTGTACCTCTCATAAGAACATGCTCACGCTGCCGCCTAATTCGTGCGTAACCTTCTTCCCAAATTGCATATTCTCGTGCCATACCGTAATCAATCAGATAAATAATACGTGCCTCATGTCCACGCCGTCCGATTACCATATTTGCTGTAAAATGAAATGAAATATTAAGCTGAAATATTTGAAAATTTTCAAGAGATTTATTTGATTATGCTTTTTTGTCATTGTCTATATGTTGCCATACACAAATTTCACTGTATTGTATACTATTCCTGTTATAAGTAATATTGATAGACTAACCTGGCTTGATATCTCGATGAACATAACCGATTTCATGTAATTGTTTTATAGCATACAGTGCGTGAACTCCGATTCGATTTGTCGTCGCAGCACTAAATGTGTTTGCTTTGCACATCTTTTTCAGTTGCATTAAATTTGGTCCCAAGAGTGACATCACAACATATGAATACTGCAATATAATTTTCATCAAAATATTTAATAACTGTTTGTCATGTAATATATTTTTATTAATTCTAATGAATTACTAAATGCCGATGTGAATTACTTTATATATTAAGTTATCAAAGAGAAAAGTCAGTCATTTGGTTATCAAATATTCGATGCAGTTCGTCTTCTGGAGGTACCATGACAGATATAGATGGTTGCATATATCCATCAGTATCGTTAAGCTATGCATTTCATTAACTCCCACTGATGTATAATGCCGGATTTTGATCCCGAAAATATATTCGTCATGCTTTAACATTGCCTTTTCATACGATAAGCAGTTCAGAATTTCTTGCGGGAAAAATATCCAGTAATAGATTATAATAATAGAATCAAAAAATTGAAAGAAGTATCCAAGTAAAAAGTAGAAAAAGGGACATATTCACGACGTGCAGCATGTACCACTCGAACAGTATGTCTTCGACATTGCAACTTTCGCATGACAGCTACTTCTTTCTTCAATACGCCGCAATTGTCACCTGAACGCGCTTCAACCTATAATTTTAGGACCATTAAATTAATTGTGCTACAGTAGACAAAAGTACCTTTTTGTCATATTAAATCTGATGAGGTATGTGCCCAGCACTATTATTTCTGCGTTTTCTACGTGAAGGAATAAGTTTAAAAATTCAGGGAGGATAATGTGCTAGGTATTAAACATGAAATGGTATTAGTTTTAGTTGCATCACTCATTTCACGGATCTTTCCATTATATGTTGATTTCTTCTTAAAATAAAATTAGGGTAGAAAGGGAGAATGATGCTAAAACACAAAGTGTGAACTTATCTTTGGTGAGATTCCTAATGACTAGTGAGCTTTATTTGTATATGATTGCAAAGATTTATTGTCACCAAAGGGATAACTTCGAAATTAATAATGCTAAATAGTAAGATGTGTGTGTGTGTGTGTGTGTGTGTGTGTGTGTGTGTGTGTATGTGTGTGTGTGTGTGTGTGTGTGTGTGTGTGTGTGTGTGTGTGTGTGTGTGTGTGTGTGTGTGTGTGTGTATGTGTGTGTGTGTGTGTGTGTGTGTGTGTGTGTGTGTGTGATCAACTGATAGAAAAGACACATTTTATGTTTGTGGCATCAATTACGTAAGGCAGTCGTTTTATTGCTAAACAGTGAATAGATAGATGATTGATTTGTTTAGCTTACTTTGAGAGCAGCTTTCACTCGAGTATCATTCAAATCGTGCACTTTGTATACGGTAGCACACGAACCTTCACCTAGCTTCTCATCGACAACCCATCGTTTACTGATCACTTTGCCCTCAGACAGATCGATCAAGTCCATCTAATAAGGCTTACGTTTCTTTCGAACCTACAAATTTGATTCTTGAAAAAGTAGCAACAAGTACTTTTCCCACATTTTCAATGCTTTTATGATTATCTTTTTTTTATTTAATCATTATGTAAATTTGCTAGATTACAATAAATCTACATAAATATTGACTTCAGATGGAAGTGTACATCTCATTCATATATCAGCTAAGTTCCTTGCTCCTCCACTGTTGGGCTTTTTTAATAGGAAAAATGATTAGATGAATATTCTTAACTAACTGACTAGAATACTTTGACGTTTCACTCATTATACGTTACAACTGTTTACGGAGTTCACACTGATCACAAAATAGACGATGAAAATCGTCTATTTTCAATTTGTTACCTTTACTACTGCCTCAGAGAAATTCAAATTGGACTCATTGAATTGTTTATACTAAATCTGAACTCTGTCCGATATCTTCCTGTTTGAAAATATTGTTTGTAAATTGTTTTACGGTGGTTTTATGATTTCTTTACAGGAACTTTTTGTCAGTGACGACTAATAATGCTGATTACTGCTATTGTGCCCATCACATCTATGATTCTCGAGGCAATCTAACAGTAGAAGTTGATCTTACTACTAAGAAAGGTCAGCCTTCTGCATCTTACTTAATCAATTTACACTACATTTTGAATAATTCTTGTCAAACTCTAGACATGTTTCGCGCAGCGATGCCAATTGATGCATCAATAGGTGTGCATGAGGTACTCGAACTTCGTGATCAAAATGAGGATGTTCATCATGGAAAAGGAGTTCCAAAGGTAGTTAAAAATGTCAACGAACAAATAGCTTCAGCATTGATTTCTAAAGTAAGTTAAATTAACTTATTTTTTTTAAATTAACTTTTTTCCTTATTTGATCTATGTCGCAAATTTTTTGAAAATTTGAATGGTTTTGAATAGTTGGATCCGACCCAGCAAAAAGAAATCGATGGATTTCTTCTTCAGCTTGATGGAACCGAGAATATAAATGTGAGTGCTTCTATCTTTTCATTAATGATCGGCATTCTAATAGTCTATAAAAGATGTGAATAAACAAACCGTCCTCTTATAGAAACCTATAAACACGAACTGACTGTCAAAACTGTGAGCACAAAATAACCAACTTTCTGCACTTAACACTTCATTAACATCGAAGGATTAAACTGCAATTGCAAATTATTTCCTCTGTGATAAGGCAGGAATTGAAAATTATTTAGCAAAATTTGGTGCTAATGCAATTTTGGCATTTGTTAGCAGTACGCAAGGCTGGTGTTGTTTGTAAGTGTTTACAAATACACTGCTGAACTAGCATGTGTGGAGGTAGTCGTTCTGCCGGTACCTGCCATGAATGTTATCAACATGCTGGTAATAAACTTGCAATGCAGATTGAGCTTGTTTATTGAGGCTGCTAAATCTGCAGTCATTAAATTTTCTAAATTTGTTATAATACATCTTCAATATCAGGAATTCATGATTATGCCCGTTGGAGATTCCTCCTTCACTTAAGCAAAGCGCATAGATACTGAAGTTTACCACAACTGAAAATATGAAAAAAATATCACTTCCTGTTTCGAGTGCATCATCTAATATGCTCTACTTTATCCTTATCCTATGTAAAGCCCCTGCAATTATTTTGCTAGAAAACAATTACAAACATATCTCATCGAAAATAAAAAACCTACCATCCTTACAGTGAAGGTCTGTTCTGTACAACTTTCCTCAAACATCGCAAACTTTCCAAAAAAGTTTTTTTTTTTTCCAAAGAAAAAGAGAGTGTACATGATATTCCCGCTAAACAGCTAAACAACAGACATAATGAAGCTTGCAAGCCGAATATGTATGTTTTTATGGAACTTTGCATTGTATAAGAATCAATTTACATCTAAAACTACAAAAGTATTTAAATGTAAAATTAAAAATTTCGAAATGCGCCTTTACAATAATCAATAATCAATGACAAACAATAGCAGAATAGATATTTAAAGCTAAGCTAGCACCACAAAACCAAACTTATTTCGAGATTCCGTTTGCCTTTGGCTTCGTTAATAGTTAAGTTGACTCATTAGAATCTGTTTAAATTTCTGCTTCGCCAGTTCAGGTGGCATCGGCGTCAGAGTGATATTTCAGATCGCACAATGCATCAAAGTTATGCATATGTGCGCTTCTCAACGACGTATCTAAATATCTACCGGAGTGAATTCCTAGAAAATAATGTCCCACCGACGTACAATGAAAAAATATACATTTCCTGAGCCATAGCAAACATAAATAATGAAAGTTCCAATTTACATTGAAAATCAGAAAAGAAATTAAGGCAAAAAGAAGTGAAGATTTCTGTCTCTACAGTGGAAGATTTGAGACACCCAGTGTTAAAATGTATCGAATTAAATCTCGTTCATCATCTGCATCATCTGGTCTTTGAATTTCAAAACTTTCTGCAACTCCTTGTTGAGACGTTCAATCTCTTCAGCTTTCCCATCCAGCTATAATACACCACGTAGATTTTTAAACTTTTCACTGGGAAAATAAACATTTGCATATGAGAATAAAAAAATCTTTATCCTGAGGTAAGACATACAACCTTAAGTTTAAAAAATAGTTTTACAGTAAAAAGGATAAGCGGGTAAAGATAATTACCAAAATTTTCAAACATTTCACTTCAGAGTCCTTAGCATTCGTCATCTCCTCCAGTTTCTTCTGTGCATGCTTCAAACTCTCAGCCATCTCTGCAAAACGAAGTGCAATGAAGTTTTAATTTTGAAGCAAACTGTCCATAATGAAAGACAAGCTATATTCGCGTTGAAATATGAAGTTTTTTAGTGGAATTAGTATTTATAATTAAAGTACGAAATGAATTTCTCCAAAACCTATTTTCATTAAGCGTTATTGGTACAGGGAATTCTGATTCCTCATCTAAAAGAAAGAACCAAATAATATCTATATGCTAAAACTATGAATATGATAGTTGTTCGTGGCATGAATTTCTGCGATCTCTGCGATCAATGTCCTATATTTTTCAAAAAAAGAAATATGAACCGTTGTTTTCGGCTTTTTTAGCCACTAAATTCAGTTCCAAAATTTTAAATTCATTGACGAGTTGAACACATTCTTTGTCCTTATTAATCAAAGCATCTGATGCTCTAGAAATATAACTTTATAAAATTTAACAAAGCATTGAACATCGCATCATTTTTCCTTCTTACTTTTTTTTTTTTAAACTTAATTTGATCTTGTAAACAAAGTTTACTGGGCAAATTTTTTCCTCAGTTCGTCGTAACGACTCTTCGCAAGTGTAGCAAGCTCTCGTTCGCTTTTATTTTCTTCTTGTAAAATGTTTTTTTCTTGTGTTATTTTTTCAAGCCTGAAAATAAAAAAAGTACAAAAAAATAAATAAAAAAAAAGAATAAAGAGACCGGAATATGTGAAAACAATGGTTTTGAATCTATCACAGTAAATTCCATTCGTCATATTTATAACTTCTGTGAAAGCTCTCCTACCACCGCAACAAATCTGAAATGTCATGAAATCAAAAAGCGCTAAACTGATATGATGACTTTACAGATTTTGACCGCGATACTGAGATGTATTTAAATTTTAAATGAACTCACTCGTCATTGAGCACAGCCAGTTCCATTTTTTTATCCTCCACTATTTTCTTATAAGCATCACACGTTTCTTCTGTTTCTCTTTTCTCTGAATAGAGAGAAGTTAGCAACGCGTTTAAATTTTCGATTTTTTTTTCGCAATCAGCAACCAATTTTCGAAGACTTATTATCTGCAAAAATTGTGATGGAATTAAAAGTTAAAACTTCTCTGAAGATTAAAAAAGCTCTAAACCGCCACCTCATTTTCATTATCTTTTTTGTTACGCAGATTATGATCTTCATGATGACGCAACGACTCTTCCATCTTTGCTACTATTCTTTCCAATTCTTTTTCCCGAATCTAAATATATATATAATCTGCATAGGTAGCAATAAAACAGAAAAAACAATAAATCGAACTATGCACAAAAAATATACTAGCAAAGTGGCTTTTTAGAATCCATTTTCTGGAATGTGTACTACAAATAAGACTTGAAAATGTAAGTTTTATAAACATGAAAATAAGTACTGCATATCATTTGCAGTTGAATCAAACTCAAACCGAAACAGCATTTCGATTCGAATAAAACACCAGTTAAAGGAAGAAAGGAAGACGAATTGTAATAGTTTTTTTTTTTAAATAAACAGCCAAAGAAGTACAGGTGTAAGAAATTTAAACGTACCTTCAAAGTTCGTACCTCCTTTTCATACATATTTAATAACTGCGATACTCGAGGATCTTTGAGCTGGAAACTTGGTTCAGTGTCAGGCACTATTTATTTTTATTTATGCAATAACATAGAAATAAATATTATGTAAATTAATAATCAGCACATTATACCATTCTGCACCATTTCACACAAATCATTTGAAATAGTACATAAATTATTTCAAACTCACAACATTCTCTTGCTGTAGCTTATCCAGCAGATCACCGACTTGTTTTACAGTCTCACTTTTATCTATCAAACGATCACTGGATGTTTTTTTATTATCTACTGCGAAACCACCAACATCACCATTTAAGCTAACTTCGGAGTTGTCGCTAGAACGACAATATATAGAGGTGAGTAATTTTTATTTACTCCAAAATAGTTAAGTTACTTGAAATTAATAACGTGTTGTATTAACCACCAGGAAATATTGAAAATAAAAAGAAGCATACCGAGATAAACAGATCCTTGCTGCATTAGATGCCAAAATCTTTTCTTCACGATAGCCTGCTATCAAATCTCCCAACCTCAAAACAGTTAATTAAGATAAGTTAAACAAAAAAAATAACTATTGAAAGCATACCATTTTGTAGGAAAAGTGTGACTTTGTGCACAATGTATGTAAAGAAGTAAAGCTTCATGAGTCAAGTCGGCACCACCACCAACAACTGCATATGCGATAAACGGCACTAAGCGGTCATCCTGAAAGATAGGATAGAAACAAATCCAGAAACTAAAGTGCTAGATATCAAATTAATTAATATTTAGTATCACATACCTTCAGTATTTTCCAATATAAATCTTTGTGTGGTTTTGAATGATCTTTCAGTATGGTCAGAACTCTCAGCAGTTTCAAAACGACTGCTACACCATCGACGCTATAAGTTTTCACATAATTTATACATGAAGTAATGAAGAACATTAGATGATAACAAAAAAAAAAAAAAGATTCGCGGTTCTTTCAAGATGATATTACAACAGTAAAGCAAGGTAAATGGCGAACTCGAGCACACTGCAAACGATAAAGTTATGAATACGAAGTAGTGATATTATATAAATTCGAGAAATACGAAAGACTGCAACTACTAATAGCTCACTTTTGTTAATAAAGAATTGACCCTTAAATCTCAAAATACGGGACAATACACAAAACTCACCACCATTCAGGCAAAGATCCACTACGCTGCATTGCAGGCTGTCCTACGTAAGTAACAACAGTATTTGAGATCATTTGTGATTCGATGATGTGAGAGCAAAGCGGAGCAGTGACAACTTCGAATAAATAAGTTCTTGTTTCATCATCATTTGAAACCGCTAAAAAAAAAGAGAAAAAAAAAAACTAAAATGGTTGTAAATTTTATGGTTTGCATCCACAATATGGATCTGAGTATAATTTCTTCATGGAACAGCAAGTGAATCGTAAGCGATTACTTTCAACGAGGCGTAACCCCTCAGTTATTCTTTGGCACTGAAATTTTACAAAGTTGCTGACTGTTTCAATCGCCGTTTTTGTGTTATTTTCGATAAGTCGTAAAATATGTTCCGTGGGCAAAACATCTTGTACATGACCATCGTTTTCGATTAGTTCCTGTGCAAAATTATCCTGAGATTAACAAATACAAATAGGTGCAAATATCACGATCAATATTCAATATAAAAATTATGCTGATGCAAGTTAAATGCCAATTTTTCGACATATTTATTTTGCTTAACTTATATGAACTCCTTTTTTAGAGATGACTCCAGTATCAATGCTCCATTCACCAACAAATGCCCAAATGAAACTTTTTAACAGTTTAAAAAAACGAAATATGTAATGAAACTTAACATCCTGTTCATACTTCGTTATCAAAGCTTTGTAAGCATGAATGTCAAAAGAGGCAAAATATCAAAAGCACGCTTTTTTTGTACCTGCAGCAAATAAATGAGAAGACGAAGAGCCTTCAAAGGGATTTCAGGCTCAATCGCTTCATCGAAAGAGAGATTAGATGTGTTGCAAATAGCTAGAATTGGAGTTGTCAATCTTTCATTGTGTACTGAGCACCGTAAAACAGCTTGGGCAGTTGCTGATCGTAACTGTGCCATCGAACAAAATGATAAAAAAAGATCGTATACCTGCAAGCACACTTTCACAAGCTAAATTTTCAGGAATCCCATAGAAGATTTGAGAATGTAAACAAATTTTAAATTATAGATGAAATAACCTACTTTAAGTGACTCCTCGGTGCGAGGATCAATTTGAACAAAAAGGCCTGCAACACGTTGAATCGTGTTTTCAAAATATGAATAGGAAACAAGATCTTTGCCTGTAGACGTAATTGTTGGAAGTGATGATATCTGCAAAGTCTAGTTCACTTTTTTCATGTCTATTACCAGAAAATGATAAAATATGAGTAGGAGGTGAAATAACAACACAAATTTAAATCAGTTATATAAACATTCTTGCATATTCTGTTCAGGCATTTTTCCCATCACAAAAATGGAGGACCTCTTTGAAGATATTAAACCTTTAAAAACATACATCAGAACAGTCATTAATGATTAATCGCTTCAGCAGATCAACAGCAATATGTCGCGTCATCAAATGGTCCCCCAAAATCAAAACATTGAAAACACACCGGAATGTTTGAGGAATGTTCCGAGAACAAAATACCTGAAGTGAGAAATTTTTCCATCTGTTATGCATGAATATGTTTCCAATTTAAATTTATGCTTAGTATTACATCTTGTTGTTCCCGCTAAGGGCTATTCTTTCCACTTCAAAAAATGAGCAAAATATTACATTCTGCTTTTTCAGTTTTTTCTCCAAAAAATGCTAAAAATACTAGCAAAACAACTTCATATTAAATAGTCCCATAAAGTTATTTTTTAAACGCTACAGAATGGATATGATATGATTAAAATTTTTCGCTATGTTTGAATTAACTACTTAAAAAAAGTCACCGTATCACGAAGTTTTTCCTCCAGAAAACCGACTAGTACAAGAGATGAAATAACTACAGTTCGCGAGTCATGAGCTAATAGCTTTAGCAGTTTGTGAGTGAAAACTTTGTAGGATGACTGTAAATGTTTCATATTAGCGTAATTGAAACAATGTTATTAAATATTATTTGTAAACAAAAAGCATCATACTCCATATCAGAAACGCGGAATTTAAAATCATTTTATTACAAAACCACAAATGAACTCACCGATTTGCGTATTCTTAAACAAGCTGATTTCGATCGAGCAGCAAGATTACATAGTATGGCTATACAATAAGGAAGCCATTCTGGTTCATCATCACAAGTCCTACAACAAATCCAGTTACATAAAAATATTTAAAGTTGGGAAACTTGTAGAATTTTTCAATAAATGTGAATGAGCAAAAGAAAATAAATATGATAAAAAATTAAATACACACCATACATATCAAAATCTAATAAGACAAGCACACTAAATAGGTCAAAACCAAACCTTATATAAACATATTCATAGCGATAAGGTAAATGAAGTTAAAACTAACACTTCGCTTAAAAGAAATGAAATAAGATCATTTGTCCATAATCCAAGCACTACATTTCGTTCATAAGTGAGTACCTAAACAAGCAAAAATTATGCTAGCAACAAAATCGAACATCATTAAATCTACTAATATAAATATAACACACCTGAAGTAGTCGCAATACGTCAATAAGATTTTGTGGGCCAAGCTGTTCTCGCAGTGACAACTTTAAGCATTCAAAAACTGACCCACATATTTGCAGATTTTCTCCTGCCAAGTACCTTCTGATTGAGATATTGTGAAAAGCTAAAACACATCCGCTAACTGGCATGTGCAAAAATGATCATCATAATGTCAACATCACCCTAACCTTATTGCTTACATTTCTACAACGGCGGCTACTCTGTGCAATTTAAGCACTATAAATGTCATACTGGGCAAAGAATCTTTATAAATTCGAAAGTAAAACATTGAAAACATAGCTAACCTAAGTTGAAAAGAAAAAGATGTAAACGAGAACGAGTAACTGCCGATGTAGAAATACCATTCAGTAGCATCGAACAATAACGAAGCAGATCGCATAACTGACGATCATGTATGCTTAATCTGGCTGATGTATCCAAAATATTTGTCAACTCGACCAATTTCTGGAACCGTTTCATTTAAATAGAAAAAAACGATAGTATTTTTTTTTTCTTAGTAAGAAATAATAAATAACCACCAGGACTAATGCAAGGAAGATGTGAGTAGCAGAAAGATGGATATATAGAAATGAATACACAGCTATAGAGTAACATATAAAAATAAAGTTGGGGACTTTATTTTATCACTAAGGATATTGTAACTTAATACAATTCTAGTGTTTTACTTGTTACTAATAAAATTATGATTCCATTGGAATTATCATACATGTAAAATTCATAGCTAAATCACTTAAGACAGATAAGTGAAAATATTTTGGTTATAAAACATAGAAATGGATTTATCGCTTATCCCAAGAAAATAAAATGTTCACCCCCAAATGAGTATCCAACGAAGAAGCATTACTTTCGTTACTGTCGCTGTGAAATCGGTAGACAGCAGTAGTAGCTGCAGTAATAGATGCCCTTAAGGCATCACTCATTTGTATGAACCACAACTAGTTTATTTCCTGAAAACAATACTACAAATTAAAAGATGGCCAATTTAGAAGCTCTCAAACTTGCACAAACCGTGAGACAAATCTTACCAACCTATCAAACTTAAATGATGCCTCATCTATTGTTATTTCTCTTCTAAAATATTTACTGTTAAATCTAATGATAAATTTTTCTTTCATATATTTGTATCAATAGACGTTCGTAAAATGATTACATAAATCTAGTCCAAATGTTAACAGTATACAAAAGTATCCACGTCCAGTGCTTAGGCTGGCAACATACCCAATGCTATATGTACTTTTCTTTTACTGCTAAATAAGCAAGCAGCCGAAATTTACTAGTTACGTAGCTCAAGGAAAATAGACTGTCAACACAGATCGCTTCCAAATACAGCAGAAATATAAATCAGATCATTTTCAAGAAGTGCAATTAATAGTTATCAGTTTATTATGAAAGCCACTAGTTATTGAAACGTCCATCATTTCTGCAGCAAAATACTGCAATTAATCCACAAGGCGTGAGAACTTATTTCATTCGCCATAGTCCAACTGAGAGGTTATTCAGTTCACAACTTTTCGCAAATGTTTAATGAAAATGTTTCAACGATGTTCGGATAAATTAAAAATTTCTATGGTAATGTCGAAATTCAATAATGCATTCAATAGGTGATAAAGGCAGAAGTGACAACTGAAAATGAACTGAACATTTCAGTTTGTTAACAATTTAAAATATTGGTTAGTTGCATAGAGAAGAAAATATTGCAATCATATTGCAAGCATCAGTACTTTCATTTCAGTCATCCAACACGTGGAATAACGAATACACATTAACGATCAAAACATTAATGAAAAATAACCGAATAGGAACAAGTCTTTTAAAGTTATCTCAAAGCGCATAAGACAACTCTACAGATTCCATTTGTAATGTTTGTAGCAGTTCCTATAGTCTATGTTTGCTGCTTGAACACTTACCAAAAATACTAGAATATTCAGAAATTAAAGCACCGAAATCAATTAGGATAATTGTATAAAAGTTTTGGTATGGAAATTTTGCATAAAAGCCCACTCCATCTATAATAAATTTGACCTCAAACAGATAGTGTGGTTGGTGTGTTATTAAATTAAGTGGAAAATATATTATAGCTATATGAGTTTTAAATAAATCAGATGTTCTTTGGTGTAAGTTGCTTAAATGCTACTTTCAGTCATTTTTATAACAAAAATTTTTTTCCAAATTTCATGTTAAAACTTAATCGAATGTGAAATATGATAATATCTAACATGATAATAGTGGTACAGATACAGTTGGTACTCATAATATCTTGGAATTTTTTGAATTTTTCTCCGAAGCGATTTAAAAATAAACTACATGAATATTCTCAGCTCTGTGTATGTGCAAAATAAAGTCAGCACAAAAAATCTAAACAATTTATGAATTATCATTACAGATGCAAAGTCAAAACACTTACAAAATAAAAAAAATAAAAGTTGATGAGATGATAAATGCATGATATGAGAAAGTTTAATGACTGCTGCCTACTTCGAACATATACGTTTAGTGCAAAGGTCATTCTTTATTAGCGAGATGATCTGCTTTCTGTTTTTCGGTTATTCGTAGACTGCAAATAAGCATGAAAAAAAGAATTTTAAAATCTTCTCAACAGTGCAATTGTTTCCCGAAATGTTTCGGCTTAAGAAATCAATATTCGAGAAACCAAAAATTATTGTATTAAAAAAAAGGTTACTGGAATTGGGTCAAAGTAGTTGAGAATTGTGATGAAGATCATATTTAACAGAGCTGCCCAAACATATAATATACCGAATCCAATTCCACAAGCGCAATAACTGAAATTTAGGCTTTTTTGTTCTATAATCCCAAATTCTTCTGTTAATGCGATAGAATCCAGTGCACTTAATGCTAATTTAGAACTACTGTTAATAGTTACCTTAAAAGTCCATCAAACCAAGACAATTGTGGACACTGTAGCGCTGAGAGATAGACTTTTTCAGTTCGCTTCGCAATGTCGGGCCAACGATACATGCGACAAATCACATCATGCTTCTCTTCCGGTGCGATCAACTGTCCATTTTCCCGCAGTTCAATAACTTTTAGTAAAGCGTCACTCAAATCTATATTTAAAAAAAAAAAAAAATGTTTAATTATTTAAGCCTTTTATACCACATGTAATGAACTTCTACATATACGTAATATGAATGAAAATTAAACTTTCACTTAGTAATAGTACTTTCGTTTGCAATTTATCAACTTACTGTTTGGTTCTGGTTCTACCAGCATAATAAATTCCTCCGGCAGGACTTCGGGAATCCCACCAACCCGCGTAGAAACCACGTGTAGGCTGAAAGGTACAAACATAAAATATGATCCCGTGAAAGGAAAAATAAGATTACAAAAGAGTAGCAGCAAAAAAAATTTTTCACCCACAAGAAGCAGCTTCAACAATACTCATGCAGAATGCCTCTGTAAGCGAAGTGTTCAAAAATATCTGCCCTTGTACAAGAACGTCGCGCACCTGTAGTTATTAAATGTAATGAAAATTAGAGAGTGTATAAGTTTATTGCAAGATCGTGCCACTTGTATATGTGCATGTGAAGGACTTAATTACATATGCAAAAGATTTAATCATAAAATTAATGCGATCTGCAATCCACTTTTTTTAGCAATTACGGAATTCTTATAAATTTAACTTGTTTGACAAGATAAAAAAGAATTCTAGTTAAATTTTCTGAACACTGATGAAATAAAACAGCTCAATCCATAAAAACCTGATCATGAGGAAGTGTTCCTAGCATGATTACTCGATCTTGCAAGCGGTATTTTTCGCGCATTTCTTCTACGTCAACCCGTTTTGGTCCATCACCTCCAATAATAAATCGTACCGAATTATGAAGTGAACAAACACGAGGTATAGTTCTTATTAAGATATCAGCTCCCTGCAATTTAGAATTTCAAATCAGAAAATGTCAAAGCCAAGTTAGTTCTTTAAACTTATAGATTATATCATTTGAAAAAGAAAAAAAAATGAAAAATATTCGTAGCGTCTCGCATACTGGTATCCAATATCTCTATGGTCTTATAAGCAAAAAAAAAAAAACTACTTTACCTTACGATATACAAGTCTGCAAAGAACAATAACTGTTGTTGGATTTTTTCGAAACAAAAATGGATCCGGCACAAACAAGTCTGTATCAATAGCATTAGGAATAACTGCAACTTTATTTGCAAGAACACCACTTCGCAGTACAGTATTTTCTTTACTGCAATAATAAATATGCAAATGTTCCACTGGATGAAGATACGTGTTAAAGATGGTGGCGGAGCTATACAAGAAATGAAGTCTCACCTCGAAATATGCAATAATATAAAGAATATGACACTTTGTAGATCGTGAAAAAACTGTTGTAAAAAATATAAAACCTAAACAATTATAGTGAAAATCCCACCTGGTATACGAAACACAAATAACTCTATTCACGTTGACAAGGGAATACTGCAATACTAATTTATTCATGAGAATTGCGGATGCATCAGCGAAACCGAAGAGAGAATGATCGGTGAATGTTGTGCGTAAACCCAAGCACCAGGCATGAATCATAGCTTCGTGTGCCATTGTTGAAAAAGTCTGTAAAGGAACAAGCAAATACGTATAACGCTTAAACCGGCAATCTTGAAATCCCAGTAAAATCCATACATCTAAAAATATGAATTATTTCCACTCACAGAATGACCATGTACTATCTGTATATGTTCTTCTAAATATATTCTTCGAAACCAATACAATGAACCAACAATTGAGGGGAGACAACTGCCATTATACATGACAATGAACGGTAGGTAGTAGACCTAAAAAAGTAAGAATCATATTTACGGACGGGAAAGTAAAACTTAATATCCAAAATAAAATAGTTACTTTAAGTCCATTTGAAAGGTATCGAATGCCACGTCGTTTGCCGTATGCATGAGTTATTACTATCACTTTATGCCCCAACTGCACCAAACATTTTGCTAGAAAATATATATGTGTCTCCACACCACCTGCATTTGGGCAAAAGAAGTCCGAAACCAACCTATAATACTTGCAAATTAATTCGTATGGAACCAAAAGTTCTCAACAAAAAATTTTCAGCCTCTCCACTAGATAAGACAACTATTCAAGAAGGTCCATAGAAAATATACATCCGTACGAACACTTACGCAACATTGAGTGGAGTTCGAACTCCACTTTGAAATCGCGTCATTGGATCCAATTACTTGTATACATTACTAAAATTGCGATAATTTTCGATCAAATAACGATAAGTCGACTGTTAAGAAAGGAAGAATCAATGTACTATCATGCCTTTATATTTCGAACTACTAGTCCACAAATATTTTTTTATCAAGAACGTTCGAAAAAAAAAAAACCGAAACTTCTTATTCTCAGCTGAACAAAGCGAAAACAACTTGTAAGTCGAAAAACCTCACATTAGGCCTAAAGTACCACCATACTTGTTATTGTTCAAAAACTTCTAATGAAAATTCGAATCACTAATTCATAAAATTCCTGTTATGTCTCAAAAATCGATGAAGATATCTAATGCATCAAGATACGTTAAGAAACATTATATCATGCCAGAAACAAAAAAGTAATTCATTTAGTTCATTTCATAAATCAAAATCCAACAATATATCCTTAATAAAAAAGACCAACGCAGTGATGTCAATGTAAGATAAAGAAAACAAGAATGAAAAAATCACGAACGTAATAGTTGTGCAGGAGATTTTCTTCAAATTACATTTTAATAGTTATTCCTTTCATGAAATATGTCACAGATCACCAAGGAAACAATAACTGTCTGATAAATTAACTAAGTGTTATCTAAGAAATATTATTTGTAAGAAATACAACCACACATATGTGAAAAGTTTAGAGTAAATTTAGTTTTTTTCTTTTTGAATTTTTCCAATCTGTACCAAGAAAGGAAAAATTATAACTTGACAATAAGTAACAAAAGATCTCAGTTCCGAGATCAGAACGGCAGCTTGGAATGTGAGTAACATAAAGCCCTCATGCTGAAATCCTTTTCGGTGTATTCTGAAACATTGTACACTCTTATATAGAATTTAAAATACTTTGTAGAAAAACAAAAACATTATAGAAAAAAAGACCAACCCCTCTAAAAACTTGTCCAACTTGTTCACTGAATAATTCAGCCATCAATAAAACACTACTAATCCGTTTAACCGTTGCTGCTTTTCCCTCCTTCTGCCTCCAGGCTGTTAGTATTCTTTGTGCCACTTTCATTGGCTGGAACGAAAAGAATACTTTCCAGCAAATTTGAGTAGTTTCATGAAACTTCATTAAATAAATGTAAGAAAAGTATGGTCAAACATATGTATAGAACTGATATCAAGACATCACTATGCCGCACACCTCTTCTTTTGCGTCGTTCCTTTCTTTATTGATATTCATTACATCTGCTAACGTCGACCAATTGCTTGCAAGTAACGGTGCCAGCTGTTCGATGTGTGAGTCAGTTAAAGCAGCAGATGGTTCAATATGCTCCCGCCTGAAAAAAAAAAAAAAAACATGCAAACTAAAAAATAGCAGAAAAACCAGTCATTTCTGTACCAGCAACGTTTTCACCAAAGATTCAGTAAATAGCAGCTATCACAGCTTACCAAATGGTGATTTCTGCATTACTGAATAAGACGGAGTGAAGTCCTGTGAAAATCCAAAAACAATAACAAAAATATAAGAACATTTGTGCAGCAAAGTTTCTAATACACAAAAGCAAAATATGTTAAATAGATGAATTCACTGCTAAGTAGTTCACTGCTTCTTAAAAAATGGAAGAAATTGAATCACCACGTATTATAAAAAATTTAGAAATAAAAGAGAAAGGAACCCATTACGAAGAGCTGATGAAGTAGAACTGTTATTACTATTCACATTTCCTTTGATATTTCTTTTGTTATCTGTAATACCCGGAATGCGATCTTTCAATTCCTGAAATGTTAGTTGCAAAATACGATTACTTTCCCTTTTTTTTTTTTCAGTCATATAGGTTTGAGATAGTGGAGTTTTCTAAACTATAGGATAATTAGAATCTCCTCGCATGCAGATACCTTTAACTCTATGGAACTGGCCTCAATAGATGAAGATCGCATACATTCTTGAAAACGATTTATTTTACAAGTAACAAGGAAATTCTGCTCGAACAAAAATTAGTTTGCACCAAACCACACAATTAAAACTAACCGGAAAATTAGCTGCAGTATGCTTGATCACTTCTTCCAAAAATGGTGCTAAATTCGTTGTTACTTCACTCCTCTTCGATGGTGTCTATAATAGCACATAAATTAAAATAATTTCATAATATATTGGTATGTTCATAAAGAGAACGTACTTGAAAATATGACGTGCTCTGAGACATCAGCAGCCGTGATGCTCTCCACTGGAATGATTCATTGTTCACTGATCTGAAAGGATTTTAGAAAAGAAATCACAATTCACATATAGCAGCCATAAATGTTGGTTATGTCGAATTTTTCATTTATTTCCATTTTTGCATTTTTTAGTGCAATCCTGATATATTAAATTCCTTTCTTCCCCCAAAAAAATGAAGTCTTGAAATTACTGAGTGGAAACCAATAAATATCAGCATTTATTACATTCCTCTTAACATTATCCAAAACCAATAGATTAAGCAAGCAAAATATCGCGATAAAAATTGCTAAAAATTGCCTATATTGCTCTTCAACTAGTTGTTCCGGATCTAGTTCGTCGAGAGGATCTTCAAGGAATGCAACCAACTTCGGTATAAAATTTCTGAAAGAATCAAGCTTCTACATTAGGTAACTTATGAGAAAATGACTTTCGCCTCTTCCATATGAAAAGTTTTGTTTATATACTTTCGTAATCAGAAATGATGTCATTGAAACAAATTATATGGTTGAAATCAGTACATTCTATGAAAAGATAGTAATTAAGATTACGATATGCTTTTCAAATACAATCTCTAATGAATAAAATGCTTCACCATATGAAAAATACACTTTTATCTAGAAGCTGCCGAATAGCTACACTTTTATCTAGAAGCATCAAATTTTACCTTCTTGAGTCTTCACAAGCCGACAACATATCTGGATTGATATTCCATAACTTCGTCAGTTCTGGATTGCCGAGATCAAGTTTTGAGGGGTCATATCTGTTTCTAGGCCGCCTACAAAAGATGAACAAAAAATTATTACTTTATCTTACATATTTCATGGATTCGAAAATAAGGAGAACAAAAAAAAAAAAAAAAAAACTGTTTCACTTTACTTTTTTATTTTCGATTTTGAAGAAGTTATAAGATCCAACATGATATACTATCATTATAACTTTCGCAACGTAAGAAATATTTCAGTATGTTTCATGTTCATTTTATGCAATTGTAGTAATTTACTTTTTAAAAACGCTAGGTTTTTCTTTGTCTGCCAATTGAGTATAATCCAGGCAACCTTTGTTCTTCCATTCAGACCATTCCTTCTCACGATGAAGAATTACCTAAATATACTTCAGAAAGTAATTTTCTCTATCCAGTTCTTCCAAATTTTGAGTTAGTGAAAACTCACTTTCATAGCATCAGCAAAATGAGGTCCTTTTGGATACGTCTCACGAAGTAATCGAAAACATCTCTCAGTGGATTCAATAATAAATCGTAACTGTTCATCATTCAGAGTAAAAGATTTGCTAGAAAAATAAAGATAGGTAGAAATTTTCTACTTACAACATGATGACTAAAATATATCAAAAAGAGATTCAAAAAGTAATTGAAAATCCAAAAACGAAAATAGTTACTCCTTGAATTTGATATCGGATACTAAATATTGGTATAGAATTAGGCACTGCACAAGAAAGTAACGTCGAAATTGAGAATCATTTAACTGTAATTGCAATAGCTGAAAAAATTGCAATTCAGTGGTATCATAATTTCGGACATGCAATTTTTAAAAACGTTACTCTAACATAATACCAATGAACTGCCGAGAATAAACTACCTTCTGACTAGTTAAATATTTCGCAAAATAAATGTCTTCATCTCCATCAGCTCTCGAAGTAGATGGGATTGCAGCAATATCATCATTTGAATTTTCCTAAGAATAAGAACTTCTTCGCAAAAAACAGTATAAAGTTGTAAATAAACGAAGACACAAAAAAGAGTATTACTTCGTTTAAAAATGATGTTTAGATCAGGAAAAATGTTTAATGAGCTCAAAATAAAGAAAAAAGCAAGAAGAAACCTGCTTCGAGCGTTCTCTTTTCGAACCTTCTTCAAGGGTTGCAGAGAATTCCAGTTTATGACTTGAAAATATGTTGAGCACCTCAGTTGTGTTCTATAAAATAAGGGATTGGTTGCTATCTACATTTTGAAAAATTTTATCTGGTTCTCGATATTACTAAATAGAACAAAATCATGCAAAATAAATTACTGTGCGACACCTGCTGAAAAGTCCTCCATTTAGATTTTTCAAAACATGTTGCTGGTGAAGAGAAGAAAGATTGTAACTGCCAAAATTTCGCATAAAGTGTATAATCCACTGGAATTTCCCTTAAAAATGAAGAGCAGATTTATGAATTATCCTCTAATATGTTAGAACTAACAAGATGAAAAATAACTAAGGATTACGAATTAATACATCTTTTGGTGGAATGAAGATGGACCAATATTTCTTTCCTTCGTCAAACAATTTGAATAACAAAGGTTACTAAAATTTCACAAAAAAAAAAAAAAAAAAAAATTCGAATAGAACAATATCATAAACTAATACTTTTTTAAACATAGAGACAAGTTTTCTTACCATACTACAACTTACACTCCTGTAAGCCAATGACGGATGGCTTGTACCATTTCGTTTATTAAATTCATTGATATCAAAAAAAAAGAAATTAATTTCTTTTCCAATTTCAAAAAAATAAAAAAATACCGTTCACTTATTTCACCGACTTCCATAACGTCGCTGTCCTCCGTTAAATTCGCATCAACAGCAAAGCAAGAATCTGCCTAAAAATAAAAACGACACAAAAAATAGAGCAATTAAATATTCGACAAAAGAAGTGCAAAAAAATTCCGGAAATCACTACTATATGTTACTAACTTAATGAAATATATGAAAAAATATTACTAAAGAAACAAAGGGTCCATTTACCAAGTCATATTTCGTGATATTGCCCAGATTAAAATGGCTAACAAGATTTAAGCCGGATTTCTCACACAGTGGTAGCGCATGTGCTAATAAGACTAAAATCCGGCCACAAAAGCTTGTATCCACCGTTCGTGAAAGGCGCTTCAGCAAATCATTACACATCCTCAATATCATATTTTTGCAAGGCTCGTAAAAAATACCCTAAAAATTAAGTATGCTACATAAAAAACATCACAAAATTGGTTAGAAATTTTAAGAGAAAAACAACAAGAAGTGTGCACCATTTTCCATTGTGGCAAATTGTCTTCAACAATAGCGAAGAGTTTTTCGCAATGTTTAACTGGGCTAACATCGAATACATCTTGTATCACAGCAACTGTTGTTCCTTTTGCACAAAAATCTGCAATTTAAAGATGAAGACTAAAAAGATCTTGGATACAGGCTAGAAAACCCCGGTAAAATAAAAAAGAACTTGGAGGTAAATTATCTTAGTTACACCTTCTTTAGCAGCTTGGAATGTAACAGCTAGTAACTGCCTCAGAAGACTTTCTTGCTCAATATCCGTACACTGTGCAATCTCAAATGCTTTCCGGTGTATGGCATTCTCAATTGTCAACCGAATTACTTCGGCAGCACTCCTGAAATTCCTTTACTGTATACATATTTTTTAAAAAATTATTTGTCAAGTTCTAAATGCTGACCCGATGTTCTTATTGGTAAGTATAAAGTAAAACTATAGACGTTATAAAGTAAAACTAAATTTCTTACTCAAAATATTATTGAGGGTTGTTAGAACCAAGATAAGTACATATTAGGAAACAAATTTTTTATTGAAAAAACAACTTTACCCTTCCTCTTTCATTTTCTTGTAAGCCGCTCTGATCTGTTCAAATTTTAATGCAAAGATTGCTTTCTCCATTTAGCTAAAAAGGTGTTCATAAGCATTCTACTCTTCAATACTCTACTTTGCAAAGTTCGAGTTGTCTATAAATTCTCTTCTTCCCATAATCTCTCTGTGTATGCTTTTTTAAAAACACCTATCCAGCTCACTTTATGCACAATAAAGTTACTTAATTCCAAACAGCATCAGTTCCATCTTATTGCAACTGAAAAAGTATTTTTTTTAAAGCTTACGCAAGAAATTAATTGAGCTCAATTTTTAATAACTATGCACACACACACACACACATCGCACATATCAGCTTATAGTTAAGTTCACTAATCCAAGTCCGAGTAACTGACCAATTAACCTATTTCGAATAATCAATTTGACCTTAATGACGCCTCCGTCCATCTTTGCATACTCTGTTTCACTGCCTTCTTCCCATAACTCGCAACTCTGTCTTACCATTACTTTCAAGTTACCCCAACCCAGTCTACACCAACCAAACCTTACTCCACGCCGACCAACCGGACTCCTCTCAATCATGAAGCGAGAAATGTTGCATATCGATTGCATGATTCGAAATATGAAATAAGGAAGATCGGAGGATTTTTGATCTAGAGGTCATCACTCGTATCTGAACTGTGGGAGCAATAACTGCTGTAGATGTCAACTAGTTGAGCATAAACTGTGATGGTATGTCGACTTGCGAATAAGTCTATTTAGTTTTGATAATTGGGAAGGATGACAGCGAGTTAAATCTCTTTCTCCTTTTTCTTTTTCCGTCTTCTGAGATATATTATATTCATTTCTTTGCTGTAGTTTGCATGTATTATTTTAAAGGATTTTGTCAAATCATGAAATTTTTTCTTTAAATCTTGAAGTACTTTCATTAAATTATCAAATGTCTAATTATTAAGAAATAAAAGAAATTGGAAAATACATGATATGTTTATACTGTGTTTATATTCATCGGTTCAGTTTGGATATACATAAACAAATGAAAGAGGAATCCCTCTCAGTGAGCTTGAGCTTCAATTATTCGCTGTTTATTTCGAGAGAAAAGAAATTAAATCTGCAAGTGGAAAAAATCTCAATATTTCTTATAATAATAAAGTGCTGGTAAGTTAAGCTTCGGTCCTGATATTTTCATTTCCAGTTGGTGTGGTGGCATTGCACTTTTTTATCACTCAGTAGATGACAAGCTTTGCAGATCCAACTCCTATAGGATAAGGACGTGTCACTTAGTCTAGTGCTGTTCAGAATGCATTAATAGAATCTCATCAGTGGACTGATAATGGAACTTCAGTAAAGATCTGATTATTAAATGGTAATAAAGCATAATTTTACAGAGTGTCGTAGTGGAATCCATAGTATTCCCATTTTGATTTAAACAAAGCTTCACTGATGTAAGGATAAAAACAGAATAGTCAATAGTATAATATTTCTTAGACACATATAAAAACAGTCTGTGTATGAGTAACAAAAATCGCAGGAAATAGAAAATTACATTGCAAAAACAGATGAAAATTATTGAATACATTTAAATTTGCAGTTTTTTCCATTTAGTGTAACATAAGATAAATTAAACTGTCTTCTCATTTGGGAAGGGGAATCTTCGATTTGATATTATATTTCACTGTTTCAGCTTTCGTTTCCGATCTGAAAAGCACTATAGAAGAACATTTACCTTACATTAAATTAATGTCAGTTTTCTTTCGTTAAGTTAATTTTATGTTAGACTTCCACTCTCGTGTTTGTTGTCCAATTCCAGCACTTGATTAAGATTTGCTATCCCATTTATAATATTAATGTCATCGTTAGGTCCTGATTATGGTTTATTATTTAAAAAAAGTACATACTCACCACTAGGTATTTCATGGTCCACTTCGCTCGCGATTACTTGTATTTGTGGATCCGAGTTAAGATAGTCACCTTCTGCAGTGTCCAGAGTATAACTTTGTTTATCCTCTACTATCACATCTCTTCAATAAATCCAATCAATAAAGTCCAAAAGAAATATTTGTAAAATTATAGATAGAAAGGAATTGTCTATGTCACTTATTTTAATCCATCTTTTTGTGAGGAAAAACTAATTAATTGAAATAATGTGTAAAATATATCCAGTTTAGCCGTCAAATTTCTCCTCCCGTTTACTAATTCGTGTAGGAGATTTCTTGACTCTTTGTCCTATCTGTCATGCATGAAAAAACTTCTGGTTTAGAATGCATTTGGATTACTGTTCAAATAAAGTCTCTGCTCATTATAATGCGTATTGAGGCAACAATGTGAAAGCATATTTTTTTTATGAATTTCATTTCATTTTATTTATTACTCATGAACTGCCCTTCTTATTATTCATTTTACTGCATTTCGAGCGAATTATAACTTATTCTGTTTTTCTTTTATTTAGTTATTACTAGCATCCGCATTAAAACATGAAAAATTTTTGTTGGATTTAAAATGAAACAAACGTTGGTCTGATGTAACTGGGGATTGATTTTCTTGTTGTTCGTGTCACATATCCATCATTTGATTTGGTAGATGGAATTTTCACAAATGATACCTTTCTGTAATCGATGTTTGTTTCTCCTTAAATTCTAAATTTATCATGGAGGTAGATCAACTCTAATTCTTTCAATTCAGCTTTTGTTAATATCCATTAGTCTAGTAGTTGGGGAGTGAATTGCTATCCTGCAGTCGAAATTGTTATCTAATCAATATTCAAAATTTAAGTTAATCTTGAGGCAAATATAGTTTGGAAGCCAGAAATGATAGCCAGTTCTCCTTGAAAGTCGTATTGATTGAAACTTACTAATGCGAAGAATGGACTAGAATGGGAAAGAGAACAACAGGAGTAAAGCTAGGAGAGCTTTGGTATGATAGGGAAAGAATGTTGGAGGTTTCATTCAATATTAATCTCTTCGGAATTGCATTTTATATTTGCCATCTAATGAAATGTGATGAAGGGAAGGACGACATACCCAGACTGCACAGTAAACTGATGATGGTCAAAAGAAAGGCAAAGATGAATTCATCTTCAAATATATAGTTTAGTTGAATTCAAAGGAAAATTTCAACACGTCCTTGCTTTTTTTTAGTAGATCGAAGATGCTAATGTTAACCTGGATGATAAGTGCTAGTGATTGGTGTTGATAGTTCATACTTACTGTATACAGCCCTCTGACGTGTATTGTCTCTGAAGTGTATCTGGTAGTGTCGAAATTTTGTTGGGGTGAGCATTTCCCGTACTGTACCCCACGAAGCGGCAAAATGTGATCTAACGTTTGGGAACGGTATTCGTAGTGTAATACGTTGTAATTTTCCATTAACATTACCACTGCGAATATTAAGTTGGCCGCAACCATCTCAAATTTATCATTTAAATATATGGTTTAGTTGAATTCAAAAGAAAATTCGAAGTGTTCTTGCCTTTTTTTTAGTAAATAGAAGATACTAATGTTAATTAGTATTTCACTTATATGCTATTATTTACTGCAGTAAAATGACTCATTCAAAATAAAACGAGATGTTTGCCTAAATTGCTTTGAAGATATACTAACAAAAGAAACTCGTACAAGAGTCTGAGATAGAGCTGCTACTGCGGGAACAACCGAATTGTGGTTTGTTGCGAATCGATAGAGAAGACTCTGAATCGGAAATATTCGTTACGAAAAGTGTTCCTATTGAATGATCAAGATCACAAGCAATTTTGCAGGGTAGATTCACTTGTTGGATTAAACGATTATTGAGATTTCTCCTTATCTGTCGAAGGCAGCACAATATGCTGCTATTTAGACCAGCTTTCGGTAGTAGTTTCGATTGCGAGGCGACAGTATATTCATATGTTTTTGATCTGAATCTCTACAGGATAGATAAAAGGTTTCTTCTCTCACAATTATAATATGTTTGATAAACTTCGGGTTTTAAGTCTTTTGAAAATTTAGATAAATTCATCGTAAATAATGGTAATCATTTCTGTTTTGATTTCCTAGCTTCACAAAACACTTTCACCTTATAATCGGAGAATTCTCCTTGTTTGCAGTTGCCCAAATGATAGCACTGAATACTGCGAATAATGAAAGTTGTATTGTTAGCATCTTTTAACCATGATATACTTTTATGTGATACCTAAATGAAGGTAGTACTATAATTCGATAATATAGATGAAGAATGAGACTGCTTAGGTATAGAAGTCTGTGATGAAGGAAAATGCAAGCAAATCAAATTTATAAAATGAAATACAATGAAATTATAAAGAAGTAGCTGGGAAAAAATGCACAGCGTTTTTACTTATTGTTTTATTTTTTAAAACTGAATGTCCTGGAACTTTATAACTTGCGATACGAGTTACCTTCATAACCGGTTTACAGTTCTTCCCTTCATAGTTTCTTACTTTCTCACATGTTTCAGTTCAATATCATTGAAGAAAAAATTGCACAGAATGTAATCAGTTATATTTTCCATTTAGGTATTCCAGCAGTTCTTTCATAGTTCTCTGTGAACTGTTATCAATCTTTTTGCCACTAAAACTTAAGGCACGAAGTACAGAAATCTTGTTATATTCCGACAATTTTTTTTTTTTTTTTTCAAATCAATTAATAATGATTTCCTTGGTTTGAGTGCTAGCCGAGATTTCTGAAACATCAGAAATGTTGACCTATCTTGTGAAAAGTCAGTTTTACACATATTTGATTGATAATTTCCATTAATTTTCACTTTCATTTTTATCATATTTATGAACAATTTTAGAATAACAAAAGATGAATGAGGAGGGAAAAGATTTGTAACAAAAAAGAAAACCAAATACTGCTCAGTACTTTAGCTTATTTGCTAACAGTTGACAAAAAATGTTGCATCAGAGTCACTGTCTTTTATTTCTTCCTATCACTAGAATTAATCAATTTTTACCAATTAAAATATTTGTTGCCACATTAAATGCATTCTATTTTATATATAAATCAAATTCTCTGTGCATTATCTCGAAAACAGAATTAAATTATTTATACTCACTATTAAAAAAAATTTTGTTGAAAAACACCATTAATAATAATAATTAGAATTTTTTTTTGAGGAAAAATTCGTTAAAAGTTTGAAAAAAGTTATAAGTTCTCAACAGTGAGAATAGTCTTATTTTCTTATTTTCTATTTATTTTTTCTAATAACATTTTTATTGGAAGTTTTGCGAAAAACACAGTCTTTTTGTTACACCATTACTAAATCCAAAAAAAGCATTGTCAACTTTAAAGTGTTTTCTATAGTTGCAAACTATAGAAATGCCAAATTAATCCTACTGAAGTAGCTTAATTTTGCTCGGAGGGTGTCAAATAAGCAAAGAATGACGGGTTTAAAAATGACGGTTTATTTAGAAAGAATCACATTTTTTTTTTTTTCATACTTTTGAAAATGCAGTTGAATGTTTCATTCATAGGTTTTTCTACCATGAAAATGTGACATTATGACTTTATTCTGTAATGCATTGTCTGTAAATTACTTTCGGAAGATAATTGAGAACTGCTAAAGAATGTCTCGTCGTTTTGCTTATGCTTTCATTCAATTATTTCATGGATCACATTATCCTTTAAAATAGCCCCACCATCCCTCTTTTACTTCTCTTTGTCATTGATTTGATTTGATTTTTCGGGCTTCAGATATTACCGCATTTAATTTAGTTCATTTCCTATAAGAATTGATATATATGAATATTGATCAGTGAAGTACGATCAAATCTTTTAACTGACACAAACGAATGGGTTCAAAAGGTTGAAGAGAGTATGAACGGATAATCATTGGTACACATTAAATCTTTTCTTTAGGTCTCCAAATGAAATTGTAGATAAGATCTTTTAAAAATAGCGAAATAACTGTAGTGCGATATTTGTACTTTTCGCTAACATCGAAAAATGCAATCATTTTGAGTGGACTTTTCAAGTTTAAAAAATTCTTTTAAAGTCATTTATACTTCTTGACAAACTCGTTTCTTTTCCCAGTAAACATTTTTTACTAAAAAAAAAAAAAAAAACATTTGCTAAAAAATTCACTACTAAACATTTACTAAAAAAAGATTTCTTAGTAAATCTTTAATATTTTTGAATTTGAAGTTATCTGTCCTCTATTACTTTATGTGGGTTGGTGACATCATTATCAGCATTCAGTTTTTATTATCAGGATTCAGTCTCCATTATCATCATTTAATTTCTATTATTAAGTATTAAATTCAAATGCGAGACAAACGACTGTATCTCTAAAATCTATTTATTCTTATATTGCTTAGAAACAATTCAATCCTCCAATTAACTCGAAAAGAAGTTTCTGTTTTTTAATAGACGCTAAAGGAATGGAGGAAATCATTATTATAACCTCACAATCTTCCTTTTTCCATTATTTTTTTTTAGATAAAGAAATTGACGACAATTTTAATTAAAATCTACTGTAATTCTTTTAATGCAAAAAAGTTGAGCGCAAAATATTTCTTTTAAGCTATTTATGTCCGATCAAATTATATTAAGCAGCAACTACTTTTTAATTTCACTTTTTTTCAAGTCTATTAATGTTTCATTTTTCCAGCTTTTTCGTAAAGTATTTCCTCTCTTTCTCTGAAATATACTTGTACCAAACATTTAAAGTGAATCAACCGTGAGTAACATCTCTTTTGTTGAAATTGTTTTGTTGTTCATCACTGAATGTTGTCTTATATAAAAGAAAATACACTGCTGTAATGCTACATTCATCCTTAATTATCATATATTTTTGGCATTATCACTTTTTAAATCATTTCTTGAATATTTTTATTAAGTTTTCCCTGTCGTTCATTTGGGGTTGTTCTGTGATTTTCAACTTGCTCATCACAGTTACACTTCTTTTCGTGACTGTCAACACCGATTACTATAAAAATATTCCTATCTTGAGATCAGAAACTATTAATTCTTGCCTTATTATACTTGTAAAGTCTAAAATATAAGTAATTGTATTGCTTCCTCCCATCATTCCCATCAATCAATAAATAATATCTGCCATTCAATAAGTAGTATTCTTTTATTTGCGAAAAAAAATCATATGTTGCAAAAAGAGAATTTTGGTATATGAAAACGTGAATGAGAATAATAGACATTTGAAATAGAGTATGGGGAGAAAATTAATGAGTCACTTTTCATCTTTCATGGATGTGCCAATAAAGTAATCATTCTTCATTCAATATAATGCAAATTTGCGTAAATTATTCAAGCGCTAAGTAGTAAATGTTATCGAAAGATATTTTCGTGTCGAATCTACGCTGAGGGAACTGAACCTTTTTTAAAAGATATTTCAGAATGTAGCAGGTATTATGAAGCAGTATCAAGATAACAAAATATATTTTCATTAAGTGTGTTCATTTAACTTACTTTTCCACGCTGCTTCTGGTCTTTTAATTTAGTAATTTTCTGATATTAATTTTATGCTGTTGTGTTGCAACATTCTAATTCATAAATTAATACTTATTTGAATAAACGATGATTCATCTGGGTCTGGATCAATTCAATTAATGTCGACTTTAAGCTTATATAACTCTAAAGACGTTGCAGTTGTATTCACACTTTTCTTTATCGGTAAGGTATTGGAATTTTTTAATTTTATTCGGAATACTAAGACAATCAATATTGGTTTATCAAAAGCAAAATTTGAATAATCTTATTTAGAACTAAACTAGCATTTCGAACTCCTCGGAGTCAGCAACATTTTGCCATCTGTACGCAGCAATATATGGTTAGCAGAAGTATTGTGAATAAGCATGCAAACCTATTCAAAGATTTGATGGTCTGTAAAACTTGCAGTGTGTTCAGTGGCCTCTAGCCACATAGTACATACACCGTCACCAAAAGTGTTCAAAAGTCGTTTAAAAGGTCAGGTTGTCTGTTACGCTTGCATATCTTCCGCAAATGATTCTGATTCACAATCCTACGACAGCAGCTCCACTGCTGATCTATATCGGACACTTGAAAAAGTAAGAGTCTAGATTTTGGCTATGCTTGCATAGGAGTTGTGGTATTAGAGTTTATTATATCAGCGGCCTCATTATATATATGTACATACATAGCGGCTCTAAAAAGCCTAAGAACTTATTCACTTATTATAAATTAGGAGAATTTGTTGCCGATCAATAAATTCTTGTAAATAGGCTGGATTGCTGATACCAAAACATATAACAAAGTGTTTCGAATCATATCTCCCAAATAATCCAAATTATTATCAAACGGATTTAGTATTTTGCCCAAATACTGTTATGGAACCAGGCGCATGTGTCAAACTGAAAGGACACCATAACGGTAATGTGTTTTTCCTTTTCAAATCAAATTTTGTAGTTTCTGAAATGAAATAATTTAGCACCTTTATTAATTTTACTGTCAGTTTATTTTTTATGAATTTAGAAATTTTCTAAAAATTTTCTTTCGTATTATGGAAACCATTCCAACAACATTCTAATTTTCTTCATAAAATTTCGTTTCATAAAACCTAATTCTTTCCGTCACTTCCCGTTACTATCAATTTTTCAATATTTCTCTTGATTTTTGTATCAGTGAGAGTCGGTTTATTTTGTCTCAAGGATTGTTAACATCTAAATTTCATTTGTAGGTGATCAATATATTTATCGTAATTGTTGGAGTAATATGTGGATTGATAAACGACCATATGCGCGACAGATGTCCGAGCGATGTTATATTGATGAGCTGGTGCAAAACTTTGTTGCAACAAGTGACAACAAAATATGTTTTTGCGAAGATGACCTTTGTAATAATAGCCATAGCACATTGCTTTTTTTATCCAATGACCTCTTCTTGATAATGATGTTTATTATATTTTTACACTTACATTAAGTTTTTGCTGTTAGGATTTCTTAGACAGAACAAATTATCATTATTATTTGCATTTCATATAGGCTGTGCTGAAGAAATATAAAAATATAGTACAAATAAAATCAACTGATCATCCGGATAATTGGCCACGGTTTTTCATAATTCATAATTAACTGATTGTTATCTCAACCCCGATGAAATACTTTAAACATAAAGTCAAAAGACTGAATCTATACATGAATATTTCATGTGAATTTATGTTACTACAATATTCTTCTTTTCTCGTAAACAGTTTGCATATGGTTGATGTAGCAATAAACCAAGAAGGCAAAACCAGAATTATTTTATCATTTAATATACCATGGCTTGTAATGGTGGCGGTAAAGAACGTCATGCATAACTACTTGAAATGAGTTCATGTGAATGTAACCAGGTCAGTCTACTAGCGATTCAGTGATTCAGGTAGCCATTACACCTCATCATCCATGCATATATTGGTCATTTTTCATTTCTAACACATTGGGTAATACTTGAATTTCATGAGAGTGTGATGATGAATAAATTTCCAAAAGAAATCATTCGTCAACCATTGTAATACTGCATTGTTTCATTATAATTAAGGACAGATAAACATTTACTTTAATAGTTTACGTCCACTTACTATGGAAATCACACTATATTTTACTTTGAAATTTCAAAATAAACTGCTGAAACATATTTTTATATTATAAAAATTTGTTAGTGAGGGGAATTAATTTATCGACTTCTGTGAGATAGTTCATTCTTCAACACAAATTTCATCTCAAGTTTCACAAAAATCTTATCATATGTTTTCCTTTTCAGCAACAGCACTTTCTAAACTTTGAAGTTAAAAGCTCAGAATGTTTAATTGGTGATTTAATTAAGGAAAGAATAAGTTTATGAAGACTGAAAAAACACAGTTGTAAAGAAATGCACAAACACAAAAGGCATGATTATGAAGCTCAATCAGTAGTGAAATACAATAAAATCATATTCTGATACACTGAGGGAAATTAGCACCGTTAAATCCGGGAAGGCAACTGTCATATCAGGCAAACAAGTGTTGAAGGACAAAGTTCAAAAGACACAAATGAATAAATATCATCAAGATTGAAATATCGAATCATATTAAGAAATTTTCTGAACTTCGAAGAAGCAATCTTAATGTACCTTTTTTGAACAAACAAAATTTAATACATGAAAAGAAGACACGAGAATTCTTTACAAGTTACGGATTTCTCTTCTTTTTCATCTAATTTTTCGAAAGATTTGATCCCTTTAATTTCTTTAATCGTTATTTGATGCTAATTACAAATATTCATTTGTCCATAATTACTTCAGTAATAGATACTGCTCCTTAATTTCTTTCCGTCCGTTCAGACAAAAAATGCAACGATAATATTACAAAAGAGGTTTCTCTTCCCAATCCCACCACTGATTCACCATTTTATTGAATTCTGCATTGTACGGCCGAAAACTTTTGCGCAATTTGAACTGGATTTCTGGCATAATGTTTACATGAGGACGACCTTTAGTATTCCCTAAGCATTTAGCCGTATATCGGTCCTTCCGTCGGAAACAGTAAAATCCTTTGTGTTCATTGAAAACCAACTGATCCGGTTTAAATGACTCCGGAATATGCAAAAATCGCTCAACTTTTCGCAACTGAAAAAAAAAATAGTAGAAACTGTTGTAGACAACAACAACAATTTGCATTTTTTTTAAGAAACAAAAATACTCATATCTTTTCTTCTCACACTGGAGAGATATATGCAGAAATATTTGTTTCAGATATTCGGAATAGTGTATGCGATAAACCATTAAAACTGACCTGTGACAAAGGGTCCATAATAAATTTATCGCCATCTAGAATCAGGAAATTTTTTAGCGAAAAATATTTCAACCATTGATTCATATGAAGTGAATACAGCGAATTACGTACGGGTTTATAATTGACATTAATTTCAAAACTGTCGTTGAGAAAGGCTTCTGCCTCGAATGACGGTTTTGTTTTGTTCCGTTCATGTTTTGTATGCAATACCTGAAAGTATAACCAGTTACATATGCAAAAAGTTGGTGACTATTGTGACCTGATGACCAGAAAGCTGATAAACACTTTTATTTCATTCGAGAGAGCCTGTTGTGTTTCTTTTCAAAGATTTAATCTACACTTTTACTTGACCGTCCCATTATTATATCCTCTAAATTTCATGTCGTCGCATTATATTACAGCCTCTTTTTTAACTTCAAACTATCTCCCAATTCCAAAAAATGCAATTTGATTCTTCCGATTTTACACTTTCTTCAATAATTATTCGCTTCATTATTTCTCTATATAAATGCCAAAAATGCAATATCCAAATAAAACATTTTATTGTAAAGAAGTGAAAAAGAAAACGAAGAATTGTAAATTTTTCTTTGAAAGACGGAAGTGCTTTGGAAGTTTAACGATATTATTATATTCTCACATACTTTCATCCAAATAAAGTTTCAATTCGAAAAGTCAAAAATCATGCTGGACACAAAAGCTACTTTTGATCTGGAAGACTAAAATATTATGAGCTATCATGAATGTTGCCACCAAACTTTTGTTCAAGAGTTATGAAAATATGGAGGTGGACTGAAGTATGAAATCATGAAAAAGCATTCCTACTTTTTTCAATTTCATTGAAACATCAAAAACACCTGGGTGAAATCACTGATAGTGCGAATAACCGGATCCCTCAATATTAATATCAATTTCATTGAGCTATTTAAACGATGAACTCTTTCCGGTGCATACTGATTTGTAAAATAAGCTGGAGTTTTCTCGATTGTCACCTAAAAAAGCCTGCTTAGTGAGGTCAAAATCGTGTTTTGGGGTGAATATTACTGCTTACATCAACATTTTATATACTTTATTTTATATATACTTTATTTAAACCTGTTCAGGATAAGTATGCGGCATTTGTCGACGATACCAGTCGGATCCCTTGGAATATGTTTCATTATCATTGAAAAAATGCATCTCTCGTCGAGCAACACGAATATAAGGTTGTATCGCAAGTGCATCTAGCAACGCTCTGGTACCACCTTTGCGTACACCTATGATTAAGCATTGTGGTAGACGTTGTTGTCTGTGACGAGCAAGCGATGGGGCCGCTAAAGGTACACTGAAAAGTTTGAAAATAAAACTTTTCTTTTGTATCCCATTCAAAATGCAATTGCTGTAATAAACTGACTTTACAAATTGATATAATCAGCTTGATTTGCAAAGTTTTTCATTACCATATTGTTCAATTATTTCTTCAATATTTAGTTGACTCAATTATGAAGCCTTCAAGTCTGAAGTAATTAGCGAGAAATTAAACCTGTAGAAGGAAAGAATAACGGGGAAATTACTTTCAGATTCAGATAATGTCGTCCAGATCAACAGTTTACAATAATTTACCTTTCAGTACTCACTGATTCACTGTTATCATATTGTCCATAGAGTGGTGTTTCACTCACTGAAGGATGAGTCATGGATACACGAACACTGAGTAGACTAATATTTATCACAGATATTATCACTGTTAATACACATGCTATGGTAAATACTGTTATTTTCGACGCCGATTTTTCCATTTTAGACACATATTTAAGTTCTGAAATGATAAAAAAATTAGTTAGCTGTAAAAAAATTGAATAATTTGTTTTTAAGACAAAAACGGAAAATTCACTACTGCTTTTGGATTAAATGGTAACTCACTGATAACGGCAGTAATACGCCGATCTTATTCTGCAATAAATGAAATTCATAAAGATGTTTTGAGATTAAGTGAAGAGATTATAAGGTCCAAAAACCGTAGCACATCAATATTAATAGACATTTAACTAGACAAATTTTTTTTTCAGATTAATAAACAAAAGGCAAAATGATTCAACTTTATAATAAGATTGAATCTTCATAAGCAATAATAAAGAAACTGTCTAACTATTTGGTAAGACTAAATTTCAATCATACCACTGCACTGTCAGTAATGATAAACAATGAAAATTCTCGAAATGCAGCTAGCACTTCTTAAGTTATTAGTTAAATCAGCATCCATGATTTTTTTAAATAAACTGAAAAATGCTAAGAAGCATGGCAAAACTTTGAAATTCCTAATTGGAGTTGTGTTAATATTATCGAAAAAGAAAAAAATTACTAATGAAAGAAAATCCGCCGGATGAACATAACAGTTGCAAACAAATTTGAAAATTGATTTCAACGAGTATTTTGAAGCTAACTAAAATTTTTCAGTTTTTACAAGTTTTCAGAATTTATCACAATCAGATGCAACGAAATTTGGACTTTTTTCTGCGATTGAAAAGGGCAATTTCACAGTTTGCAAAATATATTGGCTTTAGTAAAGGGAATTAACACTAGCAGTGTTTTTGTTTACTCGGACGGATGTAAAAAAAAAAAAGTTTCTGAATTATAATAATGGTTGCTATAAAATTTATATAAACAGGTAAGTATAAATGAAAGAATTCTTACCAATTTGCTATTTCTCATAAGAACAATATCAGGTCATTTTATTTCAGCAAAAATATGATAGATATTATTACAAATTAATTATATTTGGGTTTTAAACGCAATATAGGCTGCCATTTTTATAGAAATAGTGTTTAATTATATTTATTAAAGGTACTGCACAATATCCGAATGGTAGTTATAATCAAAAATATAAAAATGAAAATAAATGAAGCAGGCAGAAAAGTGCACGCTTATTTATTTATCGTAAATCATTAAAAAAGTGCTATATTATTTGATGTCCGACCATATTTAGATTTTGAGAAAAGTTTGAAATGACTTTCACAATAACATTAATGAATTTATGTGTATTCTATCAGCTACTTATAGAGTAAAAAATAAATATACCAAATTTGCTGATACTCCAACTAAATTACGTTTAAGATACTTCATATTTTATAATTTATAGTAATCAATAACGATCCTTTACTATAATCGGAACGAGAATATGCTTTAGTGACATTCTCAGTATATGTTAATTACGAAAACTCGTAAATTAATAGATCTAAAATTAAATAAATTATAAAACAGAAGTGTGAAAAAAAAAGCACTTCATCAGAGACTGAAAGATTAGTATGCAATTTACGTTACAAATTGTTGTTGGCTATAAAAAAGAAAAAATTTATTTGGATAAAGGGCAAATGGATGGATGCCATTTAACAATTAAATTATGGCAGTGCAAAAGAGGCCTTTCACTTCTTTCGCAAAAAAAAAGTAATATATACAATGCAGAATTTGACGCTGTGAGAAACTTCTGAAATAAATTCAACATTAAAAATCGAAAAACATTAAACTTGTTTCTATTTTTCTTTTCAATTTATGATTTAGAAAATTCGGCCATTAAACAGTTACTAAAAAATTCTAAGAAGCATCAATTCCAATCTATCCTATATTTATCATTCGGCAATGTCGAGGGTTACAATATAATGAATGAAAAAGAGAATTACATGGTATCATAGACAAAATATGAGTGATGATGATCAATTGTTTGGAAGTAAAGGAAACCTCGAGACCACAAAAGAACTTGTTAATTTCTTTCATTTTCAAATTCTTTTGTTGTCAGATCATTTCCAAAGTTGAATTGGATAGTCTATTTTTCACTCCAAAATTGTTTAATGTTAAAAATTATGAAGAATTTGTTTTAGAGGCAAAAAAGCTTTTTGATCCAAAATTTTATAACCAAAGAAAGTTTTGAAAGTTTCGTTACCATTAAAATTGATCAAGGTATAAAAGAAAGAATGGATTCAAAGGAAAAATTTGAAAAAGTTGTGAACAGATAAAAATAGCTAAATGTTAATGTATAGGAGTTAAAAATTAATCATTAGAAGTAAAATAATTGAAAATGAACGTAAAGTAATATAAAGAGTAAAAAAACTAAATTTTTTTTTTCCGTTAATAGCAATTAATTAATTATATTTAGAAATCTTTTTGCTACGAAATACTACTTAAACTCATTGCCTATAATAACTGTAAAATGAGGTAAAAGTAAGGAACGACTTGTATCAAGTCAATGATAAAACAAATGTATGCCTGAGTGAGCGCATATATACAAATATACATTGGTGAGTTTTTCGAGCAGGGCGATGAAAGTTCGGAAGATAATGCAGCTGTCGCTTTCCGCTGCTGAGTAACACCATCGTCGTCATATCGAGGCTCCGTCTCGTATATCCATCCTATCGTCACCCTATTATCACCAAAGAATACGAACTGTATATGCACTGTTGAAAATACGATTGACAGTTGATATTATCCGCGCTGGAAGTATTCATTTCTCATTTCATTTTGCTCAGTTATAAATTGGACATACATTAGAATTAGTAAATATCAATAAATGATTTATCTTATTTAAACTCGACTTATACCCTTTTTCTTCCAAACTCATTTCGTACTGATAAAATCTCAGAATACTCTTTTAAAGCTAAAGCAAATACAGGAAAAAAAATGTAGCTAATGGGAGTTTTAAAATATTTCGAAATTTTTGCAACTGATGAACTAAAGTGCACTACATTCCCATTATTACTTAACATTAACTTTTGCGTTTTTTTTTTTTTGAATTTATGAACAAGAAATCTTTGCGAGTAATTGAAAACTTTTTCTAAATTACTACATATTGATTTGGAAAACCTGAAACGAAGACCTGAAATGAGCTTATTTCCATCGCTTATAAATAGTCTAACTATAAGGTAAACTTTAAGCAAAAAAATGATTGCAAGAAACTGACGAATGTAGAAAATAATGCAGCAATAAATTTAGGACAGCATGTGGAAACCGCCTGCTTTCGAATTATGAAGAGAACAAGAAAATCATAAATCTTTCAATCAGGACAGACATAAGATTTGCTGAAGTCGTAACTTCGGTGCATTCATTTTTATTTCTTTTAATAAAAGTCAATTTTTACAATTTTGTTTCTATTGTTAAAAGCCAAACGTTTTGCAAGTTGTCATTTTTAACATTTGCGTGGAGGAAAACACATAGATAGAAAATGCTTTCATAAAATTTAGCAAATATGTTGCAAAGTGATATGAGTAAAATACGTGGGGAAATTGCGTCAACTGAAATTTCATTTCAACTGACTTTTCCATTTTATTAGTTTTCTACTTCCAATTGTTATTAATTATAAACTTTCTTTTTTTTTTTCATTTAATAAATAAATATAAATGAAGGTATTCGTGTCGTTAACATCAGTAGGAACTCCTTAAGAGTTGCAAACTTGCAATGCTAGCAATAACAGCTTGTGCATAACATGCTACAAATTGGTCAAAATGCAAACAAAAAACAATATCAGATAATTCTGAATATGTCAGCCCAATATCAGTTGAAATATGATATCGGATTTGAACTATTTCATTATGCTATGACTACTATTAGACATTGAAATTTAAATTTCACTCCTTCATTAGGATAGAAAAAAATAGCACCAAGACAATCCTTTCATAAAAGCCGCAAATTTCAAAATTTTCAAGAAATTCCGGTTTTTTTTTTTTTGAAGACGCATAATATAACAAGATGGTTGGTCGTTTCAAGTCTTGTTGGGCATTTCCAATAGGATTTGCTTAAACATAAAATATATTAAATGTTATATTTGTTATCGAGCTTTTCAGCCATGTCTATTTGGCAGAACATTCAACAGAAGTTACTGTGGGACAAAAAACGTACAAAACTTTGAAAAGAAAAAAAACTGTGGAAGGATATGAGAATGAGATCGACTCGAATTTCAATACTATGAACGAAAAATTTTAAATTTCTGATAGCAAAATTTGGACCTTGGGATAAGAACCGAACAAGACTTTAAAAAGAGAAGAAACTGTCAGGACATTCACGCCCTATTAAGCATTGAGGGATAATTTATGAGTGCATATGGAATGGAATGGAAGAAGTGGGAAAGGTCAGCAGCGGCATCATCTGCGATTTTACAACCAGCATTAAACTTCAAAACTGTGCTATCATTTTAATATCAGTTGAAAAGTTGCTGATTTGCAATGAGAAGAAGGAAAATCAGCACGAATTTTGCGCATGCATTCATTTCAGGAAACTATTAATTACGATCAATTATTTTTCTGTTAATAGCTCGTAAAATTCATAGTAGTTTTTATCCATAGCAGTTGCAATTTTATAAAATGTCACGTTTTAGTGACAACTTTCATTTCCCCAAGGACAACTTTTCTTGGCAATGAAAAACAAGTCACTTGGCTAGTCATTTTTAATCGCTTTAACTGAACCATTGATTTTCTCTGCGGTGAATTGAAAGTTGAGAAATGATGTAAATTTCTAAAAGAAAGGATTTACAAATCGATAATATTAATAGAATTTGCTTTAAATTATGGTGGCAATAAGCTTTGTTAAACTAAATTTGCTTAATACTCATTGCTTCCTTTATTTTATTCATTTGTCAAAAAAATGAGTTGAGATATTAGAAAAAGAAAAATAAATAAATAAATAAATAAGGATAAAAGGAAATTTGATTGAAAATAGGTTATTAAATGCTATTTAAAAATATTCATTTCTACAGTGCACCAATTCATTTCTTATCATTGATGGCATTCTTCATTTGCTCAAAACTTTCCGGAAATTTCTCAATTTGTCATTTCTTCGACTGCCATATAACATGATCGTATAGTTACCAGAAATATACCGATGCTATCAAGGATTTTGAAGTGAACAGCAGAGAGTGCTTTGTTATCAGTTATTGACTGTTTATCATGGTTAGAATCAATATTGCATTGGAAACAATTTTGTCACCATTGCAGTCGAAAGATGAAATGAAACGAAATATTCACTACAGCGGAAATTTCTTCTGTGACAAAAAGAAATCGGAAATTTAGCTTTAATGATTTTGAAATATTCTTTCAAATCTTTACCATTTTTATTTAAATTGCATCAATATCATGAAAGTAGAAAAGAGATTCCAAGGAAAACAGAAACTTTTAAAGAAAAAAGAAAAGCGAAGACAAATCCTGCTCTCTGAGAAGCAATTTTTTTCTCTCCAACTTTCATCAAAAACCGGATATGAATACGTATCTTTTCTTCTTATCTTCAAATTATGAATATGTAAGTTGAAACGCTGGACGGAAGAGACGTCAATCACTAGTGTATCAATTTCTCCTGACATCTCATATTACGTTTGGATTTGTTTATTGTTTAACAAACCTTTAATAGATGAATAACATAGCATTTATTTCTCTTCATAACATTTTATGATAACGAAGTATTTGGTTCCAACCATTAGTTTAAAACTTATTCAAAGAGGAATCAGCAAAGTCTTAGTTCATAAAATAGATACTTCTTGCGCCTTTTTGTAAAACAGGCGCTCAAAGATAATCATAATTAGCTTCCACCGATCTGGTGCTTAACAGATTGACATACCGAATAGCTTTCACTAAATTCTTTCATATTATTATTTTTTTTTTTTTCGTTTCATTCCCAACATTTCTAAAATTGGAGGACAGGGAAGAGTTAGAAAATGGACATGTTACATCAAGAAAATACTGTTAAGAAAAACTTTATAATACTGCTCTACTATTTCAACGAATAATACTAATAATCTTCCCCTACTTTTTCTTTTCTTTAGCTACTTAAAAAATAAAAATAAGTTAACAACAACGATTGTAGATGGTTGTAAAGTAAAATCGCTTATCAGCAACCAACACTAATAGTTTCTAGAGAAGATATTTGCAATTGAAATTAACCTTCGTGTCTAGAAATGAACACTGCTGCACCATTTCCTTCATTCAGTCATTTCTCATCTCAATTTTTTGATTTCATAAAGATACTTCATTAAATAATAAAATAAATCAGAGTAATAGAAATAAAATAAAAAATAAGTTAACAACAACGATTGTAGATGGTTGTAAAGTAAAATAATGAAATGTTGATGGCCAGTGAAAACGCTAACTTTAATCCTTTCTAAAATATCTGTCTGATTTGTTTTTTTTTATTGAATCTAAGTAACTAAAGTTGTTATCCAGAGTTCCAATACTTTATTTCACGTTCCCATTTGTTAAAAGGACTTGTTAAAAGGACTACTTTTGTAGTTTAACTTATAGGAAGGGATGAAAAGGTGAGAAGACAGGTTTTCTCAGGGAGTTCTGGATGAATTAGCACTTCAAAAATAAAATTATGAAAATGTTGTATAAATTGGAAATACCATTCGAATGAATGAAGACTTGTAGAATGTCGAAATAAGCTCCAAATGGAAGTATAAGATTCATAATCATAGTCTCATTTGTCCTAGACAATTCTCATTTCAAGAGTAACAATATGGATTAATGTCATCAAAATCTTGGTCGCTGTTCTGAAACACTTACATTTTTATGCGCTATATTTCATTCTTTCATGGTTTTTTTTTTTTTTTTTTTTTAAATTTTCCTTCCAGTTTTTATTCTTCCATATTTTCGAAATAATTTCCAACATTTGCAACACTTCTAGTTTCACAATTGTTATTAAATATAGTAATGAATTATTATGCCTATCCACATGACAGAAAAGCGCGAGAAATGTCATCAGAAGGAAACATGCGGACTTAATAAAACAAAAAGTGCACAGCTAGGCTTTTATATCAGGAATTGAAACGAAATTTCAGATATTTTTGAATTGGATATTTTTTGAAAAAAATTTGAATTGGAAAAAATTTTGTTTATGGCATAGAATACACTGAAACTTAAAATGAACAGAAGCAATTTTAAGAAAAGTAGGGAAAACTTTATGTTATTTGAAGAAGTCGACATTGCAGAAAAAAAAAGAAAATGAAATAGTTTGAAGGAAAAATGACACGACTATTTTAAAAAAAGGCATCAAAAGTTTCTTTCTGAATTATTCTTCCTTTTTTTTTTTGGCGTCATTTGCTTCTTTCCGTTTATGGTTCGAAAATGAAATTACCAGTTTGAGTCATATTCTACGTCAATATAGTGGTAAGTAATATCAAAGTATAATAAAATATATTCTTCGAGATTTCAGTCACAGGAAGAAGATATTTCCGCGAATTGATCAGTTAATAACAACTTGCTGAAAATGCCGAAGAAGAAAACTGACAGGTGGACTAGAGCATATGAATGAACAACTGACATCCTGAATCTCCATCTGAAAGCTGATACTGGAACGTATTTGACGTATATTACACTACCATTTGAAGGTGTCCAACAACATACAATCACTTAGATGCCTATTATTCACTCTGATGGTTATAATAACAATACAAGACGTGCGTGAGAAGCAAGTGAGTTCGACGTACACCAAATTCTGGTCACTTATACAAATAAGAACTAGGGAGAAAAATTCCTCGAATGGTAAACAGTTTTGTTTGAAAAGTGATCTGATCAGATATTTCAGAAATGGGTGCTGTGTGATGTTTTAATAGAGATTTTTTTGGAACTGAAAGACAGCTATGGAAGAGAGAGGAAAAAGTGGGATGACACGAAGACGGGAAGGAAGAGGTGGAGAAGCATAAAATCGCTAAGATGCAGTTCGTGAACTGTCCCTTTCCAGTGGTTTTAACTCGGTTTGCATCACAACATCTACTCTTCGTCGCTTACTTCTTTTATTCGAATGCAAATTTCTGGAAGGGGAAAGACAGGGTCACAATGACGAAGAGTTATAAACAAGGGACTGACAACAGTAGTGAAGTGGACGTTGAAAGATCAGACTAATTATCATTCTACCTTGTCTTTATTAGATTGTGTGATAGTGATAATCAGGAATGGACAGCGTATTTAATTAGTAGTTAGTTACTGAGTTTGAAACGTTAATGTGTTGTATCCCACAAACATCTCTTCAATAGTGGAATCTATCTGTCGGCTACTCTTTGTTGATTTTGGAGATGCACAATGAGTTATCTTTTTGCTGCTGTCTGTTGTACGATGCATGAGAATGTTGTATTTTATCAACACCGGAAAACCGGCCGAGCTTCAGGGAGAGAGAGAGAGAGAGATGATAAGCAAATTAGGCTGTGTCAAAAGTTCTGGCAAGTGATATGAGGCTGAAGGGGACATATGAGAAATCAGAAAAGAGTCGTGGCGTAGATTAAGAAGACTGTTAAATAGTAACATTTGAAATGTGATAGAGAGTGAGAGGAAATAAGAGAGTACTCGCTGAGGAATTCATCAAATGCGAAGGTCTGTGCGAGTTGGCCAGAGTTAGAGAGGAGCACTGAACTGTGGTACTCTGTAATCGGGTGGTGAGTCAGTGTTGTCGCTGCATGTGCTTGTCATTGTCTGTGGCCATGGCCAGGTGCAGGTAAGAGGAGGGGGATTTGTATGTGGGAGGGTTGACTGGTATCAGTGATAATTCTCGTTGAAAGCAGTTTATTATCAATGGCATCAGATCATATTAAAGATGAGGAAGATGGATGGAGTGGATGTAAAAGAGCATTTGCCCATTGGTTTCTTCGAAACTGTTCGATCAACCAACTGGATCGAAAGACGAGATGTGCTCTCAGCACTCATTGATAACTTATCGCATTACCCACACATTGATCCCAAAATAAAGTACAGTGAAATTCTTGCCGAGTTAAAAATGGTTGGTAACTTCGAATGTTTGATTCTCGTGCAGGCTACGTTCCTCTCTCGTTAAATAGAGTTGGAATGGCTCCAACTGTCTGCTTAATAAATGAAGTTGTCGAACATTTGTTGCTTATTAACTGTAGTTGTTGTCATGAATGGCTTTTTTGTTGATTAACTTTTTAGCAGCATTCAAGCCAATTGGACAAAAAGGACTACTTCGTCTCTATGGAGGATAAAATTGAAATATACTTTTTAAATTTGAATTAGTAATTTTACGTGCTTTATTTTTATTTAGAGCAAATTTCTTTTCAGATCATATCCAAAGATTCAAATATTGTCGTTGTAACACTGGCATTGCGAGCACTAGCAGCATTTGTTAAAGGATTACGAAAAAATTTTATGAAATATATACCTATGGTCTCAATTTCTTAATTCGAAATTGTTTTAACAGGGCTTTTATATTCTTGTGAAAGCTTTGAGTTATTAAGAGAAATCAAAGTTTTAGTTACAGGTCCTTCTCCATGTATTGGAGAAATTTAAAGAAAAGAAGGCATCAGTTAAGGAAGCTGTTGTGGATTGCTTATCACTTATTGCTGAATACGTATGTTTACATTCGAGAACTATTTATTTATTGTTATCACTTTTTAGCCAATTATTTTGGCTACCTTAAGCTTTATATCTTTTTCAGTGTGATGCCACAATGCTTTCTAGTCCCATATGTGAAGCTTTGGAAAAAACCGCAAATCCCACTGTGAAAGCAAATATAGATCAGTGGATTTATTGTATCCTATGTCACTATCAACGAAGTGCTGTACCTATAGCGTTTATCAGAAGTATTGCACCATATCTTGTTAAAGTAAAATTTTCTTTTCTCTAATCTTGCTTGTTAATTAAGTAAAAAAAAAAAAAAAATATTTCCTTTTGCATTGTTCGACACATAAATTGAGTTTTTTCTAGCACAGCAAAGATAGTGATCCAGATGTCCGTGAGGGAAGCTGCATGGTTTTTGGCGCTATTTTGCGATTAGTTAAAGAAAAAGTAGCAGCTTCTATCGCCGATGATGTATTCTGTGACAAAACGAAATCAAAGAAAATAATCGAGTACTCGGAAAAAGCCGAGAAGGATTTTGAAGAATATAGGCAGGCACGAATCGGAACGGATATCGCTTTGGAATCTTGTTCTCTGAGCGGAAATATGGTTCATTTTAACTGATATAGAGATTAAAAATTTTGTTTGTTTTATTTTTGCCAAAATTGATATGTGTCACAAAGATAAAGGGAAATTATTTCAATTATGATCTCTTTTTTTTTTTATAATAGCTGGCGACAAGAAAGTCGCTTTTGCTACCATCGTCAATTCTAGATTGTATTCTTACAAGTTTTATATCTCTTTGAAAATTTAGGAATGTCATAAAGAATCAGTTGGTGGTTTAGTCCAGTCTAACGCAGCGCTTAGCTCCTGGGAATTGCTGACTGAAACAAAAATCAGTGATAAAATCCCACATGATATACAGTTAAAGTTGGCATCAAAAAAATGGATCGATAGGAAAGCAACTTTGGAGGTAGATTTTGAGACTTCGCATTCCTAAGAAAGAGAAGATGGTTTATGCGGAATACTAACTTAAAATTTAGCCTAGACTGAAAATAACTGCACTGTTTGAAATTTTTAGATGCTGTATAATATTCTGGAGAACAATCCGCGACTTTGCCCTGATGAAGATCATTCAGAGTTGATTGGAATCCTGTGTAAGGTAAATACTCCAAAATTTCACTTCCTGCATGAACTGAATTCGTTTTTCCATTATTGCCTGCTCTTTTGCTCTTTTTAGATACTTCTACTCTTTTCAGTTACTCGAGAAAGATACGAATATTAATGTAGCTGCAGTTGCAGCGAAGTGCATAACAGGTTTTGCAAATGGCTTGCGTTATAAATTCGCTATATTCATACCAAAAGTATGTTTTCTTTATCTAACAAGTTAAGCAACTAATTTAAGAAGGTTTATCCACTAAGTTATTTCGGGAATAAAGTAAAAATGTGACTTAATCTGTCGAAAATTTTGCAAGTATTATCTTAGCAACAAATTTTTTTGATTTAATTACGCTGATTCTTAGCATATCCATTTACTGCATTGCTGTCTAAATAATCTTTTCAGATTTATGTTTCTGTTTTCGAAAAATTCAAAGAGAAGAAATTAATTCTTCGTCAGCCATTAATTGTACTTTCTGATGTCCTTGCTTTATTTGTGAGTTGAATTTCTTAAGTATATAAAAATTTTGTTGTTTAGTACACAGCTGAAGAAATTAAAACTGTTGTAGGAGATTGATCAGTGAATGTTTCTCAGAAATATGTTCTCTACCTAAATAAATTCTCAGACTCCTCTTTCTACATATATCGAGGTTGTGAGGATTGCATTGCAAAAGCCTAATCCACAGATAAAGACACAAACTGCTCTCTTCCTCTCAAGATTATTGCGTCAACACAATATGCATACTTTACCGTTGGACTGTGTAACGCAGAGGCTTGCACCAGCACTTACTAAGGTAATTTTAAAGACGATTTTTTGTTATATTAAGGAAGAAAAGAAAAAGAAAATCTCAGTAAAGATTAATATGACATAAATGTATTACATAGCAATTTAATTAGTGACGATGATGGAAAATTGCTGCACCCGAAAAGATCTAGCGTTTAGTACGAAGATTGTAGAATTACTTATATCATTTCTGTGTTAAGATAGTGATCGATTTCACTAATGATAAAATTCGAGAAGTAATACTGAAACCAGAGTTTGTTCTATTTTAAGCTATCCTTTGATGCGGATCCAGATAGTCGTGAAGCGTCGTTTGCAGCAATTGGAGCCATCATGAGAATTGCTGGCGAGAATGTGGTGAATGATTACTGCGGTGAAATCATGCATGATATTAATAAATCGACAAAGGTTTTCATAATACTTCATTTGAGTTTGATTATTATAGTGTTGGACTTCGTAAGTTTCTGAATAATGCGAGAAGAAATTTTGTGTAAATCCAGAATTTAACTTTGATGATTTCTTTATTTATTAGAAGTTTGTTAGGTTCGTCAGAACTGTGAAAGTCTGATACAAGAATTTGGACTAAATGCTTCTGCTTCAATTCTACAGTTACATCAGAGAACATGCTCAATAATAGCTCCTTCAAAAGTCGGAAGCCACAAATCGCTCAATGCTGATGCAAGGATGGTAAGTGTGATAGTAGTAACTGACTGGACATTAATTTATTGCAGATATTTCAAGACTTCAACCTTTACCAATTAAAGCTCAAGCGTTTTTATGTGGTATTGGTTTTGGTTGTTTCCTAAACTTTTGATTTTCCACTGATATTTACAATGAAACAATCACTGATATTAATCAGTATCAGTGATTGTTTCATTGTAAGCTATTTCTCATTTGTTAAAATAGATCGAAGTATTTACCCTTTATTCTTCTTGCAAGTTATTGTATAAATTTCAGTTCAGTTAAGTCAGTAAATATGACGTTTTAATAAATATAACCTATATAGTAATTTCCCGAATTGTGGCTGTTTATTTACTGAATTAGTAAAATGGCAGTCTTTTTTCACTGTTTTTTTTTTTTAAATTACAGATGCAATTTTAGCATATTGTAGTGTCCACACTAGAAGTTTTTTCTTTCTTTTTTTCTTTTTTTTTTGTTTAAAGAGAGCACTTAGCAGAGCAAAAATTATCACAAAAGACGCTCAACGAAACCTAGGAAAATGTATAAGAAAACAAAAACAAAGGGAATCTTAACATGCATATAGAACACACAAGCTAATAGGAAGAAGCTCAACAAAATCATGTTTTTAAAAATTTCATTTGTACTTTACTTACTGGCTTAAAGGTGAATTAAATGTTGAAACTTTTTTCCAGGACTCAAAATGTAATATTAAGACCACAAAAAAAGTGCCTCATAGAGTGATTTCAAAGTCAAAATTTAATAGTGCGACAGTGTCTGCAGTTGGAAATCAATCGGCGCATTTTGTATTTTCGACTGCTTCAACCAAACTAAAATGTTAGAAAATAATGATATCAACAAAATGCTTTACTCTGTATCAAAAGCCATTGTAAAATATTCTGGTACTCCAGTTTATTGCATTTATATTCTATCAATTTACATTTTAGTTCACATTATGTTTAGTTGTGCTGTAAATAAAATTCTTTAACTTTTATAGCTTTTATAGGCTACTTTTTGTTAAATTCACCATCATTATTTATTCGTAATATTGTTACAGGTATTCACGTACAGGAAACTAATACAACTAGAAGTCATGAAAAGAATAGTTCAAGCGAAAAAGACATATTTTTTGATGCTTCAGAAGGAGTGGACGTTCTATCAGGCAGTTCTAGTGATCCCGACAATTCACTGAGGAGGAACGAAACATATATTGTAGATGAGAAAAGTAGGCAATGTCTAGAGTTTTGGGTTAGCTCAAATTGCAATCTTATTTGTTTTTCAATTTTTTATTGGGAATGCTTTCACGTTTTATTAACTTCAGGAACTGCAATTACAGAAGAATCAGTTCCATTGCAGTCTGCTAGTCGTGAAATAAAGCAGTTTGGTACAGCCAGCGTCAGAAATCCATTGGTTAGTGATTTTGTGTTGATTAATCTCTCTCTTACCATTTTTCTTATGGTCGCATTACTGGATTTCGGGGCGACAATCATTAAACTTTCTGTTTAATTCATTATCAAATTTGCTGGTTTCCTCAATTGGGCTTCTATGGAGTGAATTGAGAAATCGTCACGGTTTGAAGTTTCTGAAGCATAGCATATTCCCACTGTTTCGTTTTTATCGATTTGATCAAATTGAATTTCATGAGAGTCCCACCAAATGCGTGATGTTTGTGATTTCACTCACTTTTAGTTGATGCTTTCACCGAGAGCTATAAAAAACTTAAAAAACTCAAGTAGCTATAAAAACTTAATTTTTAAGGACCGCAATGGTGGATCTCGCTTACCTACTTTGACACTAAGGCCTACATGTGGAAGTCGCATTCCTATACCTGTCTACAAACGAACATGAGAATCATTCTTAGCTTTTTTGTTCTTTGCAACAAACTTGTATTTAAACGTGAAAGCTGTTTTATTGTTTATCGATTCTCGTCATTTTTTAATGTCTTTTCTGTTGAAATCACTTTTTAATTTCACATTTGCTAATTCTTTTTTTAATTGTTGCCTTAATGTTGGAGGAGCACTTGGTAATGTTGGAAGAGCAGTGGTATTATACACTACTTTTTGTCTTGCCACTTTTTCGGGTTACGTAATATGTGCCGAGATCTCTTCATGCCTCTTGTTATTTATTTCGTGTGCTTTTGTTCCTTACTTCCGATGTATAATTATGATGTCTTATAGATGAAGTTCTGAAATGCTAAAATGTTTATATTTTCAAGTTAGTGCTAAATTATTTCAAATCTCAGTGCTATTGGAAATGATAAAAAACGGAAAAGTTAGATAAAAAAAAAAGTGAACTGAGGAATAAAGATGAATAGAGAAGAGCAAAAAACTTTCATTTTTGTCTTTATATTTCGGGTCCAATATAATAAACTCTTAGGATGGCTTCCTCATAAAATTAAGACAAAGAGATATCTTAATTTTTTGAAAGCATTACCACCGTTGGATCTGATAAAACATCAAGATTCATGACCATAAAGTTACTTAGGTTATGAAAACACATGTTTGCAAGATAGCAAAGTGAGTATTAGCAGTTTGAACAATACATCATTACAAGATTTTTGTTGTTTGCGAGAGTTTGATTTTGTAGATCTATTTAAGATAATGCAGTGGGTTAACAGAGGAAGATCCACTACTGTTAGAGGCTTTAAATAAACCTGTTCATTTGTCGTGCTATTGACTAGTAAACCTGTTCATAAGAGAATTTTAATGGGAACTGGTAATTCCGTCGGTAATTCCAGCTAGATCTACTTCGATTTTAGCACACCGTTTAGTCATTTCTCAGGATGATGTTCATCCATTAAAATTTTTAGGATTTTCATTTTATTTCATGGAGTGCTCATTCTTTATGTAGCTTATTTTACTCATAAAAGTTCTGTCAGAACATTATTTACCATATAACTTAATATGTGACTGATCACAATTGTCAAAGTTTTTATCATTCCATGGTCACATCATAATCTTAAGCTCGAATAATTTGACCGATTTTAGCAGTTTAGTCATCTTTCCTGTGTTAATCGAAGTGATCTTTGAACATGTAACATTCCGAAAATACGTGATGTCACTTTTGCTCATAATCATTCTCTTAATTAATCAGGGAATTCCTATTGGTAAGTCTAATATTCTCCACTAATTCGATTTTTTTTTACGCATATGATTGCATCTATTTAAAATGACATAGAAAATTCTTACCCGTTTCTGAAATTGAAGCAGTCAGATGATCTAGGAACTTTGTTACGGATGAAATCTGTGATGTAAAGGACGGTAATGCTTTGGTGGAATCGATGAGTATTCCAAGGGACTCGAGGAGATTTGAAAAGACTTTGAGACATTCGAATCGCATATGCTAACGAGACGTCTGTGCTAAATAATGCAATAAACTTGTTAGCTTTAGTGAATGTGTCAACCAACCGTGTTGGTGTTTTATTTTATTTTCAGTGGATTCGATAGTGATAATGAAGGAAATTAACTAAATTTTCAGTGGTAAGTCAAATCGATTTGGGTTCATTTTCATTAGGACAAAATAAGCGTGGTGATCTGAAATTTATTTTCAATCAGGCAGCGAACATTTTGGGATTTGGGGGTGATCGTGGATTGGATGTAACAGTCGGTGATGGTCGATTTTATACCAAAGGTTATCTATTAATTGCTGAGGTTATTTAACTTTCTAGTTTTTGGAATGAAAGTACTAATATATTTCTTTAGCACGACAAGGAGCCTTGCTTGCTGGAAAAAGGATAGGTGCCGATTCAAGTATTGGCATTAATGAAGCTGAAGGAGTGGATCTTAGAAATTTTTTGAGTGTAAGTGCTTTCAACTTTGTATCCTTTAAGTGAAATTCGTGAGAAAGGGATAGAAGGATGACATTTTGTTTTTTTTTTTTTTTTTTTTTTTTTAAGATCTAAAATTTCTGCATCTATTTTTCATAGTTTTACTCTTTAATTATCGAATGTTAATGTTTGAAGCATTATTCATTTCAAATATATATCGGATTTCTGTTTTTATACCACTGATAGATTAATAGTGGTATGATAGTGATATGTTTATAAAATGTGAAATTATTTTATAAGTAACATAAAATCTTTATAGTTTGGCAGCAACAGTCCTAATTCATTCAGTAATCCTGCTGGCCAATTCTTTTCATTTCTGGAAAAGATCAAGGAATTCTTTACTACTGGTAGAAGGCCATTGAATGCCATACCATTTTATCCGCAAAATGAAAAATCAAATGTCAAAATAGGAAATGCCTTTCGTAATTTTGAAACACCAGAACAACAGAGAAATTCTGGAGAGACGCTGAATTATATGCAATCAGGAAATGATGGTTACGATGATTATTATCACAGTATTGAGGTTAGTTTTTTTTATTAATTAAAATGTTTTTATTATTAAATGTACTTATAATTTCTTATTATTAAATGTACTTCACTTTTTTATTCGTCTTTCTTTTTCTAAGAATATTGATTGAGTATTATCATTTATGGTCAGTTTTTCTGCTTCACACCTGTCTTAATTCCTTAAAAAAACTGTAGGGTAGCGAGGTTTGGAGTTAATCATTTCAAAATAATTGTCATTTGAAGTATTACTGCAGATTGAAGATGAATCAGCTATAAGAGATTTCAAGGCAAAAAATGATTCTTCTGGTCATGAAAACTTGGTCATACTGAATCGAAGTATTGTTGAAACTGAATTTAATGCTACTACCATCTAAAACATATTCTGTTTTGTTTGTTTTTCCATTTTCCTAATTGGTTTGTATATGTCTTTATTCATCTACCATAATTTTCACGTGTCGATTAAGAAAAATTCTAATTGTAAGTTACCTTCTTTCAGTAATTTATATCTGTCGTTCTAAATTTGCTCCGGAATATTTCTTACCTTTTATCATCGTGAATAATTAATTGTTTAAAATTCACACAGAATAAAGTGCTGGAATGTGCATCAGATCATTACTTAATCAGAAAATTCATTTCCAGATTTATCTTGATAAAAATCCACTTCAACTGGCTTTGACGTGAAAGATTCCAATTTTCAAACGATTTCAATTTCCTTTTAAACTTCCTGGTGTCCTTTAAATTTCAGAGAACATTGATCCATTTTCCGTAATGGGATTCATCCTGCTTTTCTCCGCTTTTTTGGAAAGAATCGATAACGAAACGAAGCGGAGAGAAGAGGAAGGACTGAACATTCGCCTTAAAAAAGTGATATGAACTGTTTTATATGTTTTAGTTTATTGTTCTAGTTGATATTAACATGACTGAAGAAGGGTGTTTAAATCTGATCTTATATGGGGAATGAATCTTTGTTTTGCTGACCTTGGATCCATGAAAGTAGACACAGAATATCGTTTTATAAACTTCATACAGATCATAATTATATTTCGGTATGCTGCATTAGTGAGAATCAGAATTGTATTTTATCAGCATACAATGACATAAAATAGATGAAAGAGAGGCCGAGTAGGAGACCTATACTTTGCAACACAGTAACAATTATACTTTCGTGATAGTTATTATTGATTAATTCAGTAGTTGCTTCACGCATTTCTGGAATCTGAAACAACATTATTGATCTAAATTACAAGAATATAGATTTCTCTGAATAGTCTTTGAGTGCTGTTTTTTCTCATATATTTTTGTAAAACTAGAAAAAAGACCCTAATTTCTCAATTTTAGCGATAAAAACAATCGTTGCTTATTTACGAATGAGGAAACAAGAATCTATTACGGAACTTATGTTTATCAAAAGTTGATAAACATAAGACCGGAAAAAAACGAAAAAAAATAACTCTTGAGATTCTTTCACAAAATATTAATGTACAGCAGTAAATACGCTCACTATCCTGTCCAAGAAATATCTGTCCTTACAGCAATTCTCATATTTCGTCCATTTCCACATTATTCCCAATTTTGAAAAATAAATTCTAATATTATTCAATGTATCTCGTTGAAATATGAACTAACGAGAGGTATGAAATATGCAGAATGATAACTGAACAATTATCATTATTATCATTATCATTATCAAGTAGGAAAACTAACCAAGGTGCCCAAGAAAACATAAAGATACATTCCGGATGAAACAGCAAAAACGAATGTATCAGCGCATTCGCTATAATCATCCAATAGTGCTCCGATGGTGAATCCAAGATAACTCAAGCCACCAGGTATTAAATTCAATAGTAATGTTTTCTTAAGACCCAGTCCTGATTGAACTAAAATAGCAAGAGTACCTGAAAGTAAGCTTTAAAAATGGATAAAACATAATTTGATAATAACAAGCTTCAATTGTTTTAAAGTCATAAAGTTGCAATGATTGATGAGCTCTATGAAGAAGCATCTACTGAAAAAAGCATATAGAGTTCAGTAGCTGTCATCATATTAAAATATGAGTTAGAACAGTCAAAAATCTACCTAATTCTTGCGGAAATTGTTGCGCAATACATGCAATGCCAATACTGAGGCCACGACCCAAAGAATCCGCGAAAGCAACCCCATTACTCATTCCGTCAACGAAGTTATTAGCTGAGGAGCCAAACAAGATCATGTAAGCGATACTGGAGATTTCCAATGTTTCTGGTCGAACTTCAATCTGCTCAACCACAGCTACAGATACGCTTATTTTATCTCCTTCTCTCACCTTAAAATTGCAATATACTTTTCATTACCACCTATTTTCCAATAAAACATCGCCCATTTCGAAAACTCTGAGAAACAACGGTTTGAAAAGAAATATAAGATATTTAAACTTCACTTGATTCCTCCGTCTTTGAGAAAGTGTTGGAGAAGTGGAATAAATGGTAGCGATCGGTTGTGGCACTTGCAAGGAGTTATTATTGTCTGTGTCACCCCTTGTGTCTTCCACATGCATAATTACGGGAACTTTTTTACGTGTTGAAAACTGAAAAGACGTTAACTTTGTTATTCATTGCAATGACTGAAAAAAAATCTTATTTAAAAATGAGTTATCTTACAATATTTTATTTACGAAATTGCTGAAATGCTCGCATGCGATTGTTATAAAGCAAATAGTACCGTTCTTGTGATGGCTGAATTAACTGCTGCACTTTCTATTTCAGCCTAAAATTCATTTCAATTATTGTCTTGGAATTTCTAAAGAAAATAATTTAATTCCTGGGTTGATTAATTCATGTAACTAAAGCAATATAAATTATAAAATCTTATTTTCAAGCAGAAAGGAACCTGAATTTGTTCAATTTCATCTTTATTATGAAAATTTTTATGACTTCCTGGTTTGGGAAGTGTCATCTCGAGATCCCTTTTGTTGGTTTTGTCAGTCTTCATCAGTTCCCGTGACTTTCGCTGCTATAATATCATTTTCACTTGTAAAAAAGTTTACCAATATTTCGTCAAAATACATAAAAGGTATGAAAAAAAAGTAATGTAAAAAGGATTTAAAAAAATAAAAATTGTCTTTGTAAAAGAATTTGCTAATTGAGCAGAAAATTGAGAAATTTTATGATAACTAAGTAAAAATGTTCAAGTGAATAAACAAATTCTAATTTTTGAAAGCAAATGGAAAGGTTGAAAACAAACTCGTTTTATTTCCATTGCAAATTTGAGTATTCTATCAACGGCAAAAAATGCATACAAAGATCCGAGGATGATTAACGATTTTATCAAGCCTTCTCTTTCTGGTACCTCGAAAGCCTGAAAATGCCTGCTTATATCAATTTTTCAATAAAACTTTTAATTTTAAAAGATTCTGGCAAATTTGAAGCTAAATTATTGAAATCTGAATAGAAATTCTGCTACATTATTTTTCTTTTTATTAATAAATTTATTATTTATTTATTAATTAGACCGTTTGCATAGAAACTTGCATGCGGTATCATAATAAAAACGACTGAGCCAGAAAGTGCACCAATACCGACAGCAACCAGAAATGTCATAACACGTTCGTAAAGCTTTTTATTTAGTAATGGTACAAACAGAATGCATGATGGTGAAGCAAATGCTGAGATCGTCACAATTACCATACCAATACCCCATGCTGTAATTCAATTTATTATTCAGAGTTTAAAATGATATTTCATTTCTAATTTTCACCTGTTTCTTAGTTTCGCGTGAAACTTTATCTAATTAAATTGCTCTGTACGCTTGAATGTTAGTTTTTGCTTGCGTAACATATATGTAAGCTACGTGTAGTATGAATTGTACCGTTTAAAAGTATTCGTTTCTTGTGCTTACAGTATCAGAAAAAACTACGTGAGTAGTATGAAGTGTGAAGAAGCATAAGATTTAAACAATAAATTAAACTGTCATCTGTACAAGTCTAAACCGAACATCACAAGAAAACACAATACTTTGCCATGCTTCTGGTTTGAGGACCGGATGACTGAGTGCATATGAACTATTTATTAACGAATCCATGGATACACACTTTCACAGTCTAAAACGATTTTTTTTTTTTTGTAAATGAACCAACCAAATTAAAGATGAAAGCAACTTTGATTTTTTTGTGCCGAAAATTACCCGCGACTAAGGGAATATTAAACATTACATATCAAAAACACATTTCGCTAAAACATCGGCAATAAAAAACAAAGTTATTTCATTTGGTAATCAATATCTTATTTTCAGAAATTGAGTTCATCAAAAATGTTTAGTCCGAATATTTCTCAAACCATAGAAATTTTTAATGATTTGGTATTTCGAAATTTTCTTTGAAAATAATAATAATAAATAACGATTGCATTATTAATGGATCATTTGAGCTTAGGAAAATCCATATTGCAAATGAAATGAGTAGTTGTGAAAGACTGTTGATCACCGAGAAACTTTTGTTTAAACTGTCAATAATTTGAGTCGGAAAAAATTTACAAAAAATATTCAAACTTACTTCAAGAAGGTTTCATTTATTCTGCAGTTACTCCAATATTTAAACCTACTTCGAGTAAAGGAGCATAATTATGCTCAACAATAAGAATTTAATGGAAAAATAGACAGTTATTTATGCATTTTTGACAAACACTTATAAATTTGTATAAATCTTAAATTTGGGATTTTTTAAACATTTGGAAAAAAGGAAACAAATTATTTAAAGAGGATTTGTGGCTGAAAAAAAAAAAAACAACAGTATACATTGGATACATTGGACACATTCAGTTTTGTGAGAGGCGATCAACGATCAAAAAGATTAGCATTGTACATAATGTGTATCACATAGATACTTAAAATAATCTCTTTGATTCTTGGCCTTTTTTAACAAAACTCGCAAAATAAAGAATTTCCCATCGTTTCACATTACATCCACATGTATGCTAACAATGATATTATTCATATTACATATATATATATATATATATATATATAATAGCAAAATACATACATCTATTTGTAAACATATTTAGAAATGTAGTTTTATTTTAAATGAGATACTCAAAAAATCTTTTTTTTTTTTTTTGATTGAAGAAGTTTAACCATATTCGAGAACAATCTGCTTTATTCCGAAGAATCTCCTTCAACACGGTAGGATGCTAAAGACGAGAAGCGTTATATTCAGCAACTTCTCCACATAGTTTTCCCTATTGGAAGCTTTTGAACTATAAATACTGATACGGTCGGTATAATAGGATTAATTTGAATTAGTGACAATTTTGCAGAATTATATTTGTGTCCAGAATATTCAAAAAGGAAGAACCATTATGATCTATTAAGATAATGATCATTTAACTGTACTGTTAAGAGATATGACCGGAATCATAAACGGAAATGATTAACAACACCTATGGACTGGAAAATGTGAAACGACAGCTCATCTACAATTGACAACCTTTGATTGCTATTTATAAGTTAAATGTATCATCTTGTTAGCTGTATTTATAGCTGCCAAAGAATGCAAACAAATGTTGATTAGTTGAATGATGGCTGTAAAATAAATATTGTACCTCCACGAAGAAAAATGGAAAAAAGAAATAGCAAAGATCACATTTTATGACTTCCACCCACGTGGATACTTTTGCTGTTTTTTTTTTTTTTTTTTATCCTATCATCATTTTACCCATAATCAAGCTGTACCTTGATAACGAAAATGTAATAGAACGATAAATTTTAATCCTTTGGAAATTAACGATAGATGGACTTCCGTTGTCTTTCCATGCTGAATAGATCATGAACCGGATTGTTGGATTTTTACTGTGCAGTAAAACAGCATCGATGTGTTTTCTCTAATCCGTAAGTTCGTTGCTAACAAGAAACTTTGATACCCAATATTCAATACTGAATGCGAAGTGGACCACATCGCCCCATTTCAAACCTTTTTGTTCAGCAATAATTAAATCCCATTATTCAGTATCGGCCAACTGTTAGCATCTTTTCAAGCATGACTCTCAGGATGATTGACATGAAAATGCAAAATTGTTTACTCCGGACATTCCTGATGCTGATTCATGAAACGCAAAATCGTTCACTCACACACTGAGGTTCCTTTTGCAAGGATCACACGAACGTGACACTTCTCCAAAACTTAATACCATCATTAAAAATCCATGTTCCATTTATTGGTACTAAAAAAGCAAGCTCCTGTCAAAGCAACACTTTATTATCTCGTTTAACTGATAGAATAAACTAAACAAAGCGCTAGTATCCAATCATTCTAATTACGAGTTAAAAAAATGGATTTTAAATAACTTTCATGATGTTTTAGCAAAAGTCAAGGCAAAATTTAAACTAAAAGTCGCGCCATAAAAGTTCACTGAATATGTTATATTTCGAAACTTTAAGTTATATTTTAAGCAGTCAATTTTCAAAAATCCTTGACAGCGATTCTGACTCTCACTTTCAACTGTTTTTAAATTTTTCCAATAAACTAATCCAGTTCTACAGTACTTCGACTCAGTAAACTTTCAATTATTTTCTCACACAGTACTACAAACATATGATACCGTTGCTCAATAATGATCAAGAATAGCTGAGATCAATTTTTAAATTCGCAGTAATAAATAACAATTGCATATACAACATGAACAACAGTGAAAACTGAAAGATACAGAGAAAAGACGATTAGAAATATCTCATATAAATCAAGATACCTCACTTGTTTTTGAAAGAGATAAAAACACAATTTGGGTAACCAATTGGTTTATAAGAAATTTAAAATTATTTAATTATACTAGTGGGAAAACAAGCGATAAGGCATAGTGCCTTTATGTTTTCTGATTAGAATACGAAGAGTAAAGTATTTGTAAATCTCAAAACACCTGTGCATAAGAATATACGGAATCAGTTACATGCATTTATTCATAAAGATTGTGGGAAACGGATAATCTGTATATCATGATGGGAAACGGATAATCTGTATATCATGAAGAAAAAGCATTATTTATACATATCTGCGTGATATTAAACATAGAGTTAAAATAACAGAAATCAAAAATAATTAAAAAATAAATAATTCAGATGATTGGAACACATATTAAAATCAATAAATTTCTGATTCAGACTTAGAAAAGAAACTACAGGAAGAAGAGATCATAATGAATGAATGCATTACATGTGATAATCAATTACATTATGCTAATAATTTAGATAAAAATGCAAGTTCATTTGCGTTTTTTATTTTTGCGACGAAAACTATTACTGTGGACTTTGCAATTATTGTTGTTTCGTCTACAGTTTGCATTATCTAAAAGTCACAATTATTATCACAATCATTACAACTGTGTATTTCTGTGAACAACGAATCCAACATCTTGATTTAACTCACTTTTTATTAAGAATTATTTAATCACAATAATAAACTGAAGAACGTATGATTGAAAAGAAACGTGCGGTAGCGTGAATCCAAGAGTTTCATGATAATTACAAAACCTTCTTCCCGAATGTAAAGAATAGAAAAATATTGAAATACCTCGACCGTCCAAGTGAGGATTTTCATTCCCAACGTGTATATTGTCCGCCTCCGATAATTGCGGTAAAGCTTCATGTCTTGACTTTGGCACAACTGATCTTCGTCCATTGTTTCTGTTGTTGTGACGTAAATGGTTTTCTATTATCGTTGACATTTCCCGATCTTTTATCATCCGCGTACTGGCCTAAGATTTTTTTCTGTTGTTGCAGCGCTTCTTATTGAAAACAAAATGCTGGATTTAATTATAAACGAATCATGGAACAGTTCATTAAACTTCATTTGTTTTTCAGAATTAGAATGAAACCACCATAAAATTACTCTGAAAAACATTGTCTTAAACGACATATAGAAGTTAAAAAAAAAAATTAGAATAAACTGTACCATAAAGATGGCATTCTGTTCAGATGTTTCTGAAAGGCGCTCATTCAATGAATCTCGGATCGCTTCAACGGTTGCATCTGTGATGTCTGAAAAAAGTTTGTGTTACCGGACTTCTTTATATGAAGTTTTACATCGTTCGATATAAAATTTTTTTGCTTAACTGATTTTCTCTGTGTTGTTATTCAAAGTCCTGGTCGCAGTCCTCATGAATACTTTTTGTCTTAACAAAAGACGAATGAAAGTAAATGAAATGAGATAAAGGAAAGAGACATGTTTGAGAAAGATAATTTAAAAATGAGAAAAAATGCACGTCATGACAAAGACCTAAGACATGTTTAGCTTTTATTTCCCATTTGAAAATTTTGGAGAAAACAAAATCTACTAACATAATGAAAAAGATTTGGATAATAAAACACAGGCAATTAAAAGTATTGTAATTTATCCCATTTTTTCAATTATCAAAGAAATGTGGCTTATTAATAAAATAATGACCCGTTTCGATTGTAACTCCTAGTTACTAAAAAACCAAAACTAAAAATCAAAAAAAGATTTTAAAATCTCAAAAATTACGATAAGAAGAAAGTGAATAATGGTGGTTAGTAACTGTGTACGCATCAAACCAACATTGTGCGCAGAAACAGATACGTTATTATATATATATATATAGCTTTGTGTAAATGTCTAGGTTTAATCATATATATAATAATATGCTAATATAAAAAGAGTTCACTAAGATTTCATCGACTACATAGAAAATATAGAGGGTTTCCAACTGGTGTAAAGTGGTAAGGCGCAATGCGCACAAAATATATTTGAAAAAGCCTTATTAAAATAGCTTAAATATCCCAATTACATACAGAGAAAATTTAAAGTGAATGAATGACCTTGAAAACATCCTTAAAACAGCTTATGACAATGCATACCGATCATTTTATTCGTTTCAAATCCAATGCTTGAAATGGCGAAGGTCGGTGGAGCTGAAGCCGAACAATTATTCACCTTTGATGAAGCCAACCCCTGGTCAGAATCAGAAACAACATAAAACTTCTCAAAATGATGCTTGCTATCTATCGTTTCCTCCTTTGCATCATGGTCCTGCAATGAAATATGTACTGCAGTTTGATTCAGTTAAGTTAATTTTTATAAATACCATCTTCCAAAATCTTGTTTGCTGACATCAGCCGAAAAGTAAAAAATATACGGCGATGCACAGTAAACTTAGAAATTTCAAACTATATTAACGCTTGAAAATATTGCTCTGAATATTACAACAAATCACTATCCATTCACATTTAAATAATTTAACACATGGAATTTTAAACACATTTCTAATTTGATAGTTACACTACGAGTCGTAGAAAAACTGTTGCATATTTATTCAAATTAAAGTGTCTCACCAGCAAGGCTTTATTGATAATTTCATTAAAGGCCGGACCAAGTTTCATTTTTCCCATTTCAATGTGGAAATTAGTCAGTTGCACCAACAATATTTTCAAATAAGGCGGTAGCTGTAATGCAACATCAAATTCAGTGAAATTCAATTTTATTTCATATACTCACCAGTTTCTAACAGACCTTAAATTCCAGTAGAAATTTCTGAATAAAATTAAACCCTATTTTACTGAAAATATCAACGAACTCCAATAATATGATTTGTGAGAACAACCGCTGCAATATAAAGTTGGATTAGTTCTGTTTCAACACGTATTTCACGATTAATATTTACATCACTAAGTATCGGCTTTGGTTCTCTGCAAAAAATGTGCCCCTTAAGTAAATACCGTTATATTTACAAAAGGTCTTTACTACTGTAGTTTTAAACATATTCGATACTGCCAAAATTTCAAACAGATGAGACAAAGATAATATAGCAGATAAGATAAATATTAAATACATGATAACAGATGTATGAATGGTTATACTCAACACTAATATCTTTGTGACAATATTTAGAATATCAACTTATTTACTTGATTTCAACTTTGTGTTTTATACAACTTCTGCGTAAATCGATCATTTCCTTCTGTATATGATCTTTTGCGAGTTCACAAAATAATTTCAATAATCTTATTGCTACCTGGAATTCAACCAAACAGTACTAACATTTAAAACAGCAATACGTTAAAATGCAAAATGAAGTTTCAAAAACTGAGAGCAAAAAATGGGACAACTCATCCACGAAAATTCAAACATGACCGTTTTGTGTCATTGAAATACAACCTTCATTAACTCCAGGTAGGAGTTACGATCATTCAGAAGAGAAAAGAAGAACGTTCATCAAGGACGGTTCGCCACAAAAAATAATTGAACCTACTTGATTTTCGATTTCCAAAACATCAAACGGTACTGCAGCCAAGTCTTCTGTACTTTTTCTATCATAATGTATTGCACAAATTACAGCTTCCTGAATTAATAGCAACGGTTCGATTAATCGAAGACCTAAAAACAAATATTCGTACGTTTCTTCCAAGAATTGGAGGAAATGTTAAACATCACACAGAAATTTGTAAATATTATGTTCACAGGCTATTTACACTACTGCAATTTCACTATGTTAATCATATCCATATGATATGCTTAAAAAGAGAAAATTGCAATATTGCAAATAACACCAATTTTAATTTAAAAACGCCTCAGCAAGAAATGAAACTATATAGAATCATTATGAATTCGAATTATAAGCTCAAAAATTGAAATAATTTTTAAAAAAAGCTGGAATTAGGAATATACTAAATTAAAAAATTAGTAACGAACCATAAAATGAACTCTCCGAAATCTCTGTAAGTAAAGATACTATTTGACGAGACAGATCGATTTGATTTACAATTACTCTAATGACTTCTACCAAGCCAACTATTTTGTTACTGGGAAATTTGTTATGATCTCGGAGAACGTCCACAAGTGCACCCGAAACGTCGTGTCCAACAATACTTACTGATGTTGAAAACCCTGAAAATGAGTATTTTCGTTTTGACTGGAAACCGCATGTTCCTCTAAGGATTCATGGGAAAGAAATCTGTAGTACAATATAAATCTCTTATCACCTTTCATTATATCCAAAGCTAGCTCAGAATGAATAATTGCCAACTCAAAAAGTTTTCGCAGAACACTGCGACCAGAAATATCGCTATCATCTGTACCAATTTTCACCGCTTTCAATGTTTCTCTGTTTTCTTCCTTCAAGGCCTCGTAAAGCAAAGGCGGGATCTGAATTTCGAAATTCTTTCATCACTTAAAAAACCTTTCAATTTAATTCATTAAATTCAACAGCAAAAATGGTTAAGAAATTTTTTCTCTAAAATCCGGAAAACATTCAGTGTAGCAATTTTTATTTTATTAGATAATGGCTTCAAAAGCTGTCAACAAAATAAACACTAAAATCAAACTACTAACCTCCCTTCTGTAAGATGCGAGGCATTTGTAAAACCAAGAGGCTACAGCATATCTGTAAGCCCATAATGACTTATCAAAGCAAATAAGCAAAGTATCAAATGCATTTGTTTCTATAACCAAACCATCTTCTAAAATAAAATGCAATTCTGGAAACCAAGAGAGACATCACATGGAAATCTGCAATTTTTATTACTGAGAGTGGTTATGATGAAAGTTGTGACTTCACTGAAGTCACAACCGACACTAAATAGTAAAATAATCTTAATAAATACACTTCAAAACAAGCCTCTAAGTCGTTCACCCAGTAACCGCAAGCAATTTTGGCAAGAATCAAGAAGCGCATAATCGTCGAAGTCTTTGTTTTCATGTATTATGTTTAGCAAAACCGAAATCAACTGCAGAATGGAAACTCCAGAATTGTTCTTGATTGCAACTTCATCATTACCCAATTTTATACCTGAAAATTTAGTCTAGTAAAAATCAGGAAAAATATCATACAACATGCAACAGTAAATTAATCAAGCACGATTGTTTTAAGCGACCAGGTTTGAAATGAGTTTAATGAGAAAACACGAAATAAATAGCAAGTGATCACTGATCTTTTCTTCCTCTCTCTCTCGCATGAATTTTAGAGTGCAAAGATTATTTACGAGTAAAAAAGGATTTAAAAGGACTAGAAGTGTCAAATGATATTTTCTCACCTTCTTCAGTTTTCCATATTATCGGAGTACGTCGTGCACCAACAGATGTTAGTAATTTCTTTCCAATTTCTACTGCAATTTCCTGGTAAAACACTTGCTTTAGTGCAGGTAGAACAAGATGATTCAGTATAATAGAACCATCCACAAGAGCAAAATCAACAATGCCACCAAAAAATGCCATAGAAGCTTCTGAACCATCTTCATTTCCTGTAACAATGGTGATTCTATTCCCTTTTGATTTAACAATATAAGAAAGCAGAAATATCGAAATATCCGAAACCAATTAATGTTCAGATTAGCTTCATCAGAATAAAACATTAATACCAATCTCGACAGTTGAAATTTAATTAACACGGAAATAAGGATGACCTGCTTCGTTTTTGCCATCTTTCAATAATATATGACGTTCACGACATAATGCAACACATAAGTAAATGAAATTTCGACGCTTTGCATCAGATTGTATAGATGATCGTTCCACAGTCAAAATATGTCTTAAATCAAGAAAAATGATGTGATGTGCTGCAAAAACTGTTTTTGTGATTCAGAAGCGATAATAAGTAATCATCTTTCATTACTGAATTACTTTAATTGCTTGAGATTTTATAAATGTCGAAGCAAAAAGTTTGCAATTAATAAATTGCATACCTCAATGCAAGCATCAAAATTGGTGTTTTACACTTAGTACATCTGTCCGCCTCAAACATTGCTTCCAATTCAATATCACAATATTCCGGCAGTTTACGCAAAATCTTCAAAGAACTGATAGCTGAATAGAAAGGGATAAATTATCTTTAAAACCTCGAACTGAGAATATGAAAACGTGAACTCACTCTAACAAGATTTGGTACCATTAATATATTCTCCAAACATTGCAGAAAAAGTAATATCAACGTTTCGACAGGCGAAATTATTAAAAGCCACGCGCACTGCAAGACAACTATAAAGCAAGAATTTTTTTCACACCATAACCATTTAGTTCATTTTATGAGTAAACAGGTTTTTAAGGGAATTATTCTAGAAAAGGATTTAGGGAATGATGTTTGATAAGAACAAAACTGCATTGAATAAGCAATTCACTATATAAATAAATTAAAAACAACTTCATCAACTGCTTTTTCCAATTTAATTTGATTCGTATGAAGCTGTGTGTGATCCTCAAGGTAGATGAAAAGATTTCTCATGTCTTCTTCGAAATTCTGGATGAGAAAACTTTTATCAGATATTTAGCATAAAGAATAACAATGAACAATGCAATAGAGAAACAAGATCATACGCTATCCATGCGAGTCACCACAAATATTTGGCATTTAGCATAGTTCGTTTTCAATGATGTACTAAGATATATATGTTCGCATTTATTCGTAAGAAATAACAACTAATGAAATTTTTTTCCTAAATTCAAAACGAAATACCTGATAGAACTGTTTGAAAGTCTTTAGATCACCGTTTACTTCTCGGAATTCTCCATAAAAATATGTCATTATTGTACCCCAATCGTTATGACTAGATGCAATGCACTTCAAAATTTTCAAAAATTCACCAGCAATGCGAAAATCAGATGCTGATTGCATTTTGGGTAAAATACTGCATGCCCTGTAAATTCCCAACTACTTCTTTCACAGAAAATAAGATCTCAGTATTTGGAGCTTCTGATGTGAAAAATAAAAAGGTTTTATGTACAAAAACCGGGCAGAATAAAGAAAATTTCTAGATCATCTAACAATCAGCTGTGTGGTTGAACTATTTTACGGTATTGATATTATTGTATAACCAAACACAGCTTTGAATAAGAAATTTGTATGTAAATATTTGAAAAGCGGATAAAAAAATACTTTTTGAAAAGGGTAAGGTCAAATTTTCCAATCAAATCGAATTCGACAAGTTTACGCATTTCAAATATGTCGAAATCGCAGATTGTGCCTTTATTAATGAGTTTCTCTAAAGCTTCTGTGAACTTTTTGGCAAATTCTTCAGTATCAATCCTCTATAAATAAAATTAAGTACGGATAATCCATGATACACATGCTGTTTCTTTGAGAGAAATAGTAAGAATATACAATAAATGATGTAGATGGTTTTCTAACATTCACCTCGGTATTCGGAACTTCTTGTGCGAACAAAAATGTTTTATGCGCAAAAATCGAACTTGTTTCTTTATTGGATAGTATTTTCTGCAAATTTGGAAAAATTGAGAAACATTATGAAAATAGATTTAACTGGAATGAAATAGTCGATTACTTGACAAAGCTCCTACCTACCTGTTCATACATTTCCAAAACTGCTTTTGGTAACTTCCTCTTTAAATCGTCCATTTCTGAAATCTACTTACTGTAAAAACAGGAAACAATTTCAGATGTCTACTTCAAATTTTTGCTCACCTCTTTGATCCAAAAGTTGTTTGGCAGCATGGTAAATCCTGTTAAATTCGTCCACTTCATCTAATGAAAATAAATATGGAATGGACCTAAAATTTAAAATAGAAGTTGAGGAGTTTCAAAACTGAATGTTTTTGAATAATTTTCTTAATTTCATATTAATTCGATTACTTAAGATTAAAATGAAATCCGACCGAAACAAGCATAATGTAAAAGACCTGATGTTATATACTGTATGAAACAGAAAAAGGCAGTTCAAAAGCACGTCCGCAAGTTCCTCTCCGCTGCATTTGTCATATAATTCCCATAAATCCTTAGTTTCTAGATTGACATTCACGCTAAAAAACTGTTTGAATTCTTTAAAACTTTGTCAATGATGTTATAAAAAAGAACTACCTGATTAAACAATTCACACTTTACATAATAAGAAGGATATTTTAATATACTGCAACATATTACGACCTAACCTTTACATCAGATGCCCTAGCAACAAATCGAATTATTTCAATATATTGTTTAATAGCCAACTGCGCAAAAAGAGTCACCTTTTCTCATTAGCATATGCCTTAATTGCACTAGCAGTATTTGTTGAGACCCGTTGTACAATATCTCGGATCTCTTTGCGAATTTTTTGCTTTTTGTCTGGTTGAAGTTCGGCATGCCAAACAGTTTGGATTAAATCTTGGAGTGTCCGATGAGGCAGACAATACTTCACCAACTTACTCGCCGAAGCATACAGTTCGCTAGCATTTTTTAAAATTGCGGAAAACTGTTCCAACTGTGGAAATGAGTACAATGGTTAAGATACAAAGGAAACAATAATAAAAATGACGAAAAAGTATACACTACAAAACGTGTTGGTTTCTACTCAGTAGTAAGTTAATAGAAAAATTAATATAGTAGAAAGAGTGGTACTTCGCATTACTTGCCTAAAGTATGCATCATGCAGCAGTGATACATGAAATAACCGGAATAAACCTACCTCTGCCTTTAACGCTGTAGAACAATCAAAGTAGAGAAAGCTAATTAATTATTTATCAATAGAAAGTCAACAAACCTCATCGATCGCTTTTTGCAAATCATTCGCCATTGATGCTTAAAACTGCGATTCTGAAAATTGGTTTTTTTGCATCTTTTATTTGAAATTACATTTATTTCAAGCTAACTTCACGCAAACTCTTTGAGTTTGTAGAAAAATAGTCGAAGGAGAAGGTAAAATCTAATTGTAACCTAACTTAAGCTCACCTAATAAAAATTTCACCTAACTTTTGTCACAAAACACACTGAACAAAACTGTCTTTTTTATCGGCTCTAAACTTTAAACCTAATTCTCCAGTATGTTAAGTAACCCAAACTAAATCCCGTAAAATTTTGTTGGTTGAGTCTCTGTCCAAGTTTAAGTTTAATGTCTCTTCCTACCACCATTCTACTAAAGCCTACTGAAAAAGTCACTCCAAATATCAAATACTTCGCTCCACCTTTGTCTCTTTCACAACCAATCCTCAATAGCACTGTGAAAAGAATGTCTCACAATGACCAGTGTGTCTCTGTTATTTCCACTAATTCATTCTTTGTCACCACTCCATCACTTTCAATGACTGTCACCTTCACAGTCATAGCACTACATCTAAAAGTAAATGTGTTTCACTTAAGGGAAATAATGAAATAGAAAATGTTACTTATTTAACTGATATTGCTGATCGTTTGGCTGTTGATTCAATCGCACTTCAAGCAGTCATACAACTCAGTATTTCATTTTGTTAATGAAATAAAGTACAAGAAGACTTACTTCTTTAGTAAGTTAACTCGTTTAGCTGACTCCAACTCATTCCTCTAATTCAGGCGCTAATTAAAATTTTCGCTGTACTAATATTTATTTTTCAAATATTTCGAAAAATTCTTAATAGTACACCCACCCAACTTCTTAAATTCCCACTCTGATAGATCAGTTTGTTTTGTTTCACACTTATGTGCAAATGAATTTGTCCATTTCTGACAAATTAATTTTTATCAGGCAAAGATTTAATAAAATATTTTCGTTGTAGTAACTCCACAACGTCACAATAGTTTTATTGGTTTTACAATAATAGAAGAAAATAAACACACAGTAAATATTAAATTATATTGGCAGTTCACTGAACGAATGTTCAGCAAGTTCGTACTTCTACTCTACCTCTATTGCTGCTTCTGCAGTCGAATTGCTTGATGAATCGAACCGAATCTGTTCTCATGACCCTTGTTTTGTTGGTCAGACATGTTACTGTACACGATGTTTCAGTCGGTATTCAACTTTGATTCTTGCTTGAATCTAGCGCTTGCGATTTGTTGGTTCTACTTTACTCATAGACTGAAGCGAATTTGCTCTGTATTCATCCTTTCGATTCTTTGACCTCTCTAAAACTATTTCCCTGCAATTTGGCCCTATTAACATATTTTGTATATCAACTACATTTTTGGCTTCGCCATTCAATGTCGTTAATGGAGTTTCAAAGTAAAAATTCCTTTAAAAAAAACTTGGAATTTAAAAACAGCTGTTGCCTCGTGCTCATTCAATTTGATTCATTTGAATCTTTTAATTAAGTTCCCCATCAATTTATTTCTTCCTTTTCACCTCATCACCTCATACTCATAAACTTTCAAGTCTTACGAAATTATCAATATATTGTTGTTATAGATTAATACTTGTGTATTGTGGTTGTTAGCTAATAAAAATTATTACTACAGACTCAACTCAAATTCCTTTGGGAAAAAAAAAGAAAAAAAATTCTTAAAGGAAAGGTTGCTTAAAAAAGAACTACAATTTCTTAACCAATTTTTGGTGATAAAAGCCGAGAACATAGTTACTACTATCAGAACCTGCCAACGCGTCTTTTAATATCGTGAAACTCTAAATATTATATGAAAGTAGAGAATATGAGAAAGAAATATGTTCTATGAAATCTTTGCAAAATAATGTTTATTTTTTATTTTTTTTTATTATTTCCAATCTTATCTTTAGGCTGTAAATCTTTCATATATTATTTACACGGTATCAGCTCCTCATTGTTTTTTCGTCACTAATTGTAAATTACGTTTGAATCTACGAGGTTAACAACTTTCGCTCGACTAACCTCCTTTGTGGTTTAGTAATTAGATTTGCTTGAAAACCAGATTAACAGTTCTTTGTTAGACTGATTACTCTTTCGACAGGTCAAATTCTTATTGTAAATCATATACTTTGTTTATACATACTGCTTGTCATATAAGGAAGTCACTCATGTTCAGAGTGAGTGTGTTTTTAACAAGAACTAGGAGAGTTCAACCAAAAGGCAGTTCGACTACAAAAAGCGATTGTCGCTATTTGTACTTCAATTCTTCTCTATCAAATTTATTGCACTATTACTTCTATTGATAAAGGAATTTTTATATTCCCGTGTTTATATTTATATCAAACGAATCTCCCCGACGTTAGTAAATCTCTCCCAACTGTAAATTTTCTACCACAATATCTAATCTTATTCCCACTACACGATCGCAATCAATAAGGAACAGCTTCTCGAGACTAAACCGAGTACTGAATTATTTATTCCAGAAAATCCTTATAGAATCTCATCGAACATAAAATTTGTGTCACGATAAATAGTGATTCATTTTTTCATTTTCTGCAATTACAACGAGCTCATATCATCGAGCTTGTGCGCATATTGCTCATCAAAATTAAGTTTCAAGGGAATACTAAGTGAAATTTGTGACGAATTATGTTCACTTCGTCCCAGTTCATGAACCAGATGGGAATTAGAAACTAAGAATGCTTTAAAAATATTTATTTTTGTGAAATATTAAAACTCAATAAATAAATAAATAAATGTCCATTGTAAACGAAATACAGCGATCGAATGGAAATACAATTAAATTAAATATTCAGAGAAGAGGATTTCAAGAAAATGCTGAGCTTTTTTGAAGAAATTCCGAAATTGGTAGTTCTCCATTTCTTAGCTTATAGTTTATTTCCGAATTAGCTTTACCCTGAAATTTACCTGCTATTCAATTTATCTTATAAACATAAAAACATGAGAAAAAAACATAAAAATATAAATAGGAGTACCTTGTTTCTAAAAAATCCAGTAAACAAGTTGAAGTTTCAGTAAGAAGCAATAAGTTGCAATTTAATTTACGACAGAACTAACATGAAAGAATTGGTTAAAATTCCAGGTTGTTATGCATTGAAAAAAAGAATTGTTGTAAATGTAATTTTCAAAATCATATACTATGGAATTATGGAAGGTACTTAAAACCATATGGAAATGAAAATGTGCTTTATTATTTTTATTTATTATTATGTGAATGTATGGCGAAGCTTTCACTTTTAAAAGACTTATTGTTTCAGGTTAATGTTTGATTAGATGAGATTTGAACTTTTTACCTAAGTATCTCTCTCATCCTCTCCTATTCGAAGCAGTAAGTATCTATCGCTAAAGTTTATATTTAATCTACCCGTTAATTACCGCTAGAATATTTTTACTAGATCTTTTGCAGTTCTGTTTTCGCTTGAATGCTTTGAAAATTGTTTAAAATTTAGAATTCATTTCTACAACGAGAAATAGTTTCACATTTAGGTCCTAAACAAAATGTCTGCTTACGTCTAATTTGATTTCTAAAAATCTTATTGATATCATTACATTTTTTTAATTCCCCACTCTCCTACTATTATCATCCGTAGCATAGGTAGTCACTTTTTCTCAAAACTTGTCATCAAGTAACTTACTTGATTTTACCACTGGTGTTTCCGTTTTCCCTGACTTTTCCGAACCTTCACCATCCTTCACTTCCTCTTTTGCTTCCTCCGATACTTTTGCCTCTTTCATTTTTTCCGCTTCCTTCGTTGCTTCTATTGAATCGCTTCCTTTCGATGTCACCGCCGTTTGCCCATCTCCTTTAGCTGCTTCGGTTGGTTTTTCCTCCTTTTCATCATCTTTTTTTTCTTCTTTAACTGGCTCATCAGATTCACCTTCTTTCTTTAATGATTCAGTATTCTTTTCGTCTTCTGTCGGCGCTTCTGAAAGCTTTTCGCTTTCTTTTGTTGCTTCTGTTAGCTTTTCAACTTCCTTTGGTGCTTCAGTAGACTTTTCACTTTCTTTTGGTGCCTCAGCAAACTTTTTACTTTCCTTTAATGTTTCCGTGGACTTCTCACTTTCTTTTGCTGCATTAGCAACTCCTTCATCATTTGTTGGTACCGCGGTAGTTTCTTTTGCTTCTTCTTTTTTCGGCTCTGAAGTTTTTTCTATCTCACTTTTCTTGTCCTCCTTTACTTCATCTTCTTTTGTTTTCGATTCTTTCTCACCCTGTTTGGATGTTTCCATTGATGCTGAGTCCGACTTTTCGCCTTCCGATTCCTTTTTTGAATGTTCTGATTTTGATTCTTCAGTTCCCTTTGCTTCTTTGGATGTGTCCTTTGACGCTTCTTCTGATTTTAAGTGTTTCTTTTCTTCTTTCACTTCTTCTTTGCCAACTTTTTTTGAATCTTTGTGTTCTGTCTGGATTGAAAAACAATTTGCAAATTTGTCATCTTATTCTAATATTATGAATGAGGAATTAATTTCCAAGGAAGAAAGAATTTTATAAGAATAAAGGACCAAAGACCTTAATCATTACTCTTTTTTTTTTAGAAAAATTAAGAATTATTTGAAATCCGCAAAAACTTTTATACTGAATACAATTTGAATTTAGTTATAAAAATCTGAAACCTTTAGCTCAGATTTTGTGATGGTTTTCAATAAACGAAAGAGCCTTAAAGAAGAAGCTGGTTATACCTACTCTGTAATCTTTTTGATTGACAACAAAAATTAATCAAATGAAACTAATCAGTAAGCTTTTAGATTATAGATTTTTCCTTGACGTGGAAGACTGGTTTCTTTCTGTAATGAAAACTAATCTTAGCAATAGATAGATTAAATACCTTGGCAATCGGGACTTCCTCCTTCTCGGTTGCTGATTGTGTTATTTCAGCCTCATCTGTAATGTGAATATTACTCTATGTGAAGAATACTCAGTTAATTATTTCTTGATATTGAAATCTCAACAAGAAACAATTTTGGGTAGTGAACACTTTTTGTTGAAAGAAATCTAAATCAGAAATTCCAAGTTTAATCCAATACAAGTACCAAATAAAAATATAGCAAATTTAAAATAATTGTGATTATTTCTTTTATCCATACTGCAGATGAAACCGTATATCAGCAAACATCTTTAATTAAAAATTTGGCCGAAAATTCAATATTTTAATCAAAAATTGTGCATTATTAGCGAGTGAGTAAATTTTAAACAAACCTGGCCTAGGTACTGGGCTCGATAACACAAAAACTGATAAGAAGAACAAAGCAAGAGCTACTAGAAGCTTCATTCTTTCTGCCTGAATAAATTTAACTTGCTAAAAAAATATTTCCGTTCAAAAGATAGGGAAACCGAAAACAAGTCGCATATGTTATCCTTTAAAATCTACAGCTGCAATGAATCCGGTTAATTCGATGATGATGAAAAACTTGGCTTACTCTCCTCACACATTATTGGCCTTTCTAAATCAGATTTTTCTTGCGAATGTCTTTTGAACCAAAATTATGTTGTGGATAAAAGATGTCCAAATAAAAATGACAATATTTAATGAATAATTATAAACAGCTATCGATTTGAGCGGTAAATGAAAAATATTTTCTAGGCAATAGATCTGGAAGATTAGGTTTATGGATTTTCTTGATTTTATATTTCAATTTTAACAGCTTATTCTTAACTTAAATAATATAATTATATTGCAGGAAACAGAAACTCCAATTTTTATGTTACGAAATTAATTTCACACTCTCAGTTAGAGAGGAGTTAAAAAAAGATTAGACAGAATCTTGATTATTGCTTTCGATAACCTGCACTACTTATTTGAACAAAATCCATTATCCATATCTTTCCCAAATTTCGGATTAGAAACTGAAATATTGAATAGTTTATAACGGAAAAAACTCAGGCAAGTGTCGAACAGATCAGCCAAATGTCAGGATAAAGAGAAGGCAGAAATGACCATTATCATTTTGATGGATAATTGGTCAAAGGTTATTTCGATCATTTTTCATTTCCAACACTTCTTTTAGCATTTAACTAAGCAAATGTTGAAAAAGGAATGGGTTCGAGCTGCACTCCCTTCCATCCAACTCAGACAACAAATGACGGCTAGAGTAGCAAATTTTTCGAAAATTTGATCTTTGATACGTATTTTTACAAAAAGCATACATATCACAAACGCAAAAGAATGAATGAATTCCTTTTGTCTTCAAATATTTCCGGTTTCTACGTCAGCAGCACCATCAAATGAAATTGTATTAATATCATTCTAATTAGACATTCTTCAACCCTTAAATGATTTCTGTATGATATACCGAAACTGCAATGATTTTTGCGTCCTTTTAAACTGTTTGATCTATAGAAAAAAATACGAAGCAGTTTTAAAAATCAGAGAATACTGTAAGGATTCTTCCATAGACGGTCTTGCTTTGCTCTTAAAAGCTTAATAATCTATGGAATCTGTCCATTGATCTGATTAAGTACCGTTCAAAATGAATTATAAGTTATAGACGACTAATAAATCTAAACGAAAGCCATAAAAAACTCTATAAATAATACTTTCTGTAAAATCATTCTTTTCACGCAAGTAATGCAAAGTTTTAAATTAATTAATACTAATAATAAGTATTTTTCAGACGTGGTTAGAAAATTTCAGATTTCAATGATAAAAAAAATGTAATTTTTGGATTAATAATCTTCGTTTTTAAATTAGTAATTTTCATATTTGTGACATTCGCCGAAACATTTCTTAGGAAAACATTAAAGAGTGACAATATTCGGGTGTGTTCTCAGTTTTTTTCATTTTCTAGAATTCCAAGATTTTCCTCAGTCCTCGAAGTCTAACAAACAGTCCTGATGTCGAAAATATGATAAGCAGTCTTAATATTGGGAATCCAAAGTATGACAAAAATCTTGATTTATTCTCTGAAGTAAGCGTATTTTCGTAATAGTATATTTATTCATAATATTCAACTTATTTTAAAAAAATCCTTTTATCTTATAAAGTGATACAGTCACTTGTGAACCATTTGGTTGAGAATAACTTGCAAGAAAATCTATTCATCAAGTCTGGTGAATACCAGTGAGCAATCAATCAAATAAAGCTTTTTTGTTTTTTCTAATATTAAAACTACTTTTATGACCAATAAAGAACAGTGGCCTATTTGCAGCCGGAGCTATGTCATTTCAAATACAATAAAATGTGCAAAATGGATGAGATGGACGAAGAAGAGTGGTCCGATAGGTCACTCGAAATCAATTCTTCTTCAAATTCCGTTGGTTGAATATAATTTGCACTTAATTATTGTGACATATTTAATGTTCAAGTTTCTAGAATTACGGTGGAAGGAAGTGGAAGAAAGGAATCTCGAATATTTAATATGTAAATCGTAGAAATGATTTTGGGAAAATATCGCATTTCATAATCTTTTGAGCTCAGAGAAAAATGAAAAAATTGCATCAAAGCGCTATGTAATATAAAAATTTAGTAATTTTGGATGGATGCGATTCAATGAAACGGGAAATTCAGAAGTAGGGATGAAAAGACAAATGTTGAATATTTATTGCTGAAAGATACTCCAGCTTTCTATATTATCCAAAATAGTTGCAATAATTAAAGTCAACACCTAATTATGACTACTGAGCAGGAAAGGAGTAAGAATTCCTGAACTCGTGACGTGAGGTTGTCTTCTTCTGGAAATCACTTTAAAAAAGTAATTTTTAGATTGAAAAAAAATTTACTTTATCAATGAGTAAATTCCAAGCTCACTGTGTACAGAAAGCATTCCAGGAACTCTTTTTTCTTTTCGCATAACTTTAAAAAAGAATTTTTGAAGAAATATTTGCAAGAAAAGGAAAATGATACACATATATATGTGCCATTTTTTTTGTTCTAGCAAAAAATACCATTTTGAAAGATGCAAGAACAATTCGATTGCAAGTAGTTCAGGTAGCATTTTGTATCTCAGTATTCCCTAAAATTGATTGATGTTAGCAGTAATATTAATAATATTAGCGAAACTGATATGCCAAAAGTGATGAGCCATAATTCATTCAACAACCGGTGAAAAGGAAACGCAATTCAAAGTAATCCTTTTCTTTTCGATTTGAATTGTTTATGTTAAAAAAAAAAATTAATTAATTAAAAAAAAAACAACAAATCGAATGTTTAGAAATGAATGCTACGATTTTTTTCTTTTTTATACATGGATATCTTAATCTTTATTCCTGTCTTCCTGGTTGTAAACTCCTTTTTCGATTTATACATCATAAATATATCCGTCATAAAGTGCTCATTTCCATGATCGGTAAAAATGGTGGAACAGAGCAATAATGTTAAACATTTGCACAAGTATGTTGTCCTACCAGAACAACACCCACAAAATATCTGGGATAACTGGAGCGTTAATCAATAATATCTCTGTAATGACCACTCTGATAATGAGCCTATCAGAGTCGTACGAGCAGACTGGAAAATGAAGTCAGTTTTGAAATTCTTCAATCAAGAAAATAACATTTCCTGTTTTGCTGGCCAATTAGAATAAATTTTATAATAATTAAAAACGTAGTTCAGAATTTCACACTGTCAAGAAAATTAGCTAATGTTTTCTTGGCTTTTTAAATAAATACTGTGAAAATTCATTGTATTCTATCCAAAAACTCTGGGAATGTTAATATGTTAATATGATAATATGTTTGTTCGTTATTTTTAATATTATCATTTCAGAAAACAGTTAGATATGGCATTAAAAAAGCGACTGTATTTAACTTAGCATACCCAAATAATTTTAGTGAATTAGAAAGTGATAAATTATCGTCACTAATTTATGTCATACTACCATATAAGCCAAAACTCTGGACAAATTAAGTAAAATCAACAATTGATATATCATGCTTTTAATGAGATCATCTTTAATGACTAGAATTGACTAATCAAAGAACCATTACTACTAATGTCAGTTTTTTTTTTTTTTTTTTGAAAAAAGGATAGAAATAGCAAAATGAGGGAGAAAGACGATGATATCAATTAAATTCCTTCATACACCAAATACTTGAAGTTTCCAATCGCCGTCTTACCATGAAAATAATTAAAAGATGCTGAATTTTCGAATTAATTTCTATTTATATAGTTTTTATGGGTCGAGCACGGCAATGTACACCGCCTTTCCTTTCCACTTTCATCTTTGGAAAAAATGCCGTCTTTTAACTGTCGAAAAACGAAACGAGAGAAGATATGAAAATGAATTATTCTTTCATCAATTATGTCGATTTTATTCTTTGAGCTGCCAGATTCTATAACATTTGGATTTGTATTTTGTAACAAGAGAATAATGTACATCCCGAAGAATAGTAAAAGTGAATCATTTCTACTTTAGTAAAATTTTAATTTTATAAGAACTAATTTAGCTTGTCGCTTTTCTTTTTTGCTTAAAGTATAATTAAGAATTCTCGTACACTGCAATACTACATTCATATGTGTTGTAAGTTTTAAATTTTATTTAAAAAATGTGTAGAAAAAAAACTTCATTCGGAGACTTTCAAACAGAATTATAGTTTAAATTTAAAGCTTATGTCGAAAATTTATTTTCCCAATTTTCAAGTGGTCAGATTGTTATTTTAACGTGAATCATTTCAAATGAAATTGTATGAAAAGTCTGGACGATAAATGATGCAAATGATCATATTTTATGAATCAGGAACGATATATTTTGACTTTTACATACGTAAAATGTTGAAAAAGTTGAAAAATAATAGAAATATTCCTGTTAAATTCCATTTTTGTTTATGTGAGGCAACATGAGACATATAAAAAAATCATATTTAACAAACTGAGTTGCTACTTTTAATTATTATTTCACCACTTTACCATACGTGCTAGCAATGAATTTCAATGGATTTGATGAGGTCGAAGTACGATTAATGTGTACTTCGATTTTCTAGCATAAAAGTTAATATTAAAAAAGTATATTTTGTAACATTTTACAAAGATATATTATAATTCATCGCTTGACCTCTGAAGACACTTTGTTTCATCTCCCTCTGTGATCACGAAATAGTAGATTATGAGGAAAAGAAGAAAAACGACCGGATACAGCGTTCGACAATATCTATCGATATGACGAGCAGTTGAATGATAACGGCCTGATTCCAGCATAAGTAGCATCATCTGATATCGTGACATATCATTTAAACCTGACTCTGCTTTCTTCCGCTGCAATCATTTGCAGTCCAAGCTAACTCGCATTGATCGCATTAATATCAAGAAATAGTAGCTTTTAAATCATTTCTTGAAAAGCAAAACAAAAATTTTTAAATTTGAATAGTAAATAAGCGGACTACAAACACTTTGAAAGAATGGCAACATATAGAGTATGAAGAAGATACGTAAAGGAGTAAGAACCAAAGGGTAAAGCTACAAAAATGGAATTTAAAAACTGTGTAATGAGTGAAGTGAGATGAAAAATAAAAAGTAATAATTATTACCAATTCTCGTGATTTATATTCGAGTGAAATAACAATCAAGGCTTCGAGCATTGTTATAAAAACAAAACTTGCCGTAAAGCCAAACCAGAGATCAATGGCCTAAACAAAACAAGCTTTGCAAATAACAATTTTATAAGTTAAAACCCTTTTGCAACTTCATCTTCTGAGGTCTATTGTTTTTTTCTTTACTAAACCCTTGAATCTAGAAGACAATAATAACAAATTTGAAAATTTAAAGAATTTGAGGCATTGAAATTCAATTGAAGAGTTATCCACTTTTCTTCAAATCTTGCATTTCTAGCAAAAAACCAATCATTATAACCTTCATGTAAGAAACTTTCGGTAACACTTCCTTAACTGCACTACTTTCCGCACTAAGTGTCAAAAATAGTGTTAATGAGCCAAATATTCGGCCAGTGACGAATTCTTCTGGCAACCAAACACTGATCCAAGAAAAGACAACACAAGTTGCTGTAGGAATATAAGTTCGTGTCATGTGATAGCCAAGACTACGTTTCAGTTGACAACTTGCTTCCAAACATGAGAAATTACCTAAATGTTGGAGGTAGATTTTTTGTTTTTCATTGGAACAGTTTAACTGAGATTCAATTGTCTAAGTAAAAAAGAATTCATTTGTCTGTCATATTCGTTGTTCATTAAGTTAGTGATGAAAGAAATAACAAAGTTTTTCCAATTCAGCTAAACTGACAATGATTTACGTGGAAGGATTAGAAAAATAATTTTCGTAGTAACTTTGCTTTTTACAATAAGCACAGTTATTGCTCAAGAAATTAAATTTTCGAGAGCATGAAATACCCGTTTTGCGCACTCCATCACAATACCGTTTGTAATATTTTTCGACGTAAAGTTCTTCAGATTCCATCAGTTTATTCATTCGAATTGCATCGCTCAAACGAGGGAACCAACTATATCGTATTGAATTTTGACCAGATGCTACTGTAACAATTTAATTTCTAACATACTGTACATATAAGTAATGAAAGTAAAGTACTTCAATAAATATGAAGGAAATGTGTAAGAATGCTAGTTTAGAGCTGGAGAAGTGATGGAGAAGTTTAAGTAAGCAACAATATTTTTTACTGATTCTGCCATATTTTCGATTATAATAATGTGTTTCCCATTTTAGATGCCAATGATCAAAAAGGTAATCCTTTTGAGGTAATGAAGCTATCATATCGCAGCCACATCTGTGCAACCTTTTTAAAACAATCACATTCTTTACACCATAAAAAAGTCAAACAAAAAAAACATTGCTTACTAGCAGTGATCTTCAACGAGCACACCTGATTATCGTGAGGATATTTACATAGGATAAGTTTGCATGATGGTTTCAAGTATAAGCTAAAATACTACATACTACAAAAGCTGCTCGTGCAAGGCATGTGATAAAATATTTTTGCTATAATAGAAATGTAATAAATCAACTTTTGAATATGCCAATAAATTAAATCTATATGTTGTTAACTTTCGATTATAATTAAAAATAACATACTGCGTTTCGAAGAAAATTTCGCCATTAGGAAATATGTACAGCCAAAAATTCAACGTTGTCATTCGATGATATTCCGCCTCTTTAGCATTTTGGAAAAATGGTGATGGACGCCAAATTTTTCTGCAAATAGAATTGAATTTTGAGTGGGAATCATTATATTTCTCTTGCAGGAAGAATAGAAAACCATTTCTAAATTATTAAATAAAAAGTAAAACAGGAATTTTTGCTAATGAAAATCCATTTAAAAAAATTTGCGTAGAAATAAATTCATTAAGACGAAGCTAAGGCACTAACTTAAGCACATTTTCATCATTGACTAAAATTGGTCGATCAAACTGATGTGCCAAGCGTCGGTCATGCCATGCCATACGTAACCATATATCCATATCATAGTCCTATTTTTTTTTCAATTAAGAATTGAATTTTGAGTGGGAAACTAAGTACTCAGTATGATGCTTGTCAAGTCCACTAATTTTAAAAGAAATTATTTTCTCAATTAGAACTGAAAACTTGAAAAAAAAAAAAAAAGAAAACTTGAAAATTAATACTATTAACTAACCATTGTACTTTGATCAAAATTTGACATCGACTGAATCAATATTCCGAAAAACACTTCCGTAATTTCACCTTCGAGAATGATTGGTGGTGACCTTGAAATGTTGGTGATGAAAATAAAATGCAGAATAATTGGACGAAAAAAGTAAATAGAAGGAAACAACCTGGAATCATAGTGGTTTCTGTTGAGAAATGGCATTAGGACAGATGATGAGAGAGGTATTACATTGGACATCATTTCACTATCAAACACACTTAAAATACTGCTTAATTGAATGCCTCGTTTGAAGAATGTCATTGAATCATTATTTTTTTCACCTGAACTCGCATTCTTTTCTGCCTAAATCTTTGTAAAAATTTCAGAAATTTGATTTTTACCACTTATTTGGTAGCATTATGATATTAATGCGCATACTAGCAAAATTTTCGAATTCTTCCTACATTGCAGTTTATTTTAAAGCAAATAATATAGAAGCAAATAATTGCGGAACTGTCAGATACCCTTTCATTGCTTTCCTGCTTTTCACTGGAGTTTTGCAAAACTGAAAATTTAATTAGTTCCAATAAAATGGATAAATAATTAGTAACAAATTAAATTTGCTAATAATCATTAGACGATAATATCAACATAAAACTGATAAGAGATAAGTGTATTTTTTTGCATTTTTTGGTAAATTCAAGGTAAAATTTTATGATTAAAGAATAATGACAAACATTTCGTCACTTTGTCGATATTCTCCGTTCTAAGTTTTTCCGCGATGCAAACCTTTTTCCGATCAATTTCTAGTCCTTTATGAAGTTCAAACACTGACGACATTTCGCCAAGTTTGTAAAAATCAGCTACTTTCTGACTGCGCACAACAATTTTCGTAGAGTTTTGCTCGAAATTAGTGTCTACCTATAAATATTTTCTATAAATTTTTAAGACTATAGTTCATCTCAGAAGTTTATCACTAAGGTAAAATAAAAAGTTGAAAAAGCAAAGCTTATAAAATGAATACAGAAAATTCTTTAATTCAGCGTTCACTTACTTGATAAGTGATTTGAACCGCTGTTGGGTTAATGATACGAATTTCTCCTGATGGAATTAGCGGCAATCTATCGACCGGCTGCGAAACATAATTCTGATTGTATTTGGTAGTGAATAAAATACTTGGCTTCTTTGCTGCTATTTCTAATATGTCAGGCTTCCAAGATTTCTTGGTGCTGAAGAGTGGAAAATGTTAAATAATTACTTTGGCACTTTTAAAGTTATAAAACAAATGATAATTGCTTTAAAACTCCAACAATTATTAGAAAATAATTGAATCATTTTCGAGCAATTACATATATTTTCTGAGCCGACTTTGTGCTCAAAACCCTGGTATCTTTAGAAATTGACTTTCTTCTTTTATTTCTTCACTTATCCTTCAATAAAAAAAAAAAAAAAAAAAAAAACTCATAAATAAAAAAGAAGCAATCATGTGTCGCTTAGATAATGAAAATAATATTTCTATTTTTGTTTCAAATTTACCTGATTGGGATGTATGATTCACCGTTTCTGTCATCTATCAAATCCAACGATGTTTTCTTTCCAGTTTCATAATTATTGCATATTTCAGATAAATTAATTCCATACTTCCTAAACAGCTCGAACTTAGCACAGCCCTTTACTTTTTTGGATTATTTTCTTCTACTAGTTGAAATAAAGAAAAATACCCAAAAATTTTCCGAATACTTTCATAATTTGAAACGGATCAATCAGAAAAATTATAAATTTGCTCTAGGAAAGCACCATTTTCTAAAGAATTGAAATTCAGATGATAAAAGTGAAGAACTCACTTTGCTGCAGAGAAGGAATCAATCAGCAAATATCGACTGTAATTTCTGCATACTTTCTTGAAATTGACATGCACTACCTTAAATTGCATGCATTCCAGATCATAAAAGAAATAGCTTTATTTTCGAATTGTTCAACAGTTATATATTTACAAATGGTATGTAAAAATGGTGAATGTGATTTCAGATAATTAAGAAAAAAATATTAAGTAAAAAAATGAAAATTAGAAACTAAAATTGAATTGAAAATTAGAAGAATAAATCAACCTTATGTTTAGAGAGCAGGTATTTTGGCAAACCAAATTTTACTAGCTGTACTATACTGTTCAACGATACTTCTATCTTTCGTATTGATAACAAATCAATGATTTCTGCCGTAGGTGTAATTTCACCTACCTGAAAGGATTGAAAAGATTTTCAAAATTAAGTATTTAAGTATAGAACTAGATATTTAAGCATATTAAACATATTATGAAAAATATTTAAATAAATCGCAAATTAGCATGAAATTAATGGGTTCTTAAATATTAAAATAAAATCGAATATAGAAGTGCTAGCATATGTAAGAATTTGTCGATACCAGCATATCTCAATCATTTATGCATCAAAATATTCTTTTTTTTCGAGGAACTTTTTTTCTGCTCAGATGGCGATCACATATGCATTTTATTAACTTACCTGTAATTTCCACCATAAATTCCATGCTTCACATTGAGGTAACTTTTCATATCGAATTCCAAGGTCTTCAGCTTGATAAGTCGTGTTTATCCATAAATCAGACTCGGGAGAGCTTTCAGCTAACGACATACATGGGATAATTACTTCAAGAAGTATCCGTGAAATAATGACAAAAAAAGATTTTAAAATCATCATCATTAGAGAAGATGAACAGAAAACATCACTGTTTTGTGACATGATGAGATTGCTCAAAAACCAGTTGTTGATTGCATTTGTCGAAGTAATTGCCGAAAGGGAAGTTCAAAAATCGAAGCGCAAATGTTCATCACACTAAAAAATGATCATTTTATTAGATAATTAGATAATACGAATTAGCAAGCAAAATTTTAGACATATCGTAAGACAATATTTCATGAAACAATTTTAGAAACTTTTTAATATAATAAATTTTGAATACCATAAAAAATTTAAGAAAAAAAAGTTTTTTTTCTTTCTTGGTCTAAAAATTGTCCTAACAATCAAATTTTTAACACTGCACCATCTTGAAATTACAAATTGTTGGACCCATTATTGATGAACGATAAAATTTAAAAGTTTAGAAAGTAATCAATTTATGTTTGATATAAATTTATATGCAAATCTTAACTGCTTTATTTTCAATCATTATACAATTCACGTTTTATAGGAAGCTTTACAGCATTAATTAATTTTGGCAGTAATTTTGTTTTTTCAACGTTTTATTTCAAAATTATTTTTGATGTTGAAATAAGACAAATTTTTAGTCACGGAAAACAAAGAAAATATTCATTTCACTAGAAGAAGTTTGGAAAACAAGTGCAATGGATTAAACAACAAAACCTTTATTCAGTGCGTTTAGTTTGTGAAGTGAATTATATGGGTCTCAATTAAATGCGTTTCAATAAATTCATCATACAATTAGCTGTAAGAAAAGAAAATTTTGGATATCATATTTCAAGATTTCCAATTTTATGTCGGAAAAGTATGCAAATGTTTTTGAAAACGTTTACACTTCAAATTAAAGAAAAAGCTCATATTGAATGCAACGATAAAATATCATGCAAGTAGGACTCATTTTTTTTAACATTTTAAAGTTAAAAACTATGGATGATGTCAGTCATTAAGTAAATAACTTCGTTAAATTATACTGAAAATTGTCCTCCAGATAAAAAGATGAAACTCAAAAATCAACGGAAAATTTTTGATTTCTAAAATTACTTCGTAGTTACATCAACAAAGAAAAAAATTAGGATCAGGATAAGATGAATGATGCAACTCATCATTCTTTGGCCTAGTTTAATTCCGGATGGATATTAAACGAAAATATCAACTGTCATAATTTATTTTCTTCCTATCCTCTAATTTTTTCACTTTAATTTTTCCGCACAAACAGACCACATAAGAATCAATTTTCTTTTGTTGCCATCTTTCTTCCTTTTTCATTTCCTTCATTCTCAAAAATGTTTAGAAATGAGATTGAGTGAAGCAAAACAGTAAAGACATCTGCTTTAGAAATGCGACATCTATACGCAACAATAGAGCAGAATGGTTTGTCTATGCATAATTGTTACACTTTTATTATGATAGGTAGAGGTCGGTAATGAATAATAGTCAATAATTTAATTGCCGTATAAGTCTACTACTTTCCGTTTATCGCAAGTTTAATTGCACATTTATTCGAAAATGAAAAATCCCAGAATAAATGAAACAATTTTTACTAGCACTATTATTCCAGTGCATTTGTATATGTGAAATTAAAATTCAAGCATTTTGGCATCAATCTTGAAGAATAAAATTAGTATTAATAATAGGCAAAATGTTTCCTCTTTTTAAAATTGAATTATCACATCGTTTGTGCACCATTCAAAGTATAATTAGTTAAATTTTTAGAGCAAAGTGATTTACTCAATTTAAGCAAATAAAAGTCAAAAGCCAAATTTGAGGTCCTCTTCAGTAACAGCATAAGCGATATAGAAAAGTGTTAGCTAGATATCCTTCTGAAAATCATTTTAATTCAACTTCTGAATATTTCAAATGAGCTTTTAAATGACTAACAAAAAAGCGACTTTCATCAATAGTAAAAATAAAAAGATTCAAATTTTGCGAAAATTATTACTTTCTTCTTTATGCTCGCATCTTTCATTTTATTCTTTTTGGCGTATCACAATTTTTGTTAATGGGAAAAGTTTTCGTTTTAGATTTTGAAACCTAATTAAAATAAGGTGGAGAAATGAATTATTCTCGAAAAGCCAAAGCAACATTTTAATAAATTTGAGTAATTCTTGAAGATAATTTGAACTAAGAAATTTTCAATAAAAAATTAAAATAGTTTCAAATCAGGGAGATATACATTGAGAATAAGAGATGTTAAAGTTCAGTGATACTTAGTGGTCTGTGATTCGTGGTACATTTTTGAATGATTAGCTCGTTTGTCACATGCAATGAACCTTCTTCATTTCTTTTCAACAGTAGCATTCAGTAAAAGTGCAAAAACATTTGTTTCAGAGAATGTATTAGTGAGAGTTAGTTGTATTGTCACCAGCGGTCATCTCTTCTCTTCCGTGTGACACGGAATGCTTCAAATCCAGACTTGTTCTGTTCATAAGAAGTGGAAGAGAATGAATTTAGCTGTGAAATTTTCGAGTAGTGTTCCAACATTGAAGTGAAATCAGTTGTAGCCGTAACAACAGAGGGCGGGCGGGTTGTCTGCTGGTCCCAGAGATTGGAGTAGGCAGATCGGGTGAATACATATGGGAAGGAGTGAATGAATGGCTGAGGGAAGGGCACATTGCCGAGGAAGAGGACATATCTTTCCGTCTGCTGCTGTCACCTTTTCATATTTTAGAAATGATGAAGAGACAGACTTGCTGTTCTCTAGAACTGGTATCAGTCAAGAATGTTAGGATTCTGGTTATATCCCTGAGGGGCTAATAAACATTCTGATATATCATGCTATTCATTTATTATTATTACTACTACTGCCATTGCTGCTAATATCAGTACTGATATTACTGATAATAATAGAAATCACTTTACACTGCGATCCCATATCATTTTGCTGTTATTACTAGTATTGTTTGCATGCTAAAATTCACCTTACTAATAATTGATAGAAACAAATAGTTAACAAAATTCGAACGAACTGTTTTCCTGTTTGATGAAAACAGTTCCGAAGATAATCTTTAATATTAGTTGAAGAAAATTCAACTATCTTACATTTCTCGTTTCTGATGCATGAAGCATTATTTTCTCCTTCTGCTGTAAAATTTTTTAACTTGTTGTTAATAGAAATACTAGCATTCTGTTTCGAGTCACTGTTACTTACACCACTGTCATTATCGCTGCTGTCACCTACCGTTTCTCATCTTCATTACTAGATTTTGTTCTGAAAATGCCGTATACCTCAGAACAACATATTCTAGCAACTATTTATATTCTTACAACAAATGCATTTGTCTTATTTGCAAATGAAATCGTTGGGGAACCATTCATCAGGTTAGTAGAAATCATTTTGTTTCAAGTTTGAAGGAGAGACTGAGAATGATAGCGGTTATCAGATTATCATGGCTATCGATTATTTACTGTACAGTTACTGCTGTGACACATAGAATTATTTATTTGATTTCTACCTTAATCGAATTTATTGCTTTTTCATTGTGTCCTTCTTGCTAAAAAAAACTCTGTCCTAGTGAATTTGCAAAATAGTGCACATTAGCCCAACTCTATTCCTCTTCCTCTGGCTTTTTGCTCGTTTGCTCTGCACAGATTTATGACAAGATATCCTTTCCATTGTTCATCCGCCATTTCAATATTTAACTTCTCAACGATACATTTATCAACTCAGAATCTCTTCATTGTAATGATTAAATAATGAAAATCTATTATTATCAGTCTTTCGGATCATGTTTAAAGATTCAGAAAAAAGCCGTAACTGCGTGAACTTCATTGAAATTCCCAAGAATTATATTTTGAAATCCGAATGAAAAAAAAATAAAAACTTGAATTCGATAAGATAGTTTGGCGCACTTTGCATTTTCTAATGATTGCATTTTTTGGAATTTGTTTGTAAAATGCATGAATTTTTATATTATGAAAATTAGCATAGCGTTAAAATTTTAGTAAAAATGAATAAAATTAAACCTTTTGTTCCAATACTTTAAGCCTTCTTACCACAGTTTTAACAAGCTTACTTTGAAGATAAAATATTGATATTTTGATTTTTCTCACTTATTAATGCTTCGATTTTGCATATTTATTCATTTGCTTGTTATATTTGGAAAAAGTTAATGGATAAAATTCTTACGCCTTTTATACGCTTGTCGAATTCTATGTGAAACATCAGTCAAAAACAGGTTTTTGTGTCGATTTTTATCTCGGAATGTAAATCGTGTATTTGAGATAATACTAAATATGTTTCCGGTATTATACAGTTGTCATGTTAGATGTTATGTTAAGATGGAGAACGATGACAAATTTTCTAACTCTGAGAGGAATTTATTGTGAATTTGTTATGAAAGGAAATGTTAACAGTGAAGAAAAGTGAAATTTCCGGAAAAGGAAAGAGTAAAAAGTGCTATTGGCAGAAATGATTTGAAGTAAATAAAAAAGTCATAACATATTCCATATTTTTGAACTTTTTCTCATTGTTGAAGCTTTCACGACATCTTCTATAACTCGATTTCATCAGCGCTTTACTGGGAGTCATTTAAAATTTAAACGCTTTCAAAAATGAATACAGAAGTAAGTGTCCCATGGAAAGAGATATTAATAATAGTACCACTATAACAATGTTTTTGAATGTTTTTTAAAACCTTCGTGAAAGTAATAGGAAAACGAAATGAAAGAATATTTTACCCATTTTCTAATCATTCTAACAAATCTCAGACTCATTTATCTCTTTTTTTCGAGATCATTTAAACTCTTTTTCTTTGAGAAACTTATAATTTCATCCAAGTTCATATATTTGTTGAGATTGCAAACTTGAACATTTCCAAAAATTCTTAAAAAGCTGAGAAACCGTAAAAATAGGCATTTGTTAATAATAAGATAGAAAAAAGTCAGGTATCACTTTCGAGATTAAGGTTTTGTTTATTAGGTTAAATTAAATCATT